CTGCCCCCCTCCCCCTGTTCGCGTGAGGGCAAGCATATGCCAAAAACCCACGAAAAAAAGCAAAAGACCCCCCCCCCCCCCCCCCCCCCCCCCCCCCCCCCCCCCCCCCCCCCCCCCCCCCCCCCCCCCCCCGCATACATCCGGAAAAAGCCATGGCATCCCTCAATCTGTCCTCCAACGGCCCCTCGATATCAAAGAGCTACCAAACAGTAGTGAACGCACCGCCCCCATCCGCCAGTGGACAATCCCCAACTGTGGCTCAATGGGCCGTGTTTTCGGTCTCAACCCCGCTCGTCAGTGCGTTTCAGCAGGATGCAGGCAAGGAGAGCGTCCTCAAGGTGCAGAGCTCGGGAGGTAAGTGGGAACCCATCCAGACCAACCGGATGTGCCGTTAACGGGAATAGAGGGTGAATTGGTCGATCTGATTGAAGAATTCTCCGAGGGACGAGTGCAATTCGCATATGTGAAGGTAACGGATCCCAACACCGGTCTTCCCAAGAACGTCCTCATCGGCTGGTGTGGAGAGGGAGTGCCCGAACGAACCAAGGGGTACTTTACCAGCCATCTCGCCACCGTGTCCAAGTTCCTTCATGTAAGTTCCCCTCAGGACGTTACACATGCGGGGAAGCTGACTCTGGCAGGGGTATCATGTGCAAGTGACCGCCCGCGCAGACGGGGACCTGACCCCAGAGGGAATCATCCAGCGAGTGGCCGATTCCTCCGGATCCAAGTATTCCGCCGGTGAGGCATCGGCACCAGCGCCCGCCCCTCGACCCGCAGTGGCCAGCAAACCGGCCTTTACACCCACTCGATCGGGCGGCCTCCCACTCAGCCCCAGTGCGCGGGTGCAGCCCGCCCCGAGAGCGAATGTGGATAATGACGGATGGGGAGACGATGCCCCTCCAGTGACGCGCACACAGCTGGAAAAGGTCCAACCCGCCTACCAGCCGACCAAAGTGAATCTGCAAGAATTGAAATCGAACCCCACCGCGACCCGGCAGTCCGCTGCTGCTTCGAATGATTCGCCAGATGTGGTTCGTGGAGGGTACCAGCCCATCGGAAAGGTAGACATTGCTGCGATTCGGAGGCAGGCCGCCGAGTCAGGTCAGCTGAAGGACGAGCGACCCTCCACAGTGAAAGGGTCGTACGAGCCGGTGGGCAAGGTGGACATTGCTGCTATTCGCGCAAGAGCACAGAAGCCAGAGGGGGCCGCTAACGTCTCGAGCCCTGCGGTGAATGAGCCTGAGCCGGCGACCACGTTGCCAGAACGACCGGCACCCGCGGTGGCCTCCGGGCGCCTGACCGATCTCCCAAAGCCCAAGGTCGCCAACAAGTTCGGCGGAGGTCCCTCCTTCCCGGGCACGAAGCCCCCTCTCCCCGTGGGTCTGGGCTCCAAACCCTCGTCAAACGCACAGATTGGCGCCGCGAGCCGGACTTTTGCGGACGAGGGTGGAAAGACCCCTGCTCAAATCTGGGCCGAACGTAAGGCCAAAGAGCGCGGCGCGGCACCCCCAGGCGCTGCGGAGCCCGCCCCGGCTCCCATCCAAAGCCAGCCCAGTGGCCAAGGGGAGTGGAAGAGCTCTTATGCGGGCAAGTCGTGGGCTACTGTCCAGACTGCGCATGAGCGATCGCAATTGCCCGAGCCTGAAGTGGATGCTCGAGCCACTGACCCTGCTGGGGAACAACCGCAGCCTCGTGTGAGGGACGTTCAGGAGCATTTCACCCAGGAAGCATCCGCTCCTCCCGCTCCTCCCGCTCCTGTCGCCCCTCCCATTCCCCAGGCCAGTCGTCCAGTGCCCCTCCCCGGCCTCTCCCCTGCCCCCGAGCCCGAGTCTGAGCCTGAGCATGACGCCCAGCAGGTGCTTCCCCCGCCACCCCCACAGCCGCGCTCCCCCACCCCACCGAGCCCTGTGCGTGACAGCTCGCCCATCCGGATTGCTATGCCCGTGGGCCAAAGTGCCCCGGAGGCAACCGAGGTCGCGGATGCTCATGAGGAACAACACTCTCCCCCTCCGGCCATGCCCGTGCGGAGTCTACAGGAGGCCGTTCCCGACGAGCGGGACCTGGAAGATGATTCCCACGATCTGGGCCGTGCCGCGGCCGAAGCCACTGCTCCAGAACCTGAGCAGACCCAGGGTGGACCCCGAGCCCAGATCCAGTACGACTATGAGAAAGCCGAGGATAACGAAATTGAGCTTCGCGAAGGCGATTACGTGACCGACATTGAAATGGTCGATGAGGATTGGTGGGTGGGTGTCAACTCGCGAGGCGAGCGTGGTCTCTTCCCCGCCAACTACGTGGAAGTTATCGACGATGGAGCTGCCCCTGCCCCTGCACCCGCTCACCATGAGCCCGAGCCTGAGCCCGAGCCTATCCCTACACCCGCCCCGGCTCCTGTCCCTGCTGCCGTCCCCCCACCTCCTGCCCCTGCCGCGGCGCCTGCTGCTGCGGCTCCTGCTTCCAAGGGTCGCACTGCCACTGCATTGTACGATTACGAAGCTGCCGAGGATAACGAGATTGGATTCCCAGAAAATGCTAAAATTTCCAACGTGGTACGTTGTCTGCCAATCCACCACTATATACACGCTAACATGTATCTGTTATAGGAATTCCCCGATGATGACTGGTGGCTGGGTGAATACAATGGCCGCCAGGGACTCTTCCCTGCCAACTATGTGCAACTGGACTAAAAGCTTGAGTCCTGGCGTCTCATTCGAACTCGACCTGACCATGTATTGTTGGCCTAGCGTTTCCAATGTCCAGATTATTTTCAATTCCACACTTCAGTACAGAGTACCTATGAAGAGTCAAGAGTAAAGAGTCAAGAGTCAAGAGTCAAGAGTCAAGAGTCAAGAGTCAAGAGTAAAGAGTCAAGAGAACCAAATCAGTAGAATCCACGACGTCATGGCTTTTTGTTATGTCAGCGTCACGTGTCCCGAAAAAGTGGCCATAAACAGTAGGCCGCTGTCCCCGGACTACTTGGGCCCTGCACGCGATCCTCTTCCTCTCTTTTTCCCCCTTTGGATCAAAGGAGCTTACATCATGGCATCCTTGGGTGAGGATTTGCTCGTTACAGTGAACAAGCTCCAGGATCTAGTGTTCAACACCATTGGAAATGACTCCCTAGATCTGCCCCAAATCGTAAGTCTGGAGCCCGTCGAGTCGAGTCGCAGAGGCGGGGAGATACTTGGTCTGATACCCCGAGTTCAAAACTAACAACTCCGGTACCAGGTCGTAGTTGGTTCGCAATCATCCGGAAAATCATCGGTCTTGGAAAACATAGTTGGGAGGGACTTCCTGCCCCGAGGCAGTGGGATTGTTACTCGGCGGCCGTTGATTCTTCAGTTGATCAATGTCCCCAGTGAGCGCGATGATAAGCCCCCGTCCGATGAGATTCACATCCCCCACACGGCCGCGAGTGTTGCCGGTCAACACGAATGGGCCGAGTTCCACCACCAACCGGGGCGCAAGTTCGATGACTTTGCGCAAGTGAAGGCTGAGATCGAAGCCGAAACCGCCAGAATCGCTGGAAGCAACAAGGGTATCAACAGACAGCCGATCAACCTGAAGATTTTCTCCCCTCATGTGCTGAACCTGACACTGGTGGATTTGCCTGGACTGACAAAGGTGCCCATCGGCGACCAACCCTCCGATATCGAGAAGCAAACACGCACCCTGATCCTGGAATACATCGCCAAGCCGAACAGCATCATTCTTGCGGTCTCTCCCGCCAACGTGGACTTGGTCAACTCCGAGGCGCTGAAGCTCGCCCGCCAGGTGGATGCCATGGGCCGGAGGACCATCGGTGTTTTGTCAAAATTGGATCTGATGGACCATGGCACTAACGCGATGGATATTCTGTCTGGACGCGTGTATCCCTTGAAGCTTGGTTTCATCGGTGTGGTCAACCGATCCCAGCAGGATATTCAATCTGGCAAATCTTTGTCAGATGCCTTGCGAGCAGAGTCTGAATTCTTCAGACACCACCCAGCTTACCGCAATATGGCCAACCGCTGCGGCACGCACTTCTTGGCCAAGACTCTCAACACAACCCTCATGTCACACATTCGAGACCGTCTGCCGGATATCAAGGCTCGGTTGAACACACTGATGGGTCAGACCCAACAGGAGCTAGCTAGCTACGGAAACAAGCAATTCAGCGGCGAAGAGCACCGTGGCTCACTGATCCTACAGCAGATGACTAGATTTGCCGCCTCGTTCATCTCATCCATCGATGGAACCTCTTCGGAAATTTCTACAAAGGAGCTGTGTGGTGGTGCTCGCATCTACTACATCTTCAACTCCGTTTTTGGAAACTCTCTTGAAACCATCGACCCTACTCATAATTTGACCGTTTCGGACATCCGAACGGCCATTCGCAACTCTACCGGTCCTCGTCCAAGTCTCTTTGTTCCGGAGCTGGCCTTTGATCTGCTGGTCAAGCCCCAGATTAAGCTCCTTGAATCGCCTTCTCAGCGATGTGTGGAACTGGTCTACGAAGAACTGATCAAGATCTGCCACACCTGTGGTAACCAAGAGCTCCTACGGTTCCCCCGTCTCCAGGGAAAGCTGATTGAGGTTGTATCCGACCTTCTTCGCGAGCGCCTTGGGCCATGCTCAAGCTACGTGGAATCTTTGATCTCAATTCAAAGAGCCTACATTAACACCAACCACCCCAATTTCCTGGGTGCCGCCGCCGCCATGTCTTCAATTATCCAAAACAAGCAGGATGAAGAGAGGAAAGCAGTTATGGCTGAGGAGAAGCGGAAACGTGATAAGCGCCGTCAGAAGGAACTGGGCGCCCCGAATGGGACCGGAGGCCCCGATGAAGAAGAAGATTCCAAGAGCCTCCCTCTCCGCACCCAGTCAAGCAAGGGTTCTCGGAGCATGTCACCTCACGTTGGCCGCGCTGGCGAGAACGGCATTGCTGCCACTTTAAATGGTGCTCATTCCAACCATGCCGGGTTCGGCGTTGGTTCGAACACTGCCCGTGACTCTTTCCTCAACTACTTCTTCGGCAAGGAGGGCACTCAAAACACTGCTCTGCCCCCCGCTGGTGTGAGCTCCCACCGCTCCAACCCATACCCCAGTGAACCGAGCATCAGCCAGAGCATTCGTCGTGCTGAAGTTCGGTCACCTGTGATACCCGCCGAGGAATACACTGCCCCTGCGCCAGAATTTGGTGATCTCTCTAATTTCGTAAGTCGTTCGAAACCATACCTCTATATCTGACACTAACAAGCTTGATAGCCCCACGAAAACACCGAGCCTGCACTCACTGACCGTGAAATGTTGGAATGCGAGCTCATCCAGCGTCTTATCTCATCATACTTTGCTATCGTCCGGGAAACAATTGCAGACCAAGTCCCCAAGGCAGTCATGCACCTTCTGGTCAACCATTGCAAGGATGTTGTGCAGAACAGACTTGTGAGTGAGCTGTATAAGGAAGATCTGTTCAGCGAGCTTCTGTATGAAGATGATGGCATCAAGGCCGAGAGAGAGAAGTGCGAGAAGCTACTGGAGACATACAAGGAGGCAGCCAAGATCGTTGGCGAGGTGTTATAGATTAGCCTGTTCTTTTATTATTTGTCCTCAAGAGGCATCTCTCAATTTTATGTACAATTACCGCTCCTCGATACATTGCTTTTTTGTCTGTTCCATAGGCTCTAGTATCTATCACTGGCTTTTCTTTGCCACGCTTCTGAGGCGCGCTCCTTCGAATCCATACAATCCACCACCAACGAACACCAGTGCCGCTCCAACCAGCACACCTCCGGCCAGATGATTTCCAAACAGGTAGATGGACAAGAGCAGAGAGGCCAGCTTCCGAACATTGAGGACAATAGTCACCGTCAGAGAACTCGACTTGGCAGACAAGAGATGTACTCCCCGGATGCACAGATATTGCGTCAACGCATTCATCGCCAAGTACGCGACCTGAACGGGAATCATACCCACGAGATCCCAAACCGCCTTATTGGGGACCAGGCGCAACAGCCCTTGCACACCATCCAAAGTCACCAATGAGGGCGACCCTGCGACAACGCGCCACTGCTCTGCCAATTGTCCCCAGCTCGTGAAGAAAACTGGCAAGGACAGGGCATGGGAATAGAAAAGCGCCTCTTTCCAATGATCTCGGCCATAAGTCGCGTACAACCGATCCGCGAAAATACCCTGGAAAGCAGAGAGGATCATTGCCAGGGCGAGAATGGTGAACCCGGTCACTGTTGTGATCAGATCCGTCTCCACGTGCACGGGGCCTTTCGTCTTAGCATCGGCCATCGCTGCTGCTGCCACGCCCAGCGTCAACATCCCCACAGAAGCAATCTGACCACGCGAATAACGGCGCCCGTTGTAAAGATACCCGATGATCATGGAGGCGACGGGGCCGGCAGAGCGCAGGATGATATGCAATGGGACGGATATTTTGTATGCAAATGCCCAATTGTTCAGAAGATTGACAGACAGGAAATAGAGTGTATAGATCGTCCATGATTTCAGCGGGATGGCGCGCGGGCTAAGAAAGAGCGCTGTTGGGCCTGCTGCTGGGGAAAGGAAATGGGGGAGAGTAAACACGGCGCAGACAATGAACTGAGCGAATGTGATGAGGGGGCCTGGGCAGTGTTAGACGCGAAATGGCGTTGTTGGAAGCGTTGCTTACCGGCCGTTGGCTGTTCCCTGGCGAGATGTTAGTATTTGTCTCATTCTATTCCCTTCAGGCCTCGCGACTCACTTGATGATTGCCTCCAATGCGAATACCTGCTCGTGAGAGATTAGTCGTTATCCTGTCAATTGCCTCGAACCACGCACATTTGCACAGCATCCTCCAAAGATCAAGGAGACCATCAGAACCATGCTGGTCCAATTGGGTATGACCGCCAAAGCAGTGGCGGACACCAGACTTGAAGCATCCTGTTTCGGTTCGTCCACCTTGCCCTCTTTGGGATGAGAGGGGATGTTTGCATCTGAGCTCAGTGGGGAGACTTGAGAACGGTGGCGTCCTCGCAATGAGGAGTCATTGTCATTGATCATTCTAAACTGTACAGAGAGAAGCGTGTGAAGAAGAACACGTCGAGACGAGAGAGATAAGATAGACAGATCACGGGGCTCGGTGATAAGCCGGAGATAAGCATCTCTACGATCAACATTATTCTCGTTTGTATCATTTGTATCATTTGCACATTAATCCACAATATCATCGTCGCTGAGGTACAGCTTCTCTTCTGTAGGTGGGAGATCTGGTGGTGTTGCCTCTGCATCACGATGGTTTCCAACAATCTTATTCAACTGCCACCAATCTGGGTCCTGACGTCGAATGAGGGCCATGTAAGGCAATTGATGGAGCAGAAGATCATCTCGTGGCATCATAGTCACTACTCCATGGTTGTCGTCTGACCGTCCGACCTGTACACTCTTCCACGAACTGACACCAGTAGCTTCAGAGCTTTGAGATGACCGAGATGGATCTAGTAGTCGATGGGACCACGAGTCAACCAAACCTTCAATTTCCTCCGTCTCTCGCCACAGCCGTAAAGAGGCAGGATAGAGCATTTGGTGTGCCTCACCCCCTCGCCGCGCTCCAGATCCAACCTTCCGTTGAACAGGATATGGTAGCGCAAACAGTAGCCCCCGCGTCGCGACCTGGAAGCTCATTTCTTCCTGCCGCAGAGCGTCGACGCCGCTGCTGAAAGTGTTGATGCCAATGCCTACGCCGGTGCGCGCACCTCTAGAGCGACGATCAGTACTGAGGATCTCGCTATCAGAAAGAGCCTCGATACAGTCTCCAAATGTATCAGTGAAATCATCGCCATGGCAGGACGGAAGATAATTCTCATGAAGAGCACTGATAAAGGTAGAGATATCAGTCCCAGTCTCATCGACCAAATCATTGACCAAAACCTGCGAAGCCTTCGGTCGATGAAAATGGGACAAGTAAGCAGGTGGAGCAGGAAGGACCTCAATGTCCTCACCCTCAACCAAGCTGGGGTCCATACGTTTGTTGTACACAATTTTCCCCACGGCATGGAACATTCCCAGACTAGCTTCTCGCTGCGTCACCAGTTTCAGGGTCTCTTTTTCCGTGGCCGTTAGCGCGACCTCGGCACGAGTCTTTTTCTTTGTAAGGCTACCTCCCCACGCCCCTGTGTCATCCCCTTTCAAACAGAGGAACTCAAGCGATGAGATTGCACTGCGAATATCGCCGATTTCCGAAATCCGATCAAGAACTGCCGGGCCGGGGATGTTGACTCGCTTCGAGTCCCGCGCCTCTCTTTCCAAAATGGAGCGCAGGGCCTTATGCATAAAGGTAGGCGCAATGGCATTGAAATCAAGAATTGTCGTCCCGGGATGGTTATACACTGCCGGCCCCAGTAACCGGTGAACGGTCAAATTATCAAAAACGGAAGAGGCAGACCCCAGCAACGTTTCTGAAACAATGATCACCACGGGTGGATGGTCTCCTCCACTCGCTGCGAGGTATCGCTGAAGAGATACCCGGAAAGCTGTATGCGCGGAACCACGTCCCAGCATGGATGGGAATTCCTCAATGAGGAGGATGCGTTTGTCTTTTGTTGCATCGGAGTCAAGATCCAATCCTCCGAACCGATCACCGCGGCCCAGGAACTCTTCAAATTGAGCGCTGGCAGATTGATAAGTGTTTGACCCGAATTCCGATACAGGTGGATTCTTCCATTCAATGATGTCGTATCCAAGGGAGTCGGAAAGAAGGGATATCGTCGTTGTCTTTCCACTTCCTGCTGGGCCTCGCAAGACGAGCAGTCTCTGTAACGGTTAGATTTGTGGGAGGGATAATGGGAGCACTCTTACTTCTGAACGTCTCCCTGCGAAAGAATCTTCTAGCCATGATTGTACATCTGAGACTTTCTTCTTGTGAACGGCTATTGCTGCCAGGGATTCTGGTGCATATCTCTGAGCCCATGGTCTCCCATCCTCTAGTATTGGTTCATTCACCTTCGTCCTGGTGGAGAGAATGAACTTCTTCGTTGGCTTCCTAGGCGGTGCCTTGGGCTTGGGTTTGAGGGGCTTTGGCTTTGGTTTATCGCGTGTCTGAGTCGCGCTCGAGCTGACCGCACGCTCATTTGCTAGGTGTTGGGTAAAGATTTCATCGTAAGAGTCGTAGTCGTCTTCTATGAGATCGACATCTTCTGTTGGTTTCTCAATTGCAGCCCATCGCTGCGCTTCTGTCGCCGGTTGAAAAAAGTTATGTAGGGATTTGGCCTTTTCCGGGGAGGCCTTGGGAGAGGCTGGTCGCGGGCGATTGGAGAGGGCGAAAGGAGAAGTTGATTCTATTGGAGATGAGCTATCCTGAGGCACAGGTTTGCGCCTCGACTTCTCCGACCTGCGTTGTCGTTTGGGGGGAGGGTCCATTGTGAAGTGAGAAGGAGAGGAAGCGATAAGCTTATCATGTTATGACGCTAAGCATCGATGCGGAGTATAAAACAGCCAGGTACTTAAGTATATTATATATGCTTAAATTTAGAAGTATATTCATATATAAACACACACATACTTAAGTAGCAAGTAAATATATAGATCTCAGGCATACAAATGCAAGGTGATATTATTTATTTATGTCCAGTCACAACGGGTATATTGACCAGAGGAAGCAAAACACAGCTCTATACACCCCCAAAAACATCATAATAGTAATCTTCATCCAAGCCCTCTCGAGCCGGCACTGGCGGTGCTTCACCCGCAAACGTAGCGTCATCAAAGCGAACATTAAGCAGTCGGATCTTGAGCCCGTAGTTGCTGACCAGGTCAATCAGCTTGGTCGTTTCCGCCGTGATCGGCTGTTGATTGAGGAGCATCAGCAGACCATCCAGCCACTCGGACGCAATGCTGTGAGAGTATGGCCGCAGGGTGAGGAGGATGACTTCTTTCTGAGTGGCTCGACTGCCGGAGCGAGTGTGACCGGTACCTTTACCATAATTGCTGGGGGAGGGGGCGTGGCCATGGATGGTAATCTTAGTAGCGGGTTGGCGGGATGATTTGGCCGTGGCCGAGGGTTCTGTGGAGACGTTGGAAACAACAGAGGAGACGAGGGAGAGATCGACTAGGGCAGACTGTTAGCAGGGAAGAAACACATGGGCAGCGTGACACGGAGCACACTCACTTTTCTCGGGGAGGGTATCCAGCTCTGGCGCTTGGTCCCCCATCAGATCGAAGGATCCAAAATGTAGATATCGGCGATTATGCGAGAGCTGAGCATATTGATAGGTGGCAGACTTGGGACCATCGGACTTGGCATCCAGCGCGAACCAGCACCCGTGAAGCAGAGATCGGATCCGTTGCTCCTTGACAAACTGTAAAGCCTCATGGTGCAGCTCGTCGCGCACCTGACGCAAATGCTGACCCCACGCATCCTCGTAGGTAAGTTCCAGAAGTTCCATCTGCAACCCACGGAGGCGGTTATATTCGAAATCCGCCAGCTCCTCCTCGACATCCTGGACGTCCTTGGTCCGGTCTGCGCCGCCGACTACGGACTCAATGAGAATGCGCACGAGTTCAATCAGCTTATCCAAGTCCTCTGCTTCAGCTGCCGTTGCTTTCCACAGACGGAAAAACGCCTGTAAGCCGGCGACATGTAATCGGGTCCAGTGTAACAGCAGAGGCTGGAACATTTTATCAAACCCAGCACGAGATTCGGAGATGAACTTCGAATCATCCATATCGGATTTTTCCACTTCAAAATGCTCGTAGAGAATAGACGTCACGGCCAGCGAGGCTCGCGCAATGGGACATCGTTGACCTGCGGGTTTGGTCGAGTGTTCCAGGAGCAATTTCTGGAATTCATCGCCGTGGCTACGCACGTAATCTGCCAGGTCCATCATCCCCAGGAACCCAACCTCGTGGAAATCCACCACAGGGCTCTCGGACTCAAAGCCCAGCCTTCTCCACTTCTCCGGATGATGCTTTCGGGACCGTCGTGTATCGTCGGCCTCCTCATTCTTCTCGGGGTTGCTTGCCAGATGGATCCCCTTTAGCGCACGGCGATGTTCGGGCTTTTCTTGGTCCAGGGGGATATCCCGCCACTTGCGCAGCAAGACTTTGGTCAGTGATTGAAATTCCATGAGCGGGTGGGCTAGGTCTTGGAGCGCCGGGTCCTGCATCAGCACATAGACGGCTCTGATCACGCCGAGGTCCTGTAACTTTTGTATGAATTTGGGCCACTCGGCCTCGGAGTCGTGGGTAATAGAATCGCGCATCAGGGAGTTGATCAGTTGCAGTGCATTTGCGCATAGAGCATGGTCGGCGGAGGAGAGTCGGGTCACGAGCATTTCGAGAAATTGGGGGTATATCGCGATGGCGGGTTTCAGGGCGCGGAAGCCAGAGAGTTCGGCGGAGCGCATGCTGGATGGCTGGGAGACAATCGACACCAGAATTGACATGGCGCCTCGGAGGATATTCACGAGGGGATGGGTGACAATCAATTCCACAATCTAGGGGAGTTAGCGATGTAGGAGTCCGCAGGGTGAGAGACTCACGCGCTCCACCATCTCTTCATCCACACAATCCCATCCCTTGTCGACATCCAGCAGGCGGGAGAAACTGGTTAAACTGTATGCGAGGGTATTCCCACTGGCGTGGAGGGTCAAGTAGCGTAATCGGGTGAGACCTCCCTCCGCAATAAAGAGGTCGGCGAAAGACGGGTCGCCGATATTGGTCTGCAGCTTGAAGACCGCCATTTTGCGCACGGCATCTTCATCGCTCCCCAGGCGCTCCACGAGCTCTGGGACATTGACAGTTTCCATGCTGGGGATGTAAAGGGAAGAAGGCGTTCGGGAGAAAGATCAGGGGCTGTGGGGCTAATATCCATGTCGATCCCTTTAATTTCGTGAAGACTTCGTATAGAGTTACAATGTCTATGTCTATAGATATTTACTATTTATGTACTATATATTCTCAAGTTAAAAAGATCAATATTCACATTAAGTCGTTATCTTTTGTTTCTATGCTCATTATGTTCGTACAAATCACCTCCGCCAGCCCACGTTCCAGATAACATGCGCAATGTCTCGCGCCGTGTTGACGGTGTCGACGACCCGGCCGAGAAGGCCGTGGTTGGAGGTTTCATCGCCTTCAGGCATGAACATGCCATCATTCAGTTGAAGCGGGCGACTGGACGGGTCTTGAAACCACGAATTACGCTCCGGGTAGTTACCGGTGAAGTCCAGGGTGGGATCTTCATCGTCGAGGAGGAAGTTGGCTTGGGGCTCTGGGGCAGAGGGTCGGAGGGTCTCGACCGAGGGCGTAGGGGATAATTGGGACCACTGATCCAGCTGGGAACGGGGCTCAACGTCCCCGCGGTATTTGAGGGTCGTCGAAGGAAGGGGGGCGATCGTTTTCCCTTCCCCGCTGAAACTGTTCCGGGGAGTACGGGTGCCGAGGGGGTCCTGGTCAGGAATTTGTCGCATCAGGACCACGCCATCGTCGGAGGATTCATCAAAAGTCGCAGGCCATTCGTCCTCATAGCTTTTGGCTTCGACGGCAATGCATTGCACGACTTCATTGTTAAAGTGGATATGACGCCGCTCACTGGGGGATGTCATCCCAGAAGACGATGAGGTAGTCAATGTCCCGCCGAGGGAGTACGTGGAACTGCCCGTGCGGTGGTGCAGCTGATCCAAATCAGTATTGGATCTGGGGAAAGGGGGCCGTGCCCATCCATTCTCTGCTTCTTGGGCTTTGAGGATAGCCCCCGCGTGCTGGAGTAACGTGTGTTGTGACAGGGACCGCTGGAGAATCGCCTCGGATGCAGTCTTTTTCTTTAAGATTGGTTTTTTATCCCGGTAGGAGTTCGGGGTCTCCAGCCGGCTGGGCGGAGGGGAGGGGGATGTTTCACGTTCCACAGAGCTTTTTAATGGGCCATAGAGCCAAGTCACATCACAGTCTTTCAGCCTGATGCAGGGGTTAGCGGGGATCCAAGAGATGAAAGGACCCAACGTACCAGTTCAGACTCTCCGGTGATATTGTCCTGAGGTTGTACTTGGCTTTGGTCCATGTCCGCCACGACGCATTTTCTAGTCGCACTCCATTGCTGTAGTCATTTCTTCGACTGGTCACGTAGCGCCAGGAGGACCAGATATCCTCCTCCTTCCAGTCATGGGAGAGGTAGTCCACATGTCTGGAGGGCTCCTCCTCCAGGGAGGTGTCATCCGCTGCCGGGTTCTGAATTGAGCAGGGGGATTCTGTGGAGACATCGCTCATTTCCTCTTCCTTGAGGGAGTCGTATGCGGGTAGGATCAGCTCCTCGTCTGAGGACAGGGTGGTTGCGGGTGTGTAGAGGCCCGGGGTGAAACTGGGCGAAGGCGGTTCGGAGGGCAGGGAGGAGACCGAGTCCCTGCGATAGGCATCTTGCATTGGCAATTTTTGAATGGCGTGGTCTTCTAAGAAATATCGCTGTGCGGTGGGACACCGATCCGGAGCGAAGTGCGACACGTCGCGCGCCAACAGGGTCGTCATATCCGAGGGATATGAGGTCAGAACCGAACAGGGCTAGATCATGTCTGTATGGAAGTATCGGCAGAGGCAGAGAGGAGAGGGCAGAAAGGAATAACTGTTGGACCCTGAAGGGAGAGGGCAGGAAGGAAATGGAGAACCCTGAAGGGAAGACCAAGGGGCAGATATCTGGAGTAGTGGAGAAGAGCCGCTCCCGGAGAAGTGGGGGTGCGAAATATGTAGGAAATAGTTCACGCTTCACAATTAACAGTTAACAGGGAAAAAGAAAAGAGGGAAGAGAAGAAAATATGAAGAATTTCCAGTTTGAAAAGGTCTATACATATAGACTTTAGTATATCACCGAAGTTCGCCACCGCATATCTAGTCTCGTAAAAAGAGTATACAAAATAGCGAAAGTCGAAAAAAGAACAGGCCAGACTGCACGAAAAATTAGTGCAACCGTTGTTTCTCCACCGTATGCAAGAGGTCAATTAGCGTGGTTGTGCTCTACTTAACTACAGGCGATCCTGAGTGGGTTACGCTCTATAGATCCGCATTTAAGTATATGTATATAGATATAGATAGTCTCTGACTTTTAGAGTATATTCACGAAACGAGAACCATAGTAATAGTAATAATAATAGTTAAGTATTCTTCAGACTGTATTGAATATTCGAATATTCTCCTATTCTCGGCATATCACGGATCGGCCTAGAGTCCAGCCCGCAGGCCTGAGCGAGGTTAGTTCAGAAGATTCGTGAGTCCGACCTCCGGTCCACTTTACGAGACTTTTTGAAGAGACAAAACTGGGAATCTGGGCCCCGACTAGGGCTTATCTCTGGAGATCTGGAGTACACAGTTTAGACAGGAGTATATAGTCCGAATGCGGCCAATCCTACCTCAATCCCAATGAGCTTTCAATTACATTCAATTAGATCAATCTCAATTCCTGGACCTTGAAGTACATCGCACAGAAACCTTGAACATCCGTACAAATGCAAAGTCAAAAAAATAAAATACGAAAAGTCTACAGATAGGCCAGAGCACCAATGATTGGGCCTCATATCTGTCTCAATTTGCCCGCAGCGACGTTGGCAGAGATAACCGTCGAAAAACAAGTCGCACACGGAATTTTGTCTGTGCGTCTGCGTCGTAAAGCTGGGCGACCCTGTACGTGGATGAGCGGACGCTTGACAGAGCCAGTGATAAGCGCCCATCGCTGCATGTTACCGTGAAGTAGCCGGGTTCAGGCCCTCCCGGGAGGAAACTTGAAACTCCGCGCTAGACTTGACGCGCAGCTCTGCTCTGCATACACCCCGGAGCCCCCCCCACGGGCCTCCAACGTCGGGCCAGCGATCATTGGACCCCGGATAACGCCTCTGCACTATGCCAGCACAACAGGGGCCATTGTTCCAAGCTGACGTAGACGACACTTATCTCTCTCTCTCGGTGAACTTGGGAAAGCGGCGTGAAACCCCTGCGAGTCATGACTTGATCGCGATCAATTGGCTCCCACTAATTGGCTCTCTCGTGTCCCCTCAGTCAAACAGGCCTGGATGAAGGCGGGTCTCTTTGCATCGCCCCCGACTTGCTGTTTTGCAAAACCTTGGGAATAGAGATTAGCCATCCGAGATATGGAATGTCGTGATAACGAGATTCGCCACTGGGTCAAGCTGCCATAGGGGAAAAAACATCATGTCGAGAGCAATTGAGCAATTGAGCAATTGACTCTTCCCATTGGCGATAGACCCCACACCAGAACAGACCTGCAGACGTCAAGATCCCGGAGGCCCGGAGTCCCGAAGACTGGGAGACCGGAGAGGCCAGAGGCGCTGCACGTGATACGCCCAAAGTGGGATCCGGCAGAACTGCCCCTCCGCCCCCCCGCGCCGGACTTTCTCTGAGCTACAAAGCTACAAGCTGACCGGTCCAGACCTTTCCCCAAATTCAAAATGGCAGAGGTTGAAGTTTCTCAGGCGAGACAGGTCACTTACTGTGGAGGTGAGGACCCAGGGAGAAGCCGAGACCAAGCAACGCTGACCGAACTTTAGTCTGCACATTACCCCCAGAGGTACGACCTTGCGAGCACCCCAGCACCCCAGCTCCCATTTCCCCTAGTCTTTCCGGGCCCCGGATCTTCCAGGCCCAGCCTTTCCCCCGCCCCTTATCATCCCATCATCAAAGCTAATGCGGGGTCTAGTATTGCGAGTTCGGGGGTACGGCAAAGAAATGCGAAGACTGGTTGAAAGACAACGAGTCGGAACTGTGGGATAAATTGTATTCCGAAGGTAAGGGTATAGTCGAGGGCTATGGAATGATCTCTAACGATGGCCAGATGCACTAAACGCCAACCTCTCCACCCTCTCGGTGTCTGCCCAAGAACGTGCGGCCAAGGATGCCGCAAAGAAGGAAGCCAAGGCGGCCGCCAGCGAGGCTCGCGATAGTGAGCGCAAGGCCGCTTCCAAGGTCATTATCAAACGGGTTGAGCGAAACAAGCGCAAATACGTCACCGTGGTCATTGGACTGGAGGTCTTCGGATTGGAGAACAAGAAGATTGCAAAGGACCTGGGCAAGAAATTTGCTACTGGGTCCTCGGTGACCCGATCACCGGCAGGTGTGGAAGAAATTACAGTGCAGGGTGATGTGAGTGATGATCTCAGCGATTGGTTGCTCGAGGTCCATGGAGCCAAGATCCCCGAGGCCAATATCGAGTTTGTGGAAGATAAGAAGAAGAAGAAGAGCGAGCAACCTATTGTATAAAGGGGGTATCATGACATAAAAAAACAAGAATTAAGTACAAATGGAAAACATGTCCAGGATGCACAAACGCTGGGGAAACACAAACACAAGCACACGTTTGAATTGGAAAGGTCGAGGCCGGGCCCGACGCACAATCACAACTCATCCAATACGCGGAGAGGGTCATACACTGTAGGAGTTGGACGGGGACCAGCCTTGGACCAACTCTGACGACGATCTGCCAGAATAGACGGGAACGTCGGCCCTGCGTCCGTTCCTGGTTTCACTGAGCCCTGATCCCCGAAACGCTCCAGCTGGGGAGCACGGAAGGTATCCCGATCCAGATGATTCTGATGGAAGGCCAAAGCGAGTACCAGCACCACCACGGCCCCCAACACAATGCCCCAGATCCGCAGGCGCCGCGTAGTCTTCATTTGCCACTCCGTTTCCCGTTGCTCCCAGCTGTCAATCTCATGTCGCACACTCTCCAGACGCTTGCCTAGCTCTTCAACGTGGTGCCGGCCGGCTTCCATCCGTTGTTCCAGCGCATCGGCTTTTTCAACCTGCGGCGTAAACCCTTGCAGATCGTTGAGTTGTTTGCGAATATCCTGATCCAGACCGGCCGTCTGGCGGTCAAAATCACTTAATAGCGTGGAGGCGGAATCAGATAGTTCCTGAAATGAGGCAATGGTTGAGTTGAGGGCTGTGATCTTCTCCAGCAGGTTGTAATATGTATAATCGAGTCGACGCGTGGCATCCGTTGCCAAGGTCCCAATGGACGTCAGAGCAGACCTGAGATATCTATTACCATTAGTATAATCCTAGATCGAATGCAGGGAGTCACATACTCCTCCCCAGTCTTCCTCCTCTTCTTGGCCTTCTCCAAATCCCCCAAGGATTGAATCCCCCTGACAGGACCCAATCGCTCCTCGACCAAGCTTCCCTTCCGACTCGCTGTCGACTCGGAGCCCCAGCGCCCCTCCGGACTCAGCAAGACTTGATCTTTGTCTTTGGACGACCAGGTGGGTAATAGCCCGCGCGCGCTGGCCGAGGCCAAATGGCTCCTCGGCCGCGCAAACCGCAGTTCCCGCGATTTGCTATGCTTGTGCCGACGACTCTCCGTCGGAGTTCCAGATGCCGCGGGCTGTGCTGCGGCTCGTTGAGAGCGCGGGGAGATCTGGCGGTCGTCGGGGGCTTGGGATCGGCTTGCGGTGTCGGGGGATTCTTGGGATGTGGTCTGAGATAGGGGGAATGTGGCCGAAGTAGCCCTCGAAGGAAACGAGGGCTTATGAAGTTCCATATTCCGGGTTGAAGTAGCGAGATGAAACTTGGGGGAACCTAAGAGGTGGAGTTGGACCGATGACGCCAAAGTTCGGAGAATGTGTTGGCTTTCCGCCTTGAACATGTCAATTGAGATAATTAAAGAGAAACAATGGGTTTTTGCTCGCTACAATGATTTTGACCTCGAATGAAATTATAAAAGAAAAAAACAACGCCCAGCCCATTTTCAAGCCCTTTTCCCATATGATCAAGAGTTGAGCAGCTTGTTGCGCTTCTCTCTGCGCTTGAGACGCTCGACTCTCTTGTGGTGCATCTTCTCGGCCATCTTCTCGTAGCGAAGCTTCTCCTCCTTGGCTTCCCGGCGGTCCTTGATGCGCTGGATATGAGCCTGTAGTCTCGGTCAGTGATGCCGTCTTGGGAAGGTGCAGGGTCGGATATAATTTTATGGAGACCCTGATGGAGACCAGACAAGTATGGAGACCAGGCACGGGCAGGTGAGACAGTGTAATATCCAACAGGAAATGCCCAACGAGGGACGGAAAGATCGACATACCTTGCGCTCAGCTTCATGTTCAGCCTTCATCTCACGCTCCAACTCCTTCACTGCGTCGGCGTGCTTGCGTGCCTCTTGACGCTTAGCATATGAGGTCAAACCCGCATTAGGACGGAATGCCTTCTTGGTGCCATGCCAGTTTTTGCCTGAAAGTCCGATCGGGTCAGCGAGACGAGGATAAGTGGGGACCGGTTTTTTTTTTTTTTAACTGACCATTTTTCCGAGAGCCGATGCTCGGGGTCGCGGCTGTAGCGGCTGAAGCGGTTGTTGTCGTTGTGGTAGACATGGTAGAGGATTCAAACTGGAATCCTGGTGAGGTGGAAGGTCGAAAAGAGAAGCCGTGAGAAAAAAGCGGCGAACGGAGACCGAGTTTTTCTTCTGATTATCTCGATCTGATAAAATGTCTTGGCGCAACTGCGGCGAAGAAAATGCGTCGGGCCCAATCTCCCCGACTCCACCTCTTCTCTCTTTTGATCTCGTCCACTTTCTTAAAACGGGGACTTGAGATTTTAGCGCTTCTGCAGCCTTGATTTGCACCTGTCATCGTGCTCTCGCTTCTGCAAGTGGCTTGGCGACAGGTTCATACAAATCCCTCGTTACACCGCCCCCCCACCACTCTTATACTCTCTCCCCCTCTCTCTCACTCTACCATGACCCCTCAATAACACTCTGACTCTCTCTCAAATCTTCCCTTGATGGCGACAGACCATGCGACCATGGCTGAGCGAATTGAGCTGCCATCGCTCCCACCTAACCAGGGTCTGGAGGCGCTGAAGGACATTGTCTTCGGTTCGGTAAGCAATTTCCCCCCGCATGACCGAATTGGCCACTGACAATGATTAGTTTGCAGGAATGGCCGGCAAATTGATCGAGTATCCCTTCGACACCGTCAAGGTCCGACTCCAATCGCAACCCGAAACCCTCCCACTTCGCTACACAGGACCCTTGGACTGTTTCCGCCAATCCTTCCAAGCAGACGGGTTCCGCGGACTGTATAGAGGCATTAGCGCGCCTATGATCGGTGCAGCTGTGGAAACCAGTTGTCTCTTCTTCAGTTATCGCCTCATCCAGGATACCCTGCGCGCCACAGTCTACGGCAATGTGGAAAACCTCCCCTTCCCCGCTCTGATCGCGAGCGGTGCCCTCTCTGGCTCGGTCACATCCCTCGCGCTCACCCCCATCGAACTTGTGAAATGCAAAATGCAAGTGCCGGCCGAGTCCGTCAGTCTCAAACCGACCGGCCCCATGACAATCATCACCACCATTTTCCGCCAAGAAGGACTCATTGGCTTCTGGCGGGGCCAGATGGGCACTCTGATCCGAGAGACAGGTGGCAGCGCCGCCTGGTTCGGTGGATATGAAGGCGTGTCGGCTCTCTTCCGTTCCTACAATCAAAAGCATACCCAGCACGCGGATTCGCTGGCCCTCCATCAACAAATGATCGCCGGTGCCTCGGCTGGAATCAGCTACAATTTCCTCTTCTACCCAGCCGACACTGTCAAGTCACGCATGCAGACCGTGGACATCTCCCAGCTACCCGTCAGCGCACAGCGTCAGACTTTTTGGAGTGTGACCAAGGCCCTGTGGAGACAGCAAGGGCTGAAGGGCATGTACCGCGGGTGCGGGATCACCTGCGCGCGTTCGGCGCCTAGCTCGGCCTTTATTTTCTCTGTTTATGAAGGATTACGGTCCCACTTTGGATGAAACTGCACATAGACTTTGCTTTTTTCTTTTTTTGTTTCTGGCCTTGCGCTATACCCCGAATACATCCATGGGTCTCACTTTTCGGTGAGCCCTTTACATTTTCCAACTTGCACATATAGATTTTTCTTTTTCTTTGCCGCTCATATGATAGAACAAAGTGCTGAGGATTCTGCTCTCCAAGTCAGGGCATTAGCTCACAGGAAAAGACCTCAAATTTAAAACAAAGAATTGGAAAGCCAATCCAAGCCTCCAAAATCTTCGAGATTCTGATCTAGATCATATAGAATGCCGTCTCCAGCCTCCAAATACGACCCATTGGCCGAATCTGGGTCAAAAGAAGTATGTGACTGTGAGGAGACGCCCTGTTTGCTCGCCCTTGAAGCCGTGGTCCGCTCCATCAACCGATCCAGCGGTTTTTCCAGCAAAGCATCAGAATTGGGATGGTTCCGTTGCCATAGATGATACATCTTGGTCACGACATCCCACGCATGATCGGTTTCGGGGCTCAGAGGACGGGAACATAGCTCGGAGAGGATAAAAGCCACGACATGCCACTCCTTGTAGCTTTTACAGAGCCAGCTCCATTGGGTCGTCGCTTCATTAGTCTGGAGCAGATATGCAAACTGGACGATCTCCACTGCCGTCTCGAAGACGCTATCGTTGTGCTGAAACGATTGGTCTTGTCCGGAGTGAAAATGTGCCGCTAGCCATGCCTGAGAGAGCTGGAGGCGAATGATCGTAGCGAAGACCCAATGAATGGGAATCTCGAGATTGAAATGGTTCAAATATTGTTCATGGATGCGCTTGCCTAACGCTGTGATACGGCTTGCTCTGTCCTGAGTTGACTGGTTAGAAGATTCACCCAATTTCTCCGACCAGAGGATCTCTGTCATCATAGAGCAATTCATAACGCATATTGTGATATTGGTGAAGCCGATAGACGGCTCAGGATACTCGGTCATTTGAGGAGTGAGGAGGTGGTCGTCGACATTGAGTGGAGACTTGGTGTCGAACATTTCGGGCCTGATTTGTGTATCGACCCCTTGATCCCGGGAGGAAAGCATGTCCAGCATGCAGATATGCCACCATAATCGACGTCGAATCTCAGCCTCGAAAGGAGGCAATCCGAAATTATCCCCATCACGGTGGACACCTTGTGCCTGTGCCACTCGAATCACCACGGCAGACTCGGCCCAAACAAGGCGAGTATCCCCACCCACGCGACAGCAGAGCAAAAAGAGTACTGCCGCTTGAAGAGTGGACAGACTCTGGCATTTGATGAGGTTGGCTCGATGGAGGGCCTGGCTCACAGCTCTTTTGAAGTTTTGTATAGCCGTGTCGTGGTCGACCTTCAGAATAGAGAGGCAATCAGAGGGCTTCATGCTGACCACTGCTGCGAAGTACACAGAGAAGAGCAACGCTTCATCAGAAGGAGCCAAAAAGACCTCCGCACATTTGTTCTGGATGATCTGGGCCATAGATGGCTTGTGGAGAATGGCGATGAGCGGCGCTACATTCTCTAGGTATACTCTCCACAAAGCTTCAGTTCTCGATCCAACATAGATCCGGAATGAGTCCAGGAAGTGGGAGTCATTTTCACCTCTCAGAATGCCACTTTCGGACAGAATTCCAAAGTAAGATGCATCTGGCGACTCCTCGTCCGAAGAGCTCTCAATGATGTCCCGAAGCTCGGATATGTGTTGGAGGATCAGTGCCTGACAATTACAAAGGGCAAAGTATCCCGCACCTGCTCTCCCAGGGCTATGGAAGCTTCGTCTCCGATATAGCGACTCTTTCCTTCTTTCAACACTAGTACCGTCTTCTTCGCGTGGCTGTCTTCCACAGAGCCAGAGTCCGATTTCCGATCGGCCGATCGAAGTTGCGCAAGCTCTTCCTCCAGGTGCTTCAGGCGATCTCGCAGCTCACTGATGGGTGGTCTGTTCAATGTTCGCCGAGCTCTTTGCGGGCCTGGATAATTGCACTGGACTTCGGCTTTGGTACAGCCATTGCATGGATATCTTTTGTCACATCGCACTTTTCTTTGACTGCAGCGAGTGCAACTGCGCTTATTCAACTCTGCATGTTGCGACATGTCCAATGGAGACGTCTGGGAGGACAGGGTCGGATCCGTTATCTCGTGCAAACGGTGCAAACATGATGCCCGACTATACTCTTCACTCTTTACTGTTTACTGTTTACTCCTTACAAATTCAATAATGATCAGATGCTAAGTGCGACTACCAGAAAAACATATTGGACTTCTTTCTCGAAGGTCAGATTGAAGAACCAGCGAAGAAGAGAGTCGAAGAGCTGAAAAGATACGGATTATCTCATCACAGCCCCCAATGTGATGGAACAACCTCAATTGCACCCTGAGGCATCATGGTTGGCGTTCCTTACACATCTAAGGGATGCATTCTTTGCAGGAAACGAAAGATCAAAGTGAGTTCACCTTTCCTCGGGAGAGAGAAGATTAACCCTGTCTAGTGTGATGAGCGCAAGCCACAATGTGGGAAATGCATCAGACGCGGGGAACCTTGTCCAGGCTATGAAGGGCCTCGCTTTATTCCCTATCGCCAGTCGCCTGGCAAAGAAACACAAGTATCAACTGCGCTGCAATTGAGAAACAGACACACCTGGGTGGATCCCAATCAGTCCATTGCACAAGGCCCAGTGGTTCGAGAACAGATCACCTCTTGTTTCCTACAGACTTATTTCCCTGTGCATCAAAAGTGGCACTCTATGAACCCAGATGTCTTCCAATGCTTGTTCGCAGAAATTGCAGCTTTGCCGAAGAAGTCCCCATTGCTTCAAAAGACCATTGTGGCAATATCCTGTGTCTATTTGGGCAAAGTGCAGGGCGATGAGAGCATGCTTCGACACGGCGCACAGCTGTATAACAATGGCCTGGGGATTATGTCTCGTATGCTGAGTCGTCAATTATATACCGACGAGCTGTTATACACAGCCATGATCTTCCAAGAATTAGAGGTAAGACTCTCAACGAGAATCGACGATATTGCTGACATTCCAGGCTATACATTGTCCCCACAGTCTTGGAGGATATGTGATGCATGTTATGGGAATCAGTTCTATATTGAGACGGTACTTACCACAAGTACTGGCAAATCCTCTGACAGCTGCCATCTACCACAAACACCACAAATTGAAAGTAGTAGGTGAAACACATGGATTGACCTCTCCGGCCCACTAATTGAAGATAGTTCATGACTAATCACTTGAACCTGTCCGACGACGACTACAATTATATCTCCCAGCCTACGCGAGGTGACCCCATGCTGGAGTTGATAAAGATCGTCGCAGATATTGGCCTTTTGCACAAAACAGCAGGTGTGGCCTGTTTGTCCCGTGAATCCTGCCAGGAGTTTCTCTCACGTTGTCTGGTCCAACAAGAGAAACAAATGGCATGGTATTCTCGATGGGAAGGAAGTTATGGGTGGAACACATCCACATATGGCCCAGGTAAATAAACCTCATCTCTAGTGTCTTCCCATACAAAACCAGCTCGCGATGTTTACAAACCCCAATGATAGGCACATTAAACTGCGAATTACCCTCGACGGACGAGATATTTGGCCCAGCCTACCGCTTCCCCTCTCTTGACTGTGCCAAGTTGCACATCTTGTTCTGGGTGGGGTCTATGACCCTATGCCCTTTGATACATCAAGCCCAGAATCCCATGTTTCAAGAAGAACACAGTGTCAGAACAGCTCATTCGCCCACAGAGGAACAAGCAATCTCAATTATCTATGCCGACAAGATTGCCCGAAGCATTCCATACTGCACCCAAGCTGGTATGAACGCGCGGGGGTTCTATCCGGGGATTTCAACGGCTGCCCATCTCGCTATGATCTACAGCGCCGCTGGATGTCGGGATAAGTTTGTATGGACCCAGTATGTGTTGATTCACATGTCTAATTGGGGCTTTGGTGTTGCTGCTCGGGGGTACGAGATTGCGTCCAGCTGGTGGTCCCGTGATAACCCGGAAGAACCAGAGCAAACTGTCGAGGCTGAGGAAATGGATCTCAATCGAAGCTGGCAGACCAAATCTCACCGAGCATCTTTGGGATTCCAGGCTATTCGAGATAGCATCAAGATCGAGGGCCCAGAAAGCACAGTGGAAGAGGACAACACAGAGTGATGTGCTTGGATTTTGAATGCCTTGGAGATTCGCACAAGGTTGCTAGCGTACCACGGCACCTGGCGATCCCAGCTGGCAAAGTGATTCCAAATACAGGAAATCTCCTAGGGTTATTGGGCATGCGACACCCCGAAGGCCAATTCATTAGCAAAGTCGAGAGATTTCTATGATCATTATATCTGTTTTGGGGCTGACATCTGCGAGTGTTCCTCGCCGTTGGGATCAAGTGACAAGTGAGGCAAATCAGCGAGTCGCAAATTGACTCTCTGTCTTCAGCCAATCCGCAAAGGATTTCAGCTCCGGATTCAGCTTCTTCAACGCTGGAATATCAGCAGCATATCCTTGATCAAAGAACCACTGGAACATCACCCCCAGCTCCTTCACCATGGTCATCATCAACCACACCGGGGTGGTAAACGTGGTGGGCACATCCTTGCCGGTCTGTTGCTTGAAAGTCTCTGCCATCTCATCAAACGTCAACTCATCCCCGGCCAATGTCAAGGCATGATTCTTCCACGCCTCAGGATTCATAAATGCTGCCGCGGCAAAGAATCCAATGTCACTTGTTGCAACCAGCTGGAGGGGTTTCCCCTTCAAGCTCATTTTCCAGGCTGTTGTGAATACCTTCCCAAAGTAGTCTGGGGTAAGATTTTCGAAGAAGGCGACGGGACGAAGGATCGTCCATTGCATGTTGCTGTGCTTGGTGGTCTTCGCTTTCAGGTGAACTTCAATCTCATGCTTGTGAATGAAGTGTGGCACCGGCGTGGGATTATGATCCGAGTCTGTGCCGTGTCGATCCACGGAACTATACACGAAGAACTCCACGTTCTGTTTGATAGATTCATCTATCAGGGCAATTCCTTGGCGTTTTTCGTCGTCATTTCTGGGATTCACAGTCTACCATTGTCAGTTGTATCTCCCACTGTGTCAGAGCTGCCTCTTACCTGGACACTAAAGACGCCCCAGACCGGCGTTGAACATTGACGCTTCGCATTCTCAAAGATAGCCGCGGGGTTATCGAGGTTTCCTTCAATCAAGGTGATGCTCTCCGACTTCTGCGCCAATTTCTTGGCTGCCGGCGAGTTCACATCTCGCGTGACCGCGAGTATGTTGAACGGAGCTTTCTTCTGCAGGAGGCTGTTGATGACGGAGCCTCCTTGTTTGCCTGTAGCGCCAGTGATGAGAATTGTGGTCATGGTTATGGAATGTGAGATTCAGAGGAAGACCATCCGGGAATATATACGGCATAATTTCTCGGAAGTTGCAAAGGGCGAGGTTTGTCAGTTGGTGAAGTTCGGGGCCATTCTCAACCCCGACATCATGACGTCACTTCTGCCTCTCTTCTCTCTTTTCTCTTCTCTTCTCTTCTTGTCTACACTTCTTGTCTACACTTCCCGTCTTCTCTCTTTTATTCTGTCAGGAGATTCTCCCTGGTCAAAGATCAGGGGACGGGCTACAGGCTACAGGCTACAGGCTACAGGTTTCATTTACAATGGGTCCAAATATCCAATCATCCCGAGTTGTCTCAAAACCGGAGTCAACACCGAGTCTAGTTCCTGTCGAGTCTCAGCGAGCCAAAGAAAACCAGGATTGTATGGAGAAACATGGAAAGTGCCAGCCCTGATCCAATCCGCATGCTGCAATATCAAATGTCCCCCGGATGGAGCCACTAACCCCCGGGGTCCTCAGCCGGGAGATTTCTTGCTCTTGACAGTGCCGACAACCAGAGCAGAGTGTTGAGCGTGTCAAGATGTCAAGGCATGCAAAGGTAACAGGGAAGTACAGCTGTTGTATTCAATGTCGACAGTGACGCTTCATTAGACTTGACCTTTAGATGTAAGGACTCAGATGCAAAGGGCGAGTTCAGCGTTCAGCCCTATTCAGCCCTACGCACATCGACCCACTTAGAATAGCTTAGCCGACGAGAAGCTCAAGAACTGACAGGCAACAGCTTGGGAATTCTCAGTCACCTCCAAGGTACTCATCCAGTGAAGTACAAAGTCAGGGACTTGAACTTCTCTGTACTCTTCTCTCTGTATCCTCTGTCTGCACTGCACTGGACATGGCTTTCGATCCGACTAACGTCAATCTCTCCACGGCCAGCAAGGAAGATGTCCTCTGCTACTTTGCCATCTCTGAGAATGACTACAATGGTCATCTCGGGGCTCGCATCTCTTCCATCTTTGTGATTCTCTTTGTGTCCTCTGCATTCACGGTCTTCCCCGTTCTGTCCAAGCGTATGCCGACCTGGAAGATCCCCCAGAGTGTCTACCTCTTTGCCCGGTACTTCGGCACCGGTGTGATTGTTGCCACAGCCTTTGTGCATCTCCTCGATCCTGCCTATAAACGGATTGGCCCGAAGACCTGTGTCGGACAATCCGGATATTGGAGCGAGTACTCATGGTGTGCTGCCATTGTCCTCGTCTCAATCGTCGTGATTTTCTTGCTCGACCTGGCGGCGGAAGTGTATGTCGAACACAAGTACGGCGTTCACCGGGACGAAGAAGCTACCAATGTCTTCCTCCAAGATTCCAATGCCCCGACCCCAGCTCCAGGTCCAGCCCCGACCGAGAAAGAGGTCGCGACATGGACTACAGAAGATGACACTGTAATGGCTGAGCGCTCATTCCGACAACAGATTGCAGCCTTCCTCCTCCTGGAGTTCGGCATCATCTTCCACTCCGTCATCATCGGCCTGAACCTGGGCGTGACAGGCTCCGAGTTCGCCACCCTCTACCCTGTTCTTGTCTTCCATCAATCCTTCGAAGGATTGGGTATCGGCGCCCGCATGTCAGCCATTCCATTTGGCAAACATACCTGGCTCCCCTGGATTCTGTGTGCCGCCTACGGATTGACCACTCCTGTCTCGATTGCGATCGGACTAGGTGTTCGCACGACCTATACCCCCGGATCGAAAGTGTCGTTGATCATTCAAGGAGTCCTGAATGCGATTTCGGCTGGAATTCTGATCTACACGAGTTTGGTCGAGCTCCTGGCGCGCGACTTCTTGTTCGATCCGTGTCGGACCAAGCGACGATCCAAGTTGTTGTTCATGGTTGGATGTACCTTGTTAGGTGCTGGAATTATGGCGCTCATCGGCAAATGGGCCTAACCTCGTATGTCGCCCAAAAAGGAAAACCGGGACGAGTCGCAGGCCGAGTCAGACCACCGCGGACTCTCCGCGGACTTTATTTTCTTTCCTTTCTTCTTTTCTTCTGCTTCAATTGTCTTGTTTAATTTTCATGTACTTAACCTGAAAACCAATTAGCCAAGATGCTTGCTCAATTCATTCTGGTCAGCAAATTAATCGGCGTTATTCTACGCAAAGCTCTCTTCCAACTACGATGGAACCTCCACCGTATCATCCATAAATACACCTATAAGAAAGGCGACAAGAACATCGTGGTCATCGGCGCCTCATTTGCCGGATACCACACTGCACGCTGTCTCGCCAACTCCCTGCCAACGGGGTATCGCGTGGTGGTGATTGAGAAGAATCCCCATTTCCAATTAACATGGGTTCTCCCGCGCTTTTCGGTGGTCGCAGGCCATGAGCATAAAGCGTTTATTCCGTACTCGCCATACATCAAGGCTCCTGACGGTGCATGTGTGTGGATTCACGACTCTGTGGCTGCGATTGAGCCCCAGGAGGGGGCTGGGCGAGTGCAGCTTTTGTCGGGGGAGTGGATTGACTATGAATATCTGGTGATTGCAACGGGATGTACGGCTGAGCTTCCCTCGCGGGTGAACTGGAATTCCAAGGAAGAGGGCATGATTGCTCTTCAGGGACAGCAGAGCAGGTTTGAGTGCGCGAATGACATTGTGGTTATCGGTGGGGGTGCAGCTGGGGTGGAACTGGCGACGGATCTCAAGTCGTATTACCCTGACAAGAATGTGACGCTGATTCACTCGCATTCGATGTTACTGGGGAATGGGTTTGGGGCGAAGATCCACGATGTGGTTCAGAAGGAGATGCAGAGGTTGGGGGTGGATCTGGTGTTGGGGGAAAGGCCTGCTATTCCAGACGAGTTGACTGGAGATCTGGTCTTGAAAGATCGAACGATTCATTATGACTGTTTGGTGAGTGAAGTTGGTGATTTGCATACATTGACTGACACACGCAGGTCAAATGCATTGGCCAGAAGCCCAACACCGATTTCTGTCGGTTCTTAGATTCCAGTTCTTTCACCTCGTCGGGTCATCTTCGAGTTCAAGAGACTCTGCAGGTGCACGATGAGAGACACCGGAATGTATACGCTGCCGGGGATGTGATTAACGAGAGCATCAAGAATGGACGCTCGGCGATCGAACAGGGACAGGCGGTTGCTGAAAATATTCTGCGGTCTATCCAGGGCCGGTCACTGATCCAATATCGACAGCAGTGGTGGGAGGGATTAACCAAGGTCACTCTTGGACTGGTGAGTATTCTTATGCGTATGAAGGTGGTTTATTAACATTTGACAGGGCAAGAGTGTGGTTTATATGAACGATGGGCAGACTGAGATGACCATGACTATGAAGGGCCAGAAGACTGAGCTGGACAGTGCTGCAGTATGGAAGCACTTGGGGGCGAGTCCGTATAGAGATGAGATATATACTTAGTATACTTAAGTAGTATACTATACTATACCACATACTACTTAAGTATACACTATACTATACACTTAGTATACTATCTATACTATATAAGTAGATCTGAAAAAGCTCCACAAGGTACTTGTCACTTATACTTAAGTACTCTAAGATTATTTATATACTCCACCTATACCACCTATACTTATACTTAAGTAGATCTATATCCTCGAGTTATATATTCAATACTTAAGTACTAAGTCTAAAATATGTTAATCTAAATCCTCGGTTAAAACTCCCCAGCGTTCTTTGTTTTTGATTCCAATGCGTTCAGAACAATGTAGGTCTCAGGTTAGCTTTGACTATGTACAGTACTGAATCAGATTTGGATCAAATCCGAGTATACTCATGCGCAGATGATTCAAATCGAGTCGGATCCGGACCTGGGAGATTGGGGCTATCAAACTTGAGGCTTTTTCGTAGAACCAGGCGTCCATCCCCAGAATCCGTCAATCGAACCTTGGAATTCTCCGCTTGCAGTTCCATGCTGATCGCAGTGACCAACTCATCCTCCTCTTGCTTTTCCAATCCATGGTACAAAGTCGCCAAGGCCGATGACTTCCACAGAGGCATTTTGGCTCTTCGATTCACAACCATTGTTGCTATAAAGAAACAAGATCCAGCGAGGACAAGGCAGCCGGGTAGAATCATCCACTCCCATCGAACCTTCACAAAGACTTCGCTGCTGTGTGCAGTGCCACTGAAAGTCCCTTTTGTCTTTTCCAGTTGCAGCTTCGTGAATGAAGCGGCAACGTTGGACATTATGTTCTCGAAGCCAATATTGTCACAGCGATCGGTGAAATAGTTGAGTATTCTATCCCCATTCGGGGAAGATCCATCACTGTGATAATTGAGGGATTCAGTGTCTGAAGCCTGGGGAAAGGAATAATGGCTTCGCGAGAACATGGGTAAGGAAGAGTTGGTCCAGGGTACACAATATGCGAAATCAGCTTTAGATTGATCATCGGGGACCCAGCAAGATGTGAATACAGAACCATCTTCCGGTGCGTAATGGAACTTCGAATCGGGACCAGTAATAATGGCATGACGCTGTTTGTTATATCTCATGCCAAACTCTGGGTCTCCAGTCTGTATGGAAGGCTGGCCATTTCTCGTAGAGACATTGTAGTTGCGCAAGCAATCTCCGAGACCACAGACAGTCAGCTTTCCGATAGATATGATGCTGGAATTGAATGATGAAACGTGGGGTGGTATCGAAATGTTGACTTTAGCATACCCGTATGCTATTATTGGGGAACGCATTCCAAAGGTGACATAAGGAGCCATAGATGTATTCATAGCCGGATTTCCATTGTCATAGACGCGCCAGAAAACTGAGGATGGAAGGGTAAATTTGGCTATGCCAATTTCATCTGGCAATGAGGTGTTGACGGAGAAACTGTAAGCATCCCCATCAGGTATCTTGATTTGACAAGTCGTGTTGAATGAAGGATCTAGGCTTGGTGTATTGCACTCTATCCCAGCTGAAGCCGTCATATCGGAGCATTGACTGCAAATCCCGGCCGAGGTGAACTCTTCCCACGTACAATTACCCGACGAGCATACCGGGGCAACTTCAAACCCTTCACTCGACCAAAGGCCCTGTACCCAGGCGGCTGCGAAGTCATTTGACAGGCCCTCAGAATTCCTAAAGGCCTCGCCGCTTGTCAAGTTTACCAAATCTTCAGGGGACACTAAGGCCCCGTGAAGCTGTTTTGCAACCGCTCGGCCACCGGTAATATTGACCGGCAGTACGGGATAGCTGATGACTTGTTGCATGAATGGCTCGAACACGAGAAGAATAACAATGACCGCCGCACCAAGGCTGACAAGCGACTGTGCTCGATGGGAAAGGATGATAGAAATCGAACCTAGCGGCCCTCTGCTAGCATTGTCGAACTCCTGCAAGCTAGATAATCTTTGTTGCCTCGGACCTTGAAAATAGAGCCATTTCAACTGGCACACCGCTTCTCCGACCACTAGAAATAACGCGGACTTGCAGGCAGTGGCGAGGACCGAGATTATTGCGTTGAGTGATAGTTTGTATGCCAGCTGGGGTCGTTGTTTGTTCTCATATATCTTGAGTAGAATGCAGATTCCCACGAAGCAAGCAATGCTAAATGCCCATGCCAAGATCTCCCATCGCCATGTATCAAACCAAAAGCGTTTCCAAGTTTTCGTAGTGTCAAGTGGTTTCTTAGATGAGTCGCGTGCATCACTTTCGTGCGTATCGTTTAACGAAGTCATTTCGGTTTCGGTATTCATCGTACCCGACAAGTCCTTCCAGAGTCTTCAAAAATGATAAATGATAAAACGGCAAGGCACAAGTGTTCAGGATCTTGAACATGCCCAGATAGGAATATCAACATGGAACCAATGTCAAAGATTGAGTATCATGAGATTCTGATGAATGGCAGTATGTAAACCGGGAGATATTTTCCTTGTGCGCCTGGAATGGTGTATTGTCAATTTTAAGCCGTCTAGCCAAAAGATGCTAACTTGAACTTGGTGACCGAGCCGTGTTAGTCTCCTGCAATGCGGATGGGGGCCAAAGCCCTGCACTGAAGCCAATGATAATGGAAAGACTATGGCAAGGATCAACAAGGCGCCGTATGTGTTCAGCTGGAAAAAGCAAACACCCCAGAAAGAGCCCGGTAGTCCGTAAACAAGAATTGAATCGAGATGAAGGGTCCCGCTGGCTTCAAATATTTGCTCCCTACTTAAGTAGTACCATAGTCTTTTAGTATACAATTATGCACAGTAGAGCACTGAGAGCTTCATCGTCAAGAAGCTGATGGATAACTATGCCTCGGGCGTGAACAGGTCTGGGCTCTCTTAAACTGCAGGGTTGCGCCTCGAACTATTGGGTTTACTGCAGGCCCAGGTGGCCATACATAGTCCATTCAGGACAGCCACTGTGGCTCCAAACCCCGAAGGGATAATACTCAATGCCTTTCTCGAGGGCGCGCAGTGGAGCGGAGATAATGACAAGAATACTGAAATTATTTCAGCGAGAGAGCTTCGAAAGTAGTATATACTATATACTATACTATACACTATACACTATACACTATACTATACACTATACTATACTTTATATGAGTAGATCTGAAATAGGTTCACCTCCAAGGTACTTGTCACTTACTTAATTAAGTATATAAAATTACTTATATACTACACCTATACTTTCTATACTACCTATACTTATAGATCTATATCAAGTTATACTTAGGTAGTATATTAAATACTATAAAATAAGTCAATCTAAATCCTCGGTTAAAACCCCTCTCTGCCCCGCCTTTCTAAGATCCTCATCTAACACCTAACACATACTCAAGTATAACATATAACCCAAACATAGAGATGTCAGTCTCAGCCCAAGAACTGGAGATCCTCTCCACCAAGGCCATCGCCGCCAAAGGAACCGCCTACTGTATGACTCCAACCCCCACTGAACTCCAATTTCTCACCCTCTAGGCCCCTACTCCAAATTCCAAGTCGGAGCATGCATTCTCACCACCACGGGCGAGTTCATCATCGGTGCGAATGTCGAGAATGCCGCCTATCCCGTGGGAACCTGTGCTGAGCGCGTCGCCTTTGGAACTGCCGTGGTAGGTTGCGGCTGCAGAGATTGCAGAACACTCACTGACGAGTAACAGGTCGCCGGACACAAGTCGTTCAAGGCCTTAGCTGTGGCGACAAACATTACTCCTGCTGCTTCGCCGTGTGGAATGTGCAGACAGTTGTAAGTGATGGTTAATGGTCTGAGAATGCAGCTAACAATTCCAGTATCCGTGAATTTACAGGGCCTGACTTCCCCATTTACATGTATGACGGTGAGGGGAATTACAAGATGATGACTATGGACGAGGTGAGTGTACATCCGAGAGGTGTTGAAGTATAAGAAACCCGCTAATGAAATTAGATACTCCCCGACTCCTTCGGGCCCGATGCGCTGAAATAGATCTCTTAATCCAATATATTGCTTCATGTATCGAACATCCCTCACATATCCTTCACAATTCTAGCCATTCAAGCTTCTTCTTCTTCATCGAATTCATCAGGACCCAGCAACTCATCCTCGTCATCAACGACGTGACTGTAATCGCCGCGACGGGCAGCGAAGGACCCGCGCGTCGCATACGGTCGTTGACCTCGCTTAAACAGCCCACCCGCACTCCGGAAGAGACTACTAACCAACAGGGGCACGGCCTGGGCCACAGCCACGACGCCCGCAATGATAGCAACGGGGATGGCGAGCGCATCCCGACTGGACGAGCTGCTCTCGCCCAGACGGATCTGACCGAATTTGCCATCCCAGTGGGTGTACACGTACCAGCCCACGGCGACGGCGGCAAGGATGGGAATCACGATCGCGAAGAAGAGTCCTACGCCGCTGATGCCGTGCTTCTTGTTGTACTCTTCTTCCTTGTTGGGACAGGGATGCGACACGTCTTGGTCCAGAATGAGTCCACCTTGACAGGTGGTCTGGGGGATGCGGCGGTACCCTGTGGGTTCCCAGTATTCCACTCGCTCTGGGTCGGCAGTGCACTGACTGATGTGGTCGGGTTTGGGCAGACCGGGGACCAGACCACAGCTTCCATCCTTCTGCATTTCGTAGTTGTAGTCACTGTAAGAAAAATGGTTAGTATTAGTTACTAAGTTGTCGGAGAGGTAGGAACTGACCATTCAAAGTCGGCTCGTGTGCATGTGCAGTTCCGGCCGATGCTGTGGATGTGAGGCTCTCGCCAGGCATTCCAGCATTCGGCTTTGGGGTTCTTGCGGTGATACTCCTGAACATGTCCGAAGAGACAGTTTTCTTCCTGGAAGGGGTGGCTAGGGGTCCACATGAAGTAGTCTTTTTCGTCGTCCTTGCAGTCCCGACTCCAGATACCACTGAAGTCGAGAGGAATAGTCACGGTCTTGCCGCCGTCTGTACCCCAAAGGAGGAAGTTCTTGGAGGTATCAGATGGAACGGTGGAGATGTCGTGAATGACCATTTCCTTCTCCGTGAACTGGAACTCGTTCCAGGTGGCACCCTCATCGAGCGTGTAGTGAACCACATTGGTGGCCTTGTTCTCGGCGACAAGGACAATGACTGAGCCTGCGGCACCGTACTCCCACATGTATGCACCCTTCTTCACCTGGTGCCAGGAGATACCACCGTCATTGGTGAGGAAGGTATCGGCCTCAGTGGCGGGGCCAAGGCTGTCGCCAACATTGCCCTGCGCGAGCATGAGACCGACCGCAGAGCCGGAGTACAGGGTGTGCCGGTAATTACGGCGTTCAGCAAAGCCATGGAAGTGAATAGCACATTTCCCAGTGCCCTTTCCTTCGGTCACTGAACAGTCAAATTTCTTGCCATCGACATCTTTCAGTGGAGGAGGCACCAGCGCCCATTGACCTCCATCATTGTGTGAGATCACAGTGCGAAGCTTCTTGGTGCTGCCCTTGGTCTTAACATCTTCGGAGTTGATCACGACATTGGCAACGAGCACACCTTCCAGACCTTCCATTTTGTCAAAGTCGGCCATGCCTCGGTCGTTTTGGTTGACAGCCTCCAGACTCTGGACGAAATAAGTGCCATTGCTGTTCGACTTGACCACAGAGCCGAAATTGCGTCCCTCGCCCATGTTGGTCGCCACAAGGAGGAACAGGGCGTGCGGGGAGCTTTGGAGGATGGTGTATCCGGGGACATTGATGTTGAAGGGGAAGTGAGCTTCCGCGTAAGTGCGTCCGTCGACACTGACACTGGCGTTCATGAATTTCTTGTCCGCACCGCCGTAATGAGCCACAACAACGAAATCATTCTTCGTACCGTAATCAGCGATGCTTTCAAACGGTGTCTCCTTAGTGGAGAACTTGTCGTCACTGGTCACTAGCTGCAGGTTATTTTTCTTCTCCTCGTCCTTGTACTGCGCACAGATCACCAAGGAATCGCTGCCGTTGCGGCCCTCGTGGGCCGCAAAGTCGCAATTACCAGTTCCAATCAGCATTGGGTCCCAGCTGGCGCCACGCTTGTCGGTGATGTATGCCTCCGAACGACAGCGCTCTCCCTCACAGTCCTTGTGACCGATCCAGATGAGAGAGTCCCGCTTCTTTTCGTTGAAAGCCAGCGTTCGGAGATCCTCTTTGGTGGGCGCGCTGGGCGCGGTGAATGAGTGGAAGGATTCTCCATGGTTGATGGTGTACCAGACCTTCTTGCTATCAGTGATGAAGAAAGCAGCGTCACTGAAGTAACGATGCTCAACCATTGACATGATCTTGTCATCAACAGCACGCTTCCATTTGTGACCATGGTCGCGGGAGATGTAGAGCTCCTTGTCAGCAAGCATAATGATAGTCTCATCGGTTCCGGTATTACTAGCCTGTCGCTCCAGATAGAAGTGTGTCGTCTGCTTAGCGGAGATGCTATGTGGCTTGCCCGCGCGAGGTTTACCATCGGTAATTGGTGCAGTGTCTGTGGAGTTCGAACACGAGCGTTCAATCTGTTTCTCGAGGTTCTCGCCTCCCTCACGGATACAGGCATTTCCAGGGATCAACCGCCATCCAGAGGGACCCATGTACTTGTCGGTAGGCTCCTTGCAAGCTCCGGCGGGCGCAGTCAACGGAACAGCGGGAACACACTCCTTGCGGTCTTCACTGCGGATAAAGTTGTAATCGCATTCGAAGTCTTCGGCTGAGCACTTGCAGGGCTTGAACTCGGGACCAGCGATGGCGAACTCCTTCTTGATGAAGCAATCCGCATTTGGCTTCCGGCGGTGGAAGAACTGCTTCTGACCCATCAGACAGTCTGGTTCACCCTTCTCGTCTAGTCGGGCGGTCCACTCTTCCAGATCACCAGAGCCGCACTCGCGCTCATGGAGACCGTCGAAGTCAATGAAGGACATCACAAACTCCTTCTCGCCTTTCTCAGCAGAGATGCCAACGAGCAGGAACCTGAGGCTGGTAGAGTCGGGCGTCGAAATGAGGTAGAGAGGCACAACCTCGTGATCCAGAGAGATCGACTCCCATTCCTTGCCGTGATCGATGGAGTACTGGATTTTCTTTGTCTTGCCGTCGCTGGCGGCGAGAATGACACCACCCTGGTCGCCAAACTCGTACCGATGCGGACCCTTCAGGGCGCGTCGCCAGGTCAAACCAGCGTCATCAGAGACATACAAGTCACCGTCAGCGTACTCCTTCAAGTGATCACCAGTGTTTCCCACACCCATGACCAAGCCAGGAGCAGGACTGGAGAACATCCGGTGGCCAGGCATGGGCAGTTTGCGCATCTCAAAGTACTTGGTCATAGAGTGAATGTGAAGCTCCTCCTTGTCAGCCTTGAGAGACTGGAAGGTTCTACCATCGTCAAAGCTGATACTGCTGACAAGCTTCTTCTCAGTCGAATCAGACTTCTTGGCCTCTTCCCAATTCTTGACCGTGTTGACAATGGTGATACCCTGGATATCAGTGACTCTTTCAAAGTCAACGATTCCACGAGTATCCTGATTGGTGTGATCGATGTTTTTGGTGAAGTAGGTGCCATTGGAATTAGACGAGAACAAACTTCCCATGCGGTTCTTGTGCATTGTCGTCTGGACATCAATCTGGATACTGTAGTTTGTGCTTTCCAGAATGGTATACGCGTCCTCCTCGATACGGTGCGAGCCGAATTCTGCGCGGTGCCAGACAGTCGCGTCGTCACTGACATAGAGAGCCTGCTCCTGGGTTCCGCGAGACTGAACTCGCGCCACCAGGTACTTAGTCACAGAGCGAACCTGCGCACTCACACCACTCAATGGTCGTCCATGATCGAGTTTTGCATCCACACCATCCTCATCATCCTTGAAGTAGTTGTCCGTGTAAATCAGGCGTTCGGTAACGGTATGGTCGAACGGACCCCTCAGCCCAGGGACGACACACATGATTCGATCCCCGATCGATTTCGGCACATCGATATCCTGACCGAACTGCGGACGGCTGGCAGCCCACATGCATTGGAGTGTAAGTTCGCGGAGGGGGTGCACGTCTTGGAAATCGTTGGTGGTGTAGAACGCTCTCGGTGGGCAGAATGGCAATGAGCAATCCGCTCCCATGAAGATGACCTTTTTCGCATCCCATCCATGGAATTCCAGAGGGGCACTAGTCACAGAGAACTCCAGATCGACCTTGAACTGTTTCCAAGTCTTGGCCTGATCCGTTGTAATCCAATGCTTCCCATCCTTGCCCAGAATGTATGCGCGGTCATCGTCGTAGGGGTGCTTCCAGATAAACAGGGCTGCACCCTCCATAGTTCCCTCCTTACCCTTGATCACCTCCCATTTCTCGCCGCCATCGAAGGAGACATGGGCTCGGAGACGGTCGTCGCGGTAGAGGACGGTGTTGGTGCCTTTGAAATAGAAGAGGTCTGTAGGCGGGCCTTCAAGTTTGTGAGTTACAACTCTAGGCTCGTTGCCTGCTGCCGCGAGGCTGGCCCAGGCCAGCAGCAGGCTAAATGTGAGCAGCAGCCACCGAGGGATCATGACCGGTGCTGCAGAGGCATCTGATTGTGACAGAAAGATAAATCCAATGCGCTCAATGGATGAAAGGAATCGCTAGTTGAAATGAGGAATGAAACGAGATGACGGAGCTGCGTGGCCTTGAGAGCTCCTGATCACGTGTGTGCTTATCGTATCCGATAAATCCGAACCGTGGGAGTTGACGTCTCGGCCCACGGGTCGAATCTCGAATGTTTTTACGATTTTACGACTTTACTCGACAATGAGGTATGTGTGTGTGTGTGTGTGTATTGATCATCGCTATATACAAATGTGCTGCGAACTAGATACAAAGAATGGACAAAGTGAAGCTTCGCTGAAAGGGCAAATCCGGGGACGCCTGGTATATGAAATCAGTTCGCGCGAACGAATGACTGAAAAATGAGAATTATGATATTAAAAGAGTGGAATCATGCGCGTCGACGGAGCCGTCGCCACATCTTCTTGACCATGCCTTGATCATCAAGGTCATCATCCCAGATGAGGTGGGTGCGATCAGGGGGTGGCAGCTCCGCCAGTTGGAGGGGATCTTGAGGTTTTTCTTTGGGAGAGGAGGTAGGAGAGACATTCCGCAGGTCCGGCCGCGTCAGAGTCATCTTGAGAGTCATCTCGCGATTGCCAGGTAGTCGCTGTGGAACGCCTTTGGCTGGGAGCCATGATTGGCGCCGTTGCAGGAGACATGACTCGACAGAGGGACGGGGAGTTCCCCGGAGGACTGGGGACGCGGCTGGGGCATTCCTGATGGAGCTCCCAGGACTTCCCACCATGGTGCCATCGTCATCCTCGAAGAATGTGCCGAAGTCGGAGTCGGAATTGACCAACGTGGGCCTGGGGGAGAGAGGCTCGGGCACATTTTCTTTATCGTCAAGGGAAGGAAATCCGAACTCAATGGCTTCGTCGAACTTTTGAGGTGAAGCCAGGTACACGCGCAGCTTCAAGCGCGCATCTGGATCCTGGTAGTATTGCGCCCCGGGATCGATGCTCGAGGTCGAGGATTTGGGACAATGGAAGGGATGACGGGAGGATGGGCGGGACCCCGACGTGTTGGAAAGTGGTGTGAGAGGCTGCGATGATGATGGAGGCAGGGCGCGCGTTGCGTATGGTGTGATGGGTGCTAATTGCTTTCGCTTGAGTTGTGTGGAAAAGGATAAGGAGCGGCGGAAAGAGGGGCAGGCTCTCTTTCGGGTCGCGGCGTCGGCGACATGAGCGTGGTATTCATCCAAGGACAGGTCCAGGTCCCCATCCTCGTCCAACCACCGGAAACTGTCATAGAAGGTCTGATCCATGTCGTCGTCAGACTCGGAGTCAGAATAAAAGGCCGTGGACAATGGGGACTGCTGTGAATAGGACGCAGTGGTCTGGGATGGACAGGCAGTGGAAGGGCGCGAACTGCGGCCACAGTCTCGTTGGTAGGCTTCGTCGGCAGCGTCGTAGATCAGACTCGACCGGTAGGCTCTCTTCAGGCGCAATCGTTCTTCCGGGGAGAATAGCTGTTGCTGAATCTTAGCGGGGAGAGCGTGAAAGCATTGAGAGTCGGATTGGGCGGCGAGGTAGGCCAATTGGAGGGATCCGGGTTTGCGTAGTTTTCTGGAAGGCGAGGGACGTTTCTCGAGGCCCCTTTTGTTCAATGAGGTTCGGCGCGAGTGAGCCCGCCGATAGAGCCGACCATCGCTTTGATAGTTTAACGTGGAGACCGCAGGGGAACCGTGATCGCTTTGCGCTAACCGCATGCGCAAACGCTCGACATTCGAGAAGAACTGGTTGGAGTCAGCAATAGCCAGGATTCAGCGTCATGGAGCTCCTTGGGGAGTCCCAAGTGGAGTGTCCGCGGGTCAGCGCCAATGTTGAGCGTCCGCCAGCGACGCCAAGAGAGATAGCGCGGCCGGTAGCGCCTCCACCGCTAGTTCAGGGGTAACGACAGGCTCATCAGTGGCTCATCAGTGGGCGCAAGGCTCAAAGACAAAGAAAAAGTGGATTCGCCGTGGCAACTATTGGCAATCTCCGAACGTGATAGTGATGTGATGGAAACGAGGGGAATTCCAGTGAAATTGGGGTAAATCAAGCGAATGCAGGTGAAATGAGATGAAGCAGATGAAATGAGAAACCGCAGAGAAACCGCAGAAACAGCAATGAAATAGAGCACCCTTACCTTTCTGCGAACGGCGGGGGGAAGAGAGTCAAAGTCCACTGTCGACATGTCGGAGGTAAGGCAACTTAGGGCAAGGAACGTAAGGGCGTATCTGTAGGGAGACACCAGAACAGCAACGTCTTAGATCGGAAAATGCATCTACAAAGACCGAAATTAAAAGAGCAGCAGCAGTTTTTGTATATAAATAAGTACCAAGTGTCGTGGGGCTGACAGGATGCTGTACATTAGCGCCAGAAGCACAGACTGGGGTCTATTTCCAGACCTGTCACTTTTTCTTACTTTTCTCTTCTGTATGTGATCTGTCATGAACTCTCGATCGAGCTACTGCGAACATGTTCGAGATCTTGCATGGTTGCATCGTGAAGTATACTTGGATGCTACGTACTACTACAAGTACACACATACCACAGAATAAACCCCTTCAGTACTTAGTACGAGAAACACGGCTAAAGCCAATGCCAACCCTAAGACACCAAAAGTACTGTATCCACTGCGAGCACGCCAGTACCCGCCTCCGCGTCTCGCTTTGACATTAGGCCCGCAAGGGGATCCGATCCGATCCTACGACTGGTCACTTTGGCCCTCGAAAGAGTTGAAACTGGTTTTCGGTCTGAAACAGGACCTTGCAGTTCACCGTCTTTGTTGAATTGGTTGTACAGAGTACGAGTAGTAAATAGTTATTGTAGAGCTCAATACTCAGGTGTATCCCTGCTAATTATTAGGGCCGCTATTGGATTCCATGCAAGCAACCGTCAAACATGGCAGATACTGCGAGAACCATGCTAGTATGTACTCGTCATGAGAAAAATGATAGATCATTTAACTAAGGATGGACAACACTACCGACCGTGTGTTCATCGATGATTTGGCGCCCCACCGGCGTCAAACAAAGAAAACGGTGCGAATCCACGTTATTAGCGCCTTTGGGCAGACATTTAGTCGATTTAGTCGATTTTAGTCGACTTTGGCAGATTTTAGCAGATTTTAGGCACTTGGGATTGTGGGTTGGTGCAGCTAGTGTTGGCCCCCACCCAGTTCAATTGATTAGAATTGACGGACTACTCGTATTTTGTAGTACTCGTAGGAGTAGTCATGGAGTCCAGGCTAATTAAACTTCGACACAAGAACGATAGCTCAGATGGAAGTTTAGAAGGAAAGCAGAACTCGATCGAAACCTGATGTATACTAAAAGCCTCGGAGATTAACCCTCTTCCTGGAATTCTTCATGCATGTCTTAAATGACGTCGACTTACCTTTAGTCGATCTCTACATATTTCTCATGCCGTCTACGGAGTGCCTAGTAGGTAGTTAGTGAAAATATTAACAGGGTCAAGAAAAAGAAACGAATTATTGGACTCCTTAATAGTTAAGTATGCAATACAGTAACAAAGAACACGGAACAGTCGGGATCAAGATATGCCACTAGCCGTCGATCAGATCCAATCGCTCAGACTGTCCAAAGATAAGCTCAACTTGATATATCCAATTCCTGTGAGTTCGCACTATTTCCTGCTTTCGGCTTGTGGCCTAATGTATTGGCTCGGTTCTTACTGAGAACTGAACCTTGGTCGATAATTCCTATGGTTGTCATTGCCGACTCTCGAGGGCTTTATTCAGGCCAATCAATTCGCCTCAAGCTCGGTTGGTGCTGATCAGTCTGATTTTTAGTATGGAGACATTCTCTTTCCTTTAGAGGCATATTACGAGTAGTATAATCCAGAAGAGAGGAGTCCCTACGAGTAGTCTCGGCTCGGACAAAACTCGAGACATTATCGGCCGGCTCTCAACGGTTAATATAGGAAATGGAGTCATTATGGAGATCGTCGCAAAGGACGGCCGGGGTGTGGAGACGAACAGTTGCTTCATTCCGTGCGACCTCACAGAACAGCTCTCGTTGGAAAAATATATAAGAATGCAACAACAAAATAGGTATTCACAGAGCACAGAATTATTGCTACAATTAAAGAGTACTTAAGTATGCTCCCTGACTCCATACTCGCACTTGTTTGTTATATGTAGTGCATACCTTGTATGTAGTCTGCGACCCGCTTAGTGGGGATCTCCCCTCTTCTCTCACATAATCTGATTTCGATATTCTCTCTTTTGCCGCAAATAATCAAATTGAGATATTTGAGGTGATGATCAAGGGGCCATACTTACTCGTAAAGTCCCTGGTTGGGCCTCTCAGGGCTACCGTGCTCCGCATAATAAACCTACTCGTACATTTACTTGTAGTTACCCTCTATTTGGATGGAGATCTCTGTAGATTTGCTTAGTCATAGCAAGGGTTCAGCTGCGGGGTTTTGAATTGAAACAGCTTGAATGACGTGAATGTAAGAGCCAAAGGCGATAGCTCAGCTCTGAAAGGCGATCTGCGAGCCCTAAGGTTTGATCGGCCAAACACCGACCATCCCGCTCTGGATCATACGTTACTCCATCTCTTGATAACCCAATGTGGCAGTCATGGACGGCATATCCACCGCAGCCAATGTGATCGCTGTGGTCGAGTTGGATCCATTGCTGGAACGCTTGTGGGAAGTACATCATTTCGGCAGAGAATGCCAGAGCTGACATCGAGCACCTCACCTAAGAGATGATAGGCTGTATCAAGTCCTCGCAAGACTACCAGAGCTCCGAGCAAGACCTCATGCGGAGAAGATTCCCACTATTAAGATCGTGCTAATGATACAGGACTGAGGGTATGAATTGGAAAGGCACAGATGAAGCTTGACCATGGACGGGCTTAGAAAGATTCTGCGAAAACAGCCAGGACCTATTCACTGGCCACTGCAGGCTAAGAGTGTCGATGAACTTGTGGGATCGCCGAGGGTCTAGAAACATCTATCTAATCTTTCAATGCAGACGGATATTTTGTTCTTGGGCTCAAATTTGACTCCAGCTAACACTTTCTCCAGACCACTGATTGTGAAGATCACACACGGTGAGCTTGATCCAGCAAGATATCTCCTCGGACAGCTTGCCAGTCGACAAAGGTTCTGAATTCGACTCTGATCTCGATCAACACGAACATGAATGTTTGCCAAATAGCAGAGTAGACCCTCGGGATCAGGTTGTGTCTTGGGTGCAGTCACCAAAAGGGATGTCGATGGCTTGGTTGGATGGAATGGCCGGCACAGGGAATGTACTTTCAGACCAAAGGCGTACTGGGCGTTAGCTTCTTTTTGAGACGTGAAAAAGGGAGCTGCGGAACTGGAGCTCGATTTTCTAGCCATGACAAAACAGCTCATCAATCGCATTCCTCAAATGAAGCTCGTTCGAAGTGAGCCTATGATCCTGACGAAGTATTTCACGAAGCAATTCAATAGAGAATATTTGAATTTCACACGAGCCCAGTGGGAGGTCTGGCCAAAAGGTCCATAGACCAAACCATCAAGATCTGCAAGGCCCTATTGATTGGGTTTGGGTATTGGAATTTCCCCCAGAGGCCAGATGGCAATCAGCGCCTCGGATCAAAAGATCCAACCGTGGAACCTAAGCACTGGGTGCCTTGCACAGATCCTGATGGTGGATGGCAGTGGATGCAAAAGTCTTGGAACTATCATTCTCCAATAAGAGCTATCATATGATCACCGAAAAAAGCATCTTGAACATTTGGTCATTTTAGAAGAGCGTCATCGCTTCCGCTTTTCCCAAGCCCGGGGTGCTCGTTGAAAGCCAGTGGGTATCTCTGAAGGGAGAATGAGTGATCCGAATCCCGGAGTACTGACTAGCCTCTTCGGCTGTCAACGTAAAGGGAGATCTCATTGCAACCAGCGGTAGCTCTGGAGGCCTCGGTATCGTCCCGTAATAGGTCACGGCATCAAAAGCCTTCTAGGTATACGATAGAAATGTGAGAGCGAGAGTGAGAATGAGGAAAGGGAGACAACGCCAGATAACCAAGGATAACCAAGGATAGAAGTCACCCTTCTTATTTTCACCTCTCTGCGACTGAGCAGTGAGAACAACGTCTTGCAGAGTCTCTATTGCACGAGCAAGGTTCTCTTTTTGAAGAGGAGTTTTGAACTCGATTTTGTGAAGCCCTTCGGGCATGGTGATATGTAAGCTATCCTCCCACAGAACGCAGCTCATGTTCTCGTCCAGACTCCTGTCAAACCAAATTTTGAAGAGAGATTTCCAGATCACAAGGTCGACATCTGGAAGTGTCTTGTAAAAAGCATCATGTTGGATGAGAATTTTCTCCCAGACTCGTTTGGGTCTCAAATATCTGTACTGAGACTTCAATCCATCTATCAAGGCTTCAAAGACCGTCGGGGGGAGATTGGTTTGCTGCTGAAGACAATTTGATGCCCAAAAATTCGTTGCGGGATTGTGCATCAACCGGGCCACTCTTGGGAGAACATCCTCTGGCAATGTTGCGACATTGCCTAAGGCGCGCAATGAGGCACGCAATGCTTGTTTACTCGTCCGTTTATCTGAGACCAGAGACGACAATGCATGCACAACGGCTTCAGGTAGCTCCGATTGTTGAGCGAATATTTGGGCCACCTCCCCTTGAAGCATCATTTCCTCCTGGCGTAGAAAGAGAATCAACCATCGCAAGACTTCTTCATGTAAATCAGTTCGATTCCGAAAAGCACGTAATGTTCTGAATAAATCCAAATGGCTTCCAGTGGCCCGTGCCTTCAAGTGTCGCAGATCCTCCTCCGAAGGTGTACAATCCGACCGGAAGAGACCTCCGTTGAGTGACGTAGAATATTCTAAATGGATCAGGTGCACACGAGAGTCGTTAGACTTCCTCATACGCTCGTAGAGTTTTGCATAGGCCGAACTTGTTTCCCACCCCTTCCACCGATACGGGAAAATCTTTAAAGAGGGAATGAGAGCATCAATTACCTCTGGCGATGCAACTTCCAGCATCACTAACCCGTCTGCAGCGTATCCCCTCACTAAATCATCCGAATCATCCAAAGATGTCAAAAGAACTGGAAGGAGCTCAGGTCGCTTGACTTTTGCTAAAACCCGAGCTAACTCTCGTCTCACTTCATGAGAACTGTCGTTCCGCAGTTTCAGCATTTTGTCGAGGGAAGAAGAGGTATTTGCGGAAATGTGACCAGACAAGGCGACGAGAGATTGTCGTCTTACTTTGTCTTCACTGTCTTCCAGGAAAGACTCAAGGATTGAAATGGACTTTCCAGATAGATGAGCTTGACCCTCTAGTCGGGATCCGATATCAGTGTTGTTTATTGCGAAATCACGGAATTGACCAAGCAAGGCAGCAATAACTCCCCCTGGAAGAAATCTTCCACCAAATCTTCCACCAATATAGCGAACCATTCCCAGGCGTTTTTCCTTCTGGTCGCTCTTCAATAAATCTATGATGACCCCCGGGAACTCGTCGGCATGAGAGCCAATGACATCCAACGCCCGGTCAGTGCACTTTTTAGCGCCAGGATAATCTTCTCCAAAATCCAATAGCTCTGTTACAGCGGATCTGACTTTGGGCGATAGCTGGGCATGTCCTGACAAGGCCTTGAGAGCTGCACATCGCTGCATACCATTACCCTCACGAAGTACCTTTTCGAATAGATGCGCAGGGAATTCCATCTCACGAGCAATTTTGAGCTCTTCGGGGCTTTCAATTGTCCCACGAGTCATGTGAAGCAGACCCAAGAGCAGCTGCTTGTTCATGTTTTCCGAGATTTCAGTGAGATCAGGATCACGGGGACCAGATACCTCGCTGAAGCAGTGCATCAGAATCCGCAGATGCGTGGATTTTAGAAGATCCAATGGTGTGCTATCCAATGTTTGCATGAACAGGGTCAACTTATTCATCGGTCTGTGATTGTACAGCAGTCCAGCAACAAATCGCCACATCATGTTGTATCGACCATTGTATTTTTCATGTTGGACAAATTCGTGTGTGTCAAGCTCTTTGTATTCATTGGAATTCATATCAACCCACTTCAGTTTCTCATCGTGCGTCCAACACTGAACGAAGTAATGAGCAGCGAAGAATTCCTGGAAGGTCAAGTGCATAAAGTAATAGGTTTGGGGTTGGCCTTGGGAAGACTCTGTGGATCGAAGGAAAGAGACATTTGCCAACAGGTTGTCCGATTTAGTTGCCATTCCTGGCAAGAGCCTGTACATCAACATCCGATTCTCACCAGAAAATTCAACAGTGTTACTGCAAAATCCGCAGAAGGCAAGGTTTTGAACCAGGTCAATGCAATCTGACATATGAACTTCCACATGTTGACGGAGAGATATATTCTTAGCCTCGGCCTCGCTCATCTTAGACTGAAGAAGTGCGTCCCTTTTCCACAGCTTCAGTTCAATTGCTTGGTACAATCCAGTCATCGTTCTCACGTCGGCGGAGAAAAACTTTTCGTTCCAGGTGTAGCACAAGGCATCCAATTGAATAGGAATCTTGAAAAGACCTTTCATCAGCCAATGACTGTTGATAAAGCTGCGAATGTCTCGTGCAGATTGCGGATCATCATCATGAACCCCCACGACAGTGTCCAGGTACATATCCACTTGGTCTGATCGGAATCCAACTGTTTCCAGTTCAAGGTCAAATTCATGGATTTCGTTATGAAGGGAAGCATGTGGCCTTGATGTGAGGATGATATCTCTGTGGTTCAGAAGATCCAGCACTGGTTGATATTTGACAAAATCTCCACCGGCGGTCTGATGGGCGACAATTTCATCAAACCCATCAAGAAGCAAGAGTGTCTTCCCATGTTTGTCATCCATGATGCTTTCCAGGAGAATGCGTACAAAGTTGCGTTTATCTGGATGCTTCGACCATATTTCTTTCTCCAAGAATTGCTTTGAGTCTGGCATGTCCTTCAGTTTTCGTAAAGGTATCCAGATCAATCGATCGTAGTTCCAAGATTGCAGTTTGCCATGTACAAATTCGTGAACAATCTTCTTGCAAAGGGTCGTTTTGCCCACACCAGCACGACCTCGAATCAGAACACGTCTGGGTGTCCCAGTACTTTTGCTGTGCTTGCCATGAGTTTGTTGCTCGCGGTGTTTGTAAAGATCTTCTAGTTGGACATTTCCCCCATCGCTTGGAGCTTCGACTGCCAGACGCTTGCTCAATGAAGGGTCCCAAACCCTCTGGGTTTGTTGCCCCAAGGTAGCTTCGACAATGCCCAGATTGATGTAGCAGTGGCCAATGTCCAGAGGCTCACCCGACAAGCGCAATATCTGAAGCACGTTTCCTTGTGCGTAGTATCGAGTCAATGCAGCACCGGCATAAAAGAGTTGGGCTTTTTTGCATTCTTCCCATGTCTCGTCCAGAAGTTGACCATTCATTGCTCTGGGGACCGGATCCAATGGTTTTAGGAGTCTGGGTTCGAAATCTTCCCTGGCGGAGAAGAGAGATGAGATTTTGTGGCGCTTTTTTGGTTCGTCCTGCCACTCCGATTGTTGATTGAGAGTCTTAGCAATGAGCGTGATCCATTGCTTGACCTGGGGGGTTCTTTTCTTTGTGTCTTGCAATGCGGGCAACTTGAAAGTCCAGTTCACCAAATCGACAATGCCACTCTTTCCTGCTTCGTCCATCTGGAGGTAGCTCTGCTCAAGTTGAGCATACAATCCACACCAGAATTGCCACTTGTTTCCACAAGGAATCTTAGGAAGAATGCATCTCAAGGTTCCAAATGAGCAAGGTCCAGTGTCGATTAACATGCCAGTGTAGCGAAGAACGCCATACCACGGGTTCTGGCCAGGGAGACTTCGAATGCTGTCGTCGAATTCTGCTTTAATCGCTTCCATGTTGGCTTTCATCGTCTCTCCGGCTTCATAGATCTTCTTGAACGTCTCGAGCAAGTCGAATATATCCGGTGCAGCTTCCACTAGCTTGTCTGGATTCATCGTCGAGACTGCACCTGCTGTCTTTGCCGCGACCGACAAGATAGTCCCGCTCGTGTTCAGGAAAATGTCCCACGGCCCTTGATTATCGGATACACCCCTCAGCGCTTCACGCGCATATGCGGCAGCCTGGGCCAGACGTGGCTCGTCATGCTTTTGTATCTTACCAAGTAAGCTGAGCAACGGGTTGTGGAACTCATCGTGGTCGATTTCCGAAACCTTGGTGTCTACCGCTACATCTAGCATGTGGCACATTGCCTGAGCCAAGACATATTGCACATTCAAGTCGTTTGCTTTGTTGGCCACTTCCAACCTTTGCCGAAGGCTGTTGATGGTGGCGAATAGGCTATCCTGTGGACGATCCCCAGGATGACTTCGAAGAACTCGAATCAAGCTCGGAAGCAAGTCCGAGTCTAGCGCGCTACCCTTTTTAGAGTTTGTGATGATGGAGTCGGAGATGACTCTCAGTAAATGGTTGTACTGGACATCGGTCGCCTTTGGGGCCAAAAGAGCCACCTGCGAATAGTCGGATGAAAGTTTGTGGTTTCGAAATCGCTCGACCATCGACTCGATGAGAGCATCCAGGGCGACTTTTTCTTTGGTGTCGCAGGCGGGGTCAAGCCTCCGCCGCACCAACTCTTCGATGCTTTCTGGCCTGGAAGGACAGTGCGGGCGTGACATGACGGGAAATCACTCGAAAGAGACAGTTTGATACCCCGGTGCGGAATGTGTTTTTGACTTTGATGGTGAAAGCCATCAATAAAGTCTTTTGGGTGTTGTCCCAGGTGTTGTCCCTCGAGCTCAGCCCGGTGGGTCGAGTTTGTGTCGCGCGCCTATCATGACTGCAGGGTACTTTGACACGTAGCCAATGATCAAACTTGCATAAGCTGCGAGAGACTGAGGGATCCAGTTAATTGTGTGGTGAGGCAAGAAAAAGCGATATACAAGGAGATGGAGATGAGATGATATAACCGCAAAGAGAACTCAAAACGAGAAATGAAATTAGAAGTGAACATAGAAGTGAACATAGAAGTGAACATAGAAGTGAACATAGAAGTGACAACAGAAGTGAAATAGAAATGAAATATAGGAAGATAAAGAGAAGAAGGATATAAAAGCTATACAGAGTACCAAAAAGCAGCAGAATTCAGAAAAGAGATTGAACCACTGGAGACAACAGGAGAAGGCTGCAAACAGTGCAAACACAGGAATACACTAGTTGACCAATGCCTATGACTCTTTATGCACTTTTCTATTTCTCATCTTGGATTGGTTTGTATCTAATCTTCTAATAGTACTATAGTTGCTAAATATGGAGCAAATCAAATATATTTAATCATCAAACACAACAGACATTCCCAATATAGTACCCATTCTCTACTTACAAGGTTTCTTCACTGAATCGAAGCCTCGGAGAAAGAGAGATGCTTTCAAAGCCACATATTATGACACAACCGTCATTCGCTGTACGTCCAATTGGCCTTGACTCCTCATCTGCCTTTTTTGGATGTTGGCATATGCAACAAGTCATTTGATGGCCCTGCAATGGATGTGAGATTTCCCTGATTGGCAGACCGAGGCAGGCAATATACTACAACCAAAATGTCAGCGAAGCCCCCCCCCCACAAGGTGGACATATAGACAAGGATGATCTTGTGCATATAACAACTTGAGCCCTCCCCTCTTTCTGGGTTGTCGAGCGCCAGAAACGATCATATCTTTTTGCCATATAGAGTGGTCATTTCCATCTCTCATCCCCGATTGCATTTCTGCACAGTGATCGCTTTCGGCTTTCCAGTTATCCCAATATCACGTTCGGAGGCTCTGGTGCAATCATGTTGGCCTCCCCCAGAGCAATGTGTTTAAATCACCATGGTTATAACACCGAAGCTAACTTTAGTTCTCACAAAGGTGCATCTTCGTCGTGAAGACTACCTCCCAGGGTGAGATCTATGTCAACACCCGGACTGATGCCTGGCCGAGTGATGCTGAAACCGATGGCGCGCGATGGGACTCGGATTGTAACCTGGCAGAGTGCGAGTTCTCTGACAGCTGGGCTGGGGGATAAGTGAGACCACGGGTTGGATGTCTTACAATCAATATGATGCAGGGAATAGGACTTCACAGTGAATTATGAACAATCAGAAATGTTTTGCTACGATATTCTCAGACAAGTCTCTTTTTTTTATGACCGAGGCAAGCCTTTGATCAGTCCTCGGAAAATCCCCCCACATCCTAATGGCCCCCGGAAATACGAGATTGGGAAGTCTTGGCATGGCCTTTGCGATAGCCAAGAGGAGCTAGCACGGACATAAACACCCTAAAGCTCGGTTAGCTCGTAGATTGTGCTCGGCAGAGAGACCTGGGCCAGTAGAAGCCATTATAACCACGGAGTTCACCGTAGTACAGTGGTGAAATGTAGAACAATGGTAGAAATTACGGGTCTAGGGGAAAAACCTGATCGATAGCTGAACTCTCAAACTCAAATCGGAAAGGAAGACGGTTGTACGGAGTACTTTGTACCTGTGTAACAATGAAGCAAGACACAGACTTATATCCAATATGCTACTCAGGTACCCTCGCTCAGAGACCCTTGCAGTGTATGAAAGAGCCCCAAAAGAGAATGCATTGTTAACCCCTTGAGGCTGATACTTTCCTCTTTGGGAAGAGTGGGACTCAAGGTTCCCCCATCTTTGGTTGCCCGCCAAAAGGACCAATCACATCTCGCTTGGTATCACGGGAAGATCCAAAGCGGAGCAGATCGCAGAACCACAGTGTTTAATGGGGTACATCCCCTATCCCCCGATCTCTTTCTCTTTTCATGATCAGCGATGACCATTTTGTTGTCATACTCATATCCCTTGACCCCTTGATATCAGGGATTTATCACGCTCATCATGGAGACCAATGGGCCCCGCAGTGCGGAATTCAATCCTGATCTCAAGCAAGAGACTACGCTGGATGAATCTGGCATGGACACCCTCGATCCAACAGACGAGAAGCGATTGGTTCGGAAAATCGACTGGATGTAAGCATTGAAAACCTGTCTTGGTGATCTGAAACTCGATTCTCACTCGGTCGCTAGCTTGATGCCCATCTTGATTACCTCGTATGCTCTTCAGTTCTTGGATAGTAAGTCTTCTCCAGTTTTATATACTTGATGTACAAGCTAACTCGTTGAAATAGAAACGAGTCTTGCATACAGTGCGATCCTCGGACTGCAAGAAGATCTTGTATGTGTCATCCATCATATTTTCTGTCCATTATTGACCATTGCAGAGTCTTGTCGGTCAAGAATATAGCTGGACCTCCAGCATCTTCTATATTGGTTATCTTGTCGCATCATACCCAATCTCACTTGGCTTTGTGCGATTCCCACTGGGAAAATATCTCAGTATATTGATGTAAGACAACCCCGACCCATGGTACAGCTCGATCGTACTCACAAGTGCAGCTTCCTATGGGGTGTCATCTTGACTCTCCATGCCGTCACCACCAACTATGGAAGTCTCATGGCACTTCGAACCCTGCTGGGTATATTCGAGAGCGCTATCAGTCCAGGGTTTTCTTTGATAACGGGAATGTGGTATACTCCCCGCGAGCATGTCTCGCGACACTCGATCTGGTTTGCAGGAAATGCCATCGCCGGAATCATCGGTTCTTTAATCGCATATGGACTATTAAAATATGAAGGGAGCTTTCCCCAGTGGAAGGTTCGAATCCATGCGTGTTTCCACAATATTCCAAGGCTAATGAAATCAGATTCTATTCCTACTATTTGGTCTAATGACAGTCGCGTGGTCGGCTGTGACATTTTTCTACTTGCCCGACTCCCCACAGACAGCCAAGTTCCTCTCGCCAACGGAGCGAGAGTGTGCTGCGCTGCGTCCTTACAAATACCAAAAGACCATCCAGACCAAGTCATGGGATCGACAACAATTTATTGAGAGTCTGACAGACATCAAGACATGGTGGTTCTTGTTGTTCTCCTTTGTAATTTGTGTGCCAAACGGAGGAACTACGAGCGTAAGCACCATCCGTGGCCATTCCACCCAAGGTCAGAACACCAGATCAGATTCTAACAAATCAACAGTTCAGTACTCTCATCATCAAAGGATTCGGCTACGACAAGTTTCAAACAATCTTGATGGGACTGCCAGCGCCAGCCTTCCAGTTAACCACCGTGATTCTTTCGGCAATCCTGAGCTCCACGTTCCGCAAGTCTCGTCTGATCAATCTTGTTTTACTCTTCCTCATCGCACTGGCGGGAATTCTCATGGTCAAGTTACTTCCGCAAAGCGACAAGATATCTCGACTAGCCGGATTCTGGCTGGTCACGGCAGTCTCTCCGGCGTTCCCACTGATGCTATCACTGGCAGCGAGTAACATCGCAGGCTTCACGAAGAAAGCAACCGTCATGGCCATGATATTCCTTGGCTACTGTGCCGGCAACCTCGCCGGACCGCAGTTCTTCATCGCATCAGAAGCACCCAACTACCATGTATGTATGCCCACACTGAGGGAAATTTGATTCAGTTACTAACCTAGCCTTATCCAGACGGCCTATACTACAATCGTCATTTGCTTTGCGATTACCATCGCCATGGTCATCGGCTTCCGGTTCTATCTTTCGTGGGAGAACACACGCCGAGATAAGGAGCAAGGGACGAAGATTGATCCGGAGGAGTATCGCCGGGTAGAGATCCATACTGACGGAGACATGCCTCAAGTGGATCAGACAGACAAACAAAACAAGTCTTTCAGGTATATTCTTTAGAAGAAGCCGGGCATACCTGGGGGCCTGCGAGCCTCGCAGAGAGAATGAGAGAGACGGGGAACTTTTGGGCCCATTGGCAAATGAAACAAAATGAAAATTGATCGATTGGGAGAGGGAAAAGTACAGCAGGCTATAATAAGAGATAGTATTCCCCTATTCCAATCACCGCCCCACACCCTGGACTATGACACCTGACATTACACCCTACGAGACACCCTACACTACACCCTGCAGGAAACCCCCAACGATGATGCCAAGGCAACTTTCCAATGCGATGCCAATGGCTCTGGAATTAGAGAAAATCCAGATTAGGCTTGGCGTTGACCGGAACTTGCCGAAGTTCAACCCGTGGATTGAAAGGCGCCTTAATTCAAAATGCACCAATCAAATCATGAAATCATGAGATATTCGCAGTTGATTGGTGCAGCTCGTACCCATTCCATGGCCTGGACACGCCCTGTGGATGACTTCCCCGCACGGGCTCCATGTCAGAATCCGATCATTGAAATTCCAGTTCTTTGACACTTCACTTTGGTTTCTTTCTAATTCTCCCGCTTCTCTTTTGTTGACTTACAAGGGATCCTCGATATGGAAGAAATCACACGTTCGAACTTCCCACCGGAAGAGACGGAAAAGGGGGTCCGTACGCCGTTGGACGGAGCGACGAATGGAAATCAACTGTCCACCGTTGACGATGGCGCACAAGTCCCACCTATAGATGGTGGAATCAATGCGTGGCTCTTCCTCGCAGCATGCTTTGCCATGGAGGCATTGGTCTGGGGATTTGCATTCACATACGGTGTGTTCCAAGCGTACTACAGCGATATCCCCCAATTCAAAGACTCCGGGAACATTGCCGTAGTAGGAACATGTGCTATGGTAAGAAGCAGAAAAGCACTCTCCAAGCGACTTCAGCTGAACCAGATCTAGGGTATCATGTATCTCGACATCCCACTTGTCTTCGCCGTCTACCGACAATGGCCAAGATTTCAACGCCTCGGCTGTGGCCTGGGTGTGCTCATGATGTGCGCGGCTCTTGGCCTCAGCTCACTCGCTACAAACACAAACCACCTCATCATTACCCAAGGCATCTTCTATGCCCTCGGTGGTAGCATTGCCTACGCCCCCTGCATCCTCCTAATGGAGCAGTGGTTCGACCGGCGTAAGGGCCTCGCATTTGGTGTGATGTGGGCCGGCACTGGACTTGGTGGCGCCGTCCTACCCATCGTCATTGAACAGTTGCTGGGCAAATATGGGTTCCGCATTACACTGCGTGGGTTCGCAGTCGTATTGTTCGTCCTCACTGGACCACTGGTGTACTTCGTGAAACCACGCGTGCCAATCCCAGCGAATCGACCCAGCCCATCTGCCCCGAACATGCGGTTCCTATTCACGTCTACATTTGGTATATTTCAGCTGTGCAACACGGTCGAGGCTCTCGGGTTCTTCTTGCCGTCGATCTATCTCCCGACTTATGCTGGCATGATTGGAGCCTCGACATCTCTCCAGGCATTGACAGTCATCTTATTCAACTCGGCATCTGTCATTGGATGTGTGCTCATGGGAACTATCATCGACAACTTCGATGTGACTATTTGTATTTTGGTGAACACCGTTGCATCCAGTATCGGCGTCTTCCTGATCTGGGGCTTCTCAATGTCCCTCGCTCCATTGTTTATCTTTTCTATCCTGTACGGTCTTTCTGCAGGTTCGTATACCAGCACTTGGCCTGGTATTATGCGCGATGTGGTACGCAAGACGCCATCAGCAGAGTCGAGTATGGTGTTTGCGTCTCTTTCGGCTGGAAGAGGTATTGGGAATTTGGTCTCCGGTCCTTTGAGTGAGGCTCTTATCAAAGGTATGCCATGGGAGGGGGATGCAGGATATGGATATGGGAGTGGATATGGATCGTTGATTGTTTTCACGGGTGTTACGGGCCTTGTGGGTGGTGGAAGCTACCTTGCCAGGCGCATGAAATGGCTATAAGCTATGAAACTGCAAACCCACAAAACCAAGTAAATGTTGCAGCGAAAGTGACAGCGGGGGCATTTCTAGAACAATTATCGCCATGGGCCATCCCATCAGTAGAGCCTAGTGTACTTAAGTAGCTGTACATACTATTAAATAAGAAGGAAATAGAAACAAGTGTCATCATGTATATGCGTAATTAGTTAAGAGGTATTCATGCAAAGGTGTGTCGAAGATCAATATGTAAATGCAAATCAAGCCCACCCCATAGCAGCCGCCTTTTCATCAAATTCAGATCGAGCAGGCTTCTTACCAGCCTGAACCTTAGTCAACGTCAACTTGCGTCCAAGACCACGACCAAGCTCGCCAGCCGCATCAAGCGGAATGACATCGTCTTCAGTAGACGAGCGTCTGGAGTCTTTCTCCAAACTCAGCAGAACCTCAACTGCACCCGTATCTTCAATGACCTTTGGATGCCGTTGCGCGAAGTAGCGGGCGTACTTGTACAATGACCAGTAACAGCTGAAGACATTGATGATGGTCAATGCAATCTTGTAGAAGGTATAGTAGAAAAGAAGCACTTTCCAATCGATGCGTTCTTTCTTGAGGCGGAGGTGGATCTCGTTGAAAATGATCACGTTGATGATGTACATTCCGATCGTCACGCCCAGTAACATTCCACAGAATGAGGGACGAACGACGAATGATATGGGTAGGATGAAAGGAGCGAAGAGGTAGATGAGAGTTTCATAAACCTGTGAAAATTAGCAATGGTTCCTGACAAGAAGTCTGGAAATGCTGCATACCTCTTGAAAGACGCAAAGTTTAGCCCCAATTTCCCACCAGCCGAGCTTCCAGCTCGTGAGAATATACTTGAGGTCGTAGTACATTCCAACGACAAAGAAGAAATTCCATCTCTTGAATCGCTGTTGGAAGATAGTCATCTCACCGAATCCACCACGACTCCCACTTCCGCTGATAAAGACCGAAGAGGGGGTTTCAGTCTCGACGAAGACCTGCGAGCACATGGTGATACGGCCACCGAGACGACGACACGCATCACCGAAGAACCAGTCCTCCGATACCGAGAAACCAGGATGTTCATGGAAAGTCTGTTTCAGGAACTCGATATTCCACAATGAAATAGCACCGTGTGGGAAAGTGGCACTTCCAATCTTGCCGAAGAATTCCCGTTGGATACCGGACATCTTATATTCGAGATCTTGCGCCTGCTGGCAGTATGTGCCTTTGGAGGAGTTGGGACCCACGCTCTTAATTGTGTAGCCCAGGCATTTCACATTTCCCTTCAGTCTGTCGCTGACAATGGGGAAATTCGGGGGCAGGAGACAGTCGTCATCGATGAGAACTGCATTTTCAAAGTCTTTGGCGGCATAACATCCAACAAACTGGGCCACGATCTTAGAGCCAATGGGCACCCAGAGATGGTTGACGCCGAATGGCTTGCAGACCTCCTCTGTGTTGTCGAGGGGTGTCTTGGAATTGCCATTTGCGATGACGAAGATATTTTGTTTTGGGAAGATTTTTAGAGCCGCTTCCAGGGTTGGGCCGATGATGGTGGCTGATTTATAGCAGGGGATGAGAAGGGCGGTTGAGTTGACATTCGAGGTGTTGCTCTCGACGTCGCTTGGCCCCGTTTCAGGAGTAGCCGGGTCTTTTTCGAATAGAATCATCAAAGGGCAGAATGCGTACCTGAAATCTGTTAAAATTCGCCAGCACAGAATAATCAGGATATACTCACAGTGCTGCCAGCCCAATAGTAATGGCATATCCACCTTGAATAACGAACTTTGTTCGAACAACGTAGTAAAGCCACCAAACGGCACCTTTCCACAGTGGCATACCCACCAGGACAAAGTATATAAAAAGAATGAGGAAGGCGTAAATGCTGTATTCGAACAGAAGGCGAACCCAATGCTTGCGTTGAATAGCCACGCCTCTTAATTTAGCCTTTTCGTAGACTTCTTGCAACTCGCTCCGTTCCCCACTGGATGCTTGGGAGCTCGACTTGCTCCTGGTCAAAGGGCTAACGAAAGCATTTTGAACTGGGGTGATGGGCTCCTTCTCGGGAATTGGAGATGCTGGCTCAAATGTAGCTGGCGTTAAAAAGTGTTCGAATGTTGTTCCTAGACCACATTAGTTTCATGGAGATCAGACAGGAGAGTAATGATATGTGGTGAATGGGGACTTGGAAGTTATATAGAATGTATGCATCCACATATAACTAGACAATGAGATGGAGATTTCTTACCTTGAAAAACCGGTGGATCGCTACATCCACGAGGTCGAATAGCAGATCGAGGGCGTGCTACGGCTCGCAAGGCAGAAAGGCTGAGTGGACGAGGACCAGAGGTGCGAGGCTGCACAGGAATAGATACACGGTCGTTTTCCGGTAGGGATTGTTCCCATCTTGCCAATTCCCAAGGCGAGTTGAATTTAGCAGTTGTGAGAAGTTCCTTGGGAATGAAAACATCCTCTACGGAGTTTCTGGGGCTGCCTTCTTCACTCATGTTAAATGATGTCTCAATTGATCAACAATCGTATTATAATTAGTGAAAAGAATGGACGGCGACCCAAAGTCACCAAGAAAAAAGTGGTAAGCCTTTCAGTGCAAATATAAGATAATTGAAGGGCGATCTTCCCATTTATTCAAATCTAAATCAGAAATATTCAAATCAAGGTGCTAGCGGAGTAAAACTCTTGCCTGGCTGTGGGCCATGGCCGGAGCTGGTAGGAGGCTAGATGTTATGGGGCCGAGGATGAGATGGGGCATACTCAGAGTGTATATGGTACCTGACTGGAACTCGGCACTGAGAGATTAACCAAGGAAACGGCGGACCCTGACCGACCATGTAAAGAGGGCCATCTAAAGAGATGTTAACCCTTACTGACAGAGCTGGCCATCTCCATGGTCGACGTGTTTCAGCATTGAGTTCGCATTCCACGTGGGAACACATGGGAGCACATGGCTCAGTAGTATGGAAGCTTCCTTTTTGGGACTTAGACCGGATTTCGTCCGATCGAGAGGCAGTCTGGGATTGACCAGTAGTATTGAATCCAGGAGCTCCGATGGAGACAGATGGAGACTAAAAATAACCCAATAGAAAGGATCAGTTGAGGCATCCTGGCTACCATGGGCCAGCTGGATCATATTTTGCCCCGCCCATGTCTTTCATTGCTGGAGATATCAGAAATCTCGACACACGAATATGCAGAGGCACCTTGGAAAAAAACCTAAACCCAATGACTGCAGCTTTTCGGTGGATTTCTGTGTAACCGATGATCCCTCAGATCTCACGATTTGCCGATTCGTCCGCGGAATCCATGCGCGTGGAGTGCTTTGCAAATTTTTAGCGTGCCAGCCTTACGAACCATTATGTCGCTGTAGGTCCGGCGGAGATGCAGTCCGCGATCTGCTCCATTGATCGGCCTTGCTTCCTTCCCAACTGGTGCGTGCTAAGCGGTAGCTGCATGTCACCGCCGCTGCTTGTCTCTGGTGCCGTGCCTCGTCATGGTGGTGGGGCTGCCGTACGTCCTCCGGCACAATCGCGATGAGCAGTACTTGAGCCCCCAAACTCACCCTCTCTCACTTCTACTCAAGCATCTTGACATCCTGCATTTTGAATCAAAGGCTTTCTTCAATTTCTGAAACGTCTGAAACGAGTTGAACCTTGGAAAGAAGTGAGACGAAAATTCAATTAAAGTTTCGGGCCGGCGAGGATAAATTCAGCCACCAGAAGCCAAAACGCCACAACGCCAATACGTCGTTTACTTACCATTTCCCCCTGAGCCTAAGCATTTTTATGGTCTACTCGTATTCAAAATCTAGTATTCCTGTGGGAGCTAAAACTCCATACTCGTGCAGTGAGTTTATGCAGGTGTGATTCCTGAGCAATTTAAACCAGTTCTACTCGTACTCATGAGTGGCACCGCACAACTCCGCTTAAATGGGTTAATTGCCAGCAGAATTCTCAAGAATGCTACCATGATGCTACCGTACCCATTAGAAAATTGAATTGAGCCCCCTCGGTTAGCAGCCGGCATCCCGGCGCCACGGGATCCCGGGGAACAAAACGACTAATGGACGTTGACGGTGATCGGATGATCAAAACAGGTTTGGCCACTGAGAGTACAATCATTGGAGAGTAATCGCTGTGTTTATTCCTAGTTGAAACCGGATTCTGCCGAAAATGTGGAAAGCCTGAAGACTTGGCCTTTGTTGGAACCGCGGTAGACCACTCAAATCCAGGGCCCGCGGAAATTGCACGTTAGTGGATCCCCTCATAATTGGTCTTTGCAGTTGACTTTATAGTACATACGAGTAGAACCTGCCTAGACAAGACACTTGTTCCTGACCCAAAGATGCCTGTGGGCCAATTCTTCGGTCTTGACCCTGATCGGGGCTGGACGTTCCATGGATGCTGTCGTTGTAAATATGCAAAAAACACAAAATAAAAATAAATTAACTGAACAACCAGGTTTACAAACTCTTGCAAACTACTCGTACATCTAGACAAGGCTTTAATTCGTCATATATCGCTAAATTCTGTAAGAGGGCGCCTAGGTTTCTGGCAGATACTTAGTACCTGAATAGATCTAGACCTCTCTCCCCTCACTTTACCCACCGGGTGAAGGACGTTAATCTCGCCTAGGTCTATCATTCCGTCATTCATAGCCCTTGTTTCCAAGTTTAAGCTTGCCTAATCATAGACCTGGGGTCTGTATAGCTGCCATGAATGTTGTTTGGCTTGGCCATGTCCTCTTTCTCTATAGAACCTTACAACACCACATCCATTAGATATCAAACTCTTTTCTTTTCTTTTCTTTTCTCTTTTCTTTTTTGAATGGCTGATTTAAATGTCACTTTCAAACCCACGTCTTCGAGTTGGGGGATTCTTGGAATAACTTGAAATATATGAACTACGTTGACAGCCATTGCCACAGAATCACTAAGTCGACAGTCTTTACTTCAATTCATCACAATCTTGGCAACCTATGGAGACATGACATCCCGATCAAAACCAGCATCTTAAACCTCCAAACTTTCCGTACAAAATCATGTTTGAGAATCCGCCATCCTACATGAATAGAAACCCCGAGGCGAGTGGCCTATTAGAGGTGCATCTCTTCACACTGACACGCAACGCCAAATTCCACCATCGGAACTTTCGCTCCAATGGATTGACTCCTCAGAGCGGGAGGTCTGATCCCTGTTGCATATGGTACTAGTGTTTGGCAACGACTGTAGGCCCAGCTTCCCCGCCCTCCTGCAGAATTTCCCGCTCTATGAAATCAATCTTGTCGGATTGGCTTCGGTTATAGGCTTTGCATTCATTTGACAGCTTGTCACAGCGAGAATAGTAATGTTGAGGTCGATCTCTGGTGTGACAGCCTCCATGGCCTCCGCTATACCCCTCGTACAAAAGGTGCACACCTTACACGCTCGGGGAACTTCAAGAAAATCCAGTTTTCCTATTTTAAAACACACTGAAAATGAACTTCGGCTATTATCTGAATGTATACACTGTCTATGCCCTTCTCGGGGCAATCTTGGTTCGCCTCCTCACCAACCGGTATAAACGAGGGCTTCGAGATATCCCTGGACCAGCATTGGCCAGATACTCTCGTCTATGGAAGTTATACAGTGTATGGAAGGGTGATCATCACCATGTTGAAATCAATCTACATCGCAAGCACGGGTCCCTGGTGCGCATCGGCCCGAATCACATCTCTGTCAGCGATCCTGCGGCGATTCCAACCATTTACGGGCTTAATAAAGGATTCACCAAGGCATGTTTAGCTGATATGCTACTTAAGAGAGGAATAGATCCTTCCAACAGTACTGACGGTTCCACTATAGACATCATTCTACCCCATTCAATCCGTAACATGGAACAAACAGGCCCAGATGAACATCTTCTCAACCAGAGATGTAGCCTACCACCGCGCCCAGAGACGCAACGTCGCAAGTGGATATAGCCTGTCCTCTCTGCTCGAGAGTGAATCCGCCATCGACTCCTGTACCGCCCTCTTCGTGTCCCAGATGTCCAAATTCGCAGACCAGAAGACCCCAGTCAACCTGGGCAACTGGTTACAGTATTATGCCTTCGACGTGGTCGGCGAGGTAACCTTCTCCAAAAAGCTGGGTTTCCTCGAAGAAGGCCGTGACGTCGACAACATCATGGAAGCTATTCATGGTAATCTAGTTTATGCCAGTCTTTGTGGCCAGATTCCGGAACTGCATAATCTCCTGGTTGGGAACCCGCTGATTCCATTCCTGTTGCCCAGTCTGGAGAGCTGGAATCAAGTGTTGCAATTTACACTCAAGGCCATCAACCCGCAAGCCCCACTCAAAGAGAATGGGGAGATACAAGACAAAGTGACAGGGAAAGACATGATGTCGCGCTGGATGGCGGCTCACCTAGCGGATCCGGAGAGATTCTCGACGAGAGATGCCATCGTCCATCTGTCAGCAAACGTCTTCGCTGGCTCTGACACTACTGCCATAGCCTTGCGAGCCATTGTGTATCTTCTCATGCGCAACCCTGCTACAATGGCAAAGGTCGTGGCAGAGCTTGACAATGCAATCAGCGAGAAAAAGGTCGGAAATCCTGTTTCCTACCGCGAGTCCACGACTCACCTTCCATACCTGGGTGCTGTCATCAAGGAAGCTCTCCGAATTCATCCCTCCGTCGGTCTGATTTTGGAACGTGAAGTGCCCGAGGGTGGTGCCATGATCTGCGGGAAGCAGATACCTGCTGGTACTACCGTCGGGATCAATGCGTGGGTGGTGAATCGGAGCGAGGAGATTTTCCCCGACCCAGATGAGTTTTTGCCAGAGCGGTGGTTGGATAGCTCGCCTGAGAAACTGAAGGCGATGGAACAAAGTATCTTGACCTTTGGGGCTGGGTCTCGGAGCTGCATTGGGAAGCATATCTCGTTCATGGAGATGTATAAAGTGATACCACAGCTTTTGCGAGAGTTTGAGATCGAACTACATGACTCGAAGGAATGGAAGACACGGAACATCTGGTTCGTGCAGCAAGGCGAGATGATATGCGATTTCGTGAGAAGGAAGTAGGGAGGACAGAGAGAGAGCACTAGAGAAATTGCAAGTCTTTCGAGTGGAATCCAAAGTCTGCGTATTCGTCGAACGTCGAGGGACGGTTCCCATAACGCAGAAAACAAAAAATTCGCTGAAGTAACATTAGAGAGCATTAAGAACTTGCTGCATCGCAAGTGTATTCGAGTCTTCCCGCCTGGAGACATAAGCCCTCACTTCCTGAACACTCAATTTGCCTTCCTGGCTGGCATTCCTCGCCGAGCCACCTGTAGTCCCGCTGGCAGCACCACCCCGAATTCGTTCCCTCAGAGCCTCGACACCGATCACGAATAAACTGCCCACTTCCAGTAACACGTCCAGCGCGCCACCAGGGCCCTTGGCTTCATCGTCGATGTCCCATGATTTGAACAGGTCTGCATACTGGGTCATATCTTTAGTCACCATGAGACCTCCAGGACCGCTGACGGCGAAACGTTTGAAATGCTCGAGTAACAAGCGCCGCGTGCCGAGGGCGATTTCGGTAAGTACTTGGCGGATGTTGACACCGCTAGATGGGAGGGATGTTTGGGCGATGTTGTGGAGGCGGGTCAGGAAAGTTGTGATCGACGTGCATGTCTGATGGATGGGTTAGTATTTACCACGAGAAATGAGAGAGGGTGAACAAACCGGTGTTTGCAGCATTTCAAGCCAAGCTGTGCTGTCACTTTCCCGGGGTCTAAAATCGTTCTTCTTTTGTCCAGAGAGGAGTTTGCTGACCCATGTTAATGTGGCATCGATGGTCTTCTGCTCAATGGTGTTGATTTTGTCTTCGATGCGTGAGGTCGTTTGCGTCGTGCGTTTCTCCATATCCCGGCGTGTGGTGATGCTGCCAGTGGACAGGGGGAGAAGGACTGCATGCACACACATTACCATCAGCGTGGTAATGCTGATCGTGGTTCGCACCGAAAGGAGATATGAGAAGTCGGGTTCGGATTTACCAGACTCCTGTGTAGTAGCTGCCTCCAGAGCGGCATCCAGACAGACATCCACGTATCCATCTCCCATGGTGACGAGGAGCAGGTTCAGCATAGCAGATACATCTTTGGGGGTATCACTGTTGACACTGAGTTCCAGACCACGCCCCACGGCCTCAGCGAGCCATTTGAGCATTCGCTTGGCATCACTCATGTTTGGCTGTCCATTTTCTTCCGTGAGCTTGATCTCTGTCAACCGTGTAGTCTCTAAAGTATCACCAATCTTGGCCACGCTGAGCAGGACTCTGCGCTGCACCGGTGACACTTCTGGTGAGTCCAGACGGTTGATAAAAGAATCCCGGGTCGTTGAGAGAAGTTCGGATCCGGCTCGAATGGAGGCCATAAAGGTTGTGGCGGCCTTCTTGCGGCGGGCATGGTAGGATGTGAATCGGAAGAGGACTGCTTGGAAAAGTTCTTCCAATGTTCTCTTCTCGCGCTCGATGTAGGACGATCCGACAAAGTAAGGAACAAACAGCTCCTCTAGTTGTTGGTCGAGCAGCACGGCTGTGTGGGATGAAACAGGGTCAGGGTGCTCAGTCAATCCATGTTGTTTGAGATCTTCAATCAGGGCACTGATATAGCCCCGGGAGCTCTGTAAACAACGGAGAAACGCTAGGGATGATGCCCCGGACGCTTTCTCGAGGACCATCTCCAGTCGTTGCTGGATCGATTGCTGGAAGACTCGCTGCAAGAACTTGCCCAAGACTTGCTCGTAGTAAGGGAATGCCCGGCGAATGATGGCAGACTCTTCCTGCACAACCACCTTCACTTCGTCCACCAACGACTGCAGACTGGGCTCAACCCCCGGCAGCTCGGCGTCCGGATCGGCCAGTTTCTCCCACGACTCCGGATCTCCAGCGATTTCCTCCGTCACCAACTGGCTGCGATCAATGAAGAACTGATGCTGGTTGACGAAGAGGGCAATGACACTGGCTCCACCGTTGAAATCTTGTAATACCGTGGCACAGTCCCTCATTCCATCGAAGTTGGCCTTGCGATAGAAATCATCAAACTGCTTTAACAAGTCCTTCTCCAACGTCTCCGAAAACTTCTCGATGATCTCCCTCGTATTTCGTCGCGGGGAATTACTCTCACTCAGATCCTCCGACGAGCTCCCATACCCATTCGAGGGATTCTGCTGCCAGCTCTGCGCATCCAATCGCTGACTGATCCGCAACAACTGTCGCGCAATGTGCGCCGAACGAACCTTGGCCTCCCCGGTTCCCGACCTCCGTAGCCCCTCCAGTAATGACAGATCGCCGCGGTTCGACACGCCATCCCAACATTGAATCAGGAAATGTGCATCCAGCGCTCGTCGTCGCTGTCGGTCCAGCTCTTCTAATCTCCTTCCTGTTTCCACTGCCATATTTCCCGTTCCCCCGGCATCACGCCCGTTCAAGGACGTGTCCAGCTGTTGGAACGATTCGATAGCGTGTCGTAGTTTCTGCCCGAGTGTCGTGAGGTTCTGGCCGTGTTGCGCTTCGGCGCGGCGGACCGCAGCGGACAATTCATTTTCGCGGAGCTCGAGATCGCCGGAGAGTTCGCTCAGTCGGCGTTGGGCGCTTTCAAAGGTCCGGATGAGGGGTTTGGGGTCGAATGTTTGGTTGCCCGTATTGGTGATCGAGCGGCGCGTGGAGGTGGCCGTGTCGGAGAGGGCCTCGATGAACTCCTTGACAATGAAGTCCCGACTCGAGAAGTCTTCCAGGGTAAAGCTGGGGCCCTGTGGGAAGACAGTGCGGGGATTTAGGGAAGCATTGTCCATCATGATGGGCAGAGTGGCAATTGGCCTACATTCAGGCCTGAGGAGGTGGGGAGTCGAGAGCTCGGAGTAGTTGGGGGGAGACGTCGAGACGGGTATCTTAGTGAGCTGAGTACATTCACGTCATTCAATGCAATTCTGATTATTTTGAGGTTTTTAGCTGTTTTACTTAAGTAGTCATTTGTTTATAATTATTTCTGTCAAATATAATGAAGCTATTACATTGCCAAGGCAGTATAGGCACCAATGGGAGAGGAACAAGTACAAGAGAATAGGCAATTACATTCTATTGTACTTGTAAGTATGTATATAATTATATATTTATCTGTCTACACTTATTTCCAAGGTCAGGTAGCTGCCAACAGCTTGTATAACGGAGATATTTATAGCCTTGCGCAACGAGACACAGAACACTCCTCTTCCCACTCCCGAACACCTTTCCCCCTCCACCTCCCCAGCAAAATGGTCTCCCAACGAGATCGCGAACTCCTGCGCGGGGACCTGCGTGCGCGTTCCAAACTGTCAACGGCAGACCGGGAATCCCTGCTGAAGAGCTACCTCCCCGAAGATCTCTCCCGACCCGAACGCCGCAGACCTCACAAAACGCCCATCCGCTCGTTCTTCAAGGCACAACTCCACCACCTCGCATATGCCCTGACGCATATCATTTTTGGAATCATCGTTAGGCTCCTGCAAGCCTATCATGCGGTGGTGGACCGTGTCTTCGCCATCGTCTATCACCACCACCGCACGCCCGAGCTCATTCGCAAAGATGTGAGGGGATTGAAGCGTCTCCCCCAGCATCTGAGCACTATTCTGACCCTGCGCAAAGAGGACGATGCCTTGGCAGTGCTGATGGACGAAGTGGCCGAGCTGGCAGCTTGGAGCTCTTGCGCGGGGATCCCCCAGTTGAGCATCTACGAGAAGACAGGTGAGTTGACCGCGAGTGGTTTTTTTCTCTCTCTCTTTTTTCCCTATTGCTGTATATCTTTTTCTATAAATGGGTAACTGACTATTGCAGGCGTCTTGAAATCATGCATCCCAGCCCTCCACCAAATCATCACAACCAAACTGGCGAGCTACTACGGCTCACCAGACCAACAGCCAAACCTGCACCTCTACGCCCCCCACCACCCAGTCCATGGCTCAACCACCAACCCGGGCAAGAGCACTCTGACAATGCTCCTGCTCTCCTCCACCGACGGTCGGGAAACCATCGTCGACCTGACCAAGACTCTGGCAGAAATGAGCCAGAACGGCAAGCTCTCCCCGGAAGATATCACCCCAGAGTTGGTGGACGCCGAGATCAGCGACATTACCACCCAACCCCTCACCGCAGGGACCGACACCGTCCTCAAGCCGGAGCCAGACCTGCTGCTCGTGTTCAGTCCCTACCTCAAGCTAGACGGGTACCCACCATGGCAGATCCGGCTCACAGAGATGTATTGCACGGGGAGTCGGTCCCACGGAGTGAATGGGGATGGGGAAGCCGTCGAGTACCAGGGATACATGCGTGGACTGTGGCATTTCGCGGGTGCGCAGATGCGATTCGGAAGGTAGTAGTCCCGGAAGGAAATGCGATGTGCCGTTGGTATGTAGTTCATTAAGTATTCGTTGGTATCAATATGCTATATGCCGTACAAGAAAGTCCCCCGTATGAGAGTTCCGAAGAAAAAAAATATACCCGTTCCATATCCCATGTCCGTACTCCCCAAATATAAGAATTGACAGTCTCAATCTTGATGCATGTCATCAAGAGCCCATTGTGAATGCCATCCACGTACACAATCCAGACAGCGGACAATTTCCGCTCCATTCTGGGTTATGTCCTCGACAGCACATGAAGAGCAGATTTTCCGCTTTGTGTTGTCGGTGTTCGTATCCACGTCTGCATCGACGTGAGTGGTTGGACCCGTCTGAATCTGGCAGCTTGGACTGTCACATTGTCTGAGACAGATGAAGCATGCTCGTTCGTGACACAGGTCACAATCTGCGTAAGCATCCAGCACCTGTCGGGTAGTTGGTCGTCGATGACAGATGTGACAGGGGCGCAGCGCCGAGGCAGATGCAGACTGCGGATAGTGGAGTGGAACGAGGGTTTTGGGAGAGATTGGAGGCGAGTATGGGTCTGTTGTGTAGAGATTGGGCGAGAGGTGGGATGGTTGCTGGGACTGCATTTGCTGAGGGAGGAGGTAGGACCCGATGTGTCTCCGTTTTCGAGGCAGACAGCGTGGTCGAAGATTCGAGTCCTGCAGCGGATGTGGGCAGTCGTATTCCTCTACTCGAAAGGAGGGCATATATGTTCTAAGGGTGTTAGTCTGGGAGTGGCCACATGGAGGGGTTTTCACTTACGGACGAGTGAGGGAGAGATCATCTTCCCTCTTGCGTTTCTTCCATATGGCATCGTCTGGTGAGATACCTGGCATTGTGTATGGAGTCCGAAGCACAGGGGAGTGAAGTGCAGTTGGAGAAAACAAAAGAACCGCCTCGGGGGCGGTGGGCTGATAGTCCTTATCAGTGAGATTTGATACGCTTTGTTTAGTTCCTGACTTCTTGACTTCTTCACCTCTTTTTTATGTCCTCTGTTCTTTTTTCTTTACTCAAATATACCGCTACCTGTTTCATGTCGCCATGGTCATGGATTCCACCAGGGTTATCATCTACGCCTGCGTAACTGACATTGACGGCTGCCCCCAAAGGCGCCATCTCCAACTCGGGGAGGATGTGTCTACGATGTTAGGACGTCCTTTTAGATCGACACTCGATCCAACAGGCTACGACCATGTCCATATCCCCGCCGACTTTGACTCGGAAAAGCCTATCAAGCGGTGGTTCATTCTGGACTGGAATGTCACCCAAGTCCTGAGTCGGGACGCGGTGTCCGAAATCCCCCACCAAGTATATCTGGCGAGTCGGCAAAATGGCAAATTGTGAGCCACAAGAGTTTGTCCCATTAACTACTGTCTGACTGGCTAGAACATTCATACCCCGTGATCATTGGGCGGAGAAGGCCAAGGCCCGGGCTGCTTCGTATACCTGGGGTGGTCGACAAGAGCAGCAAATGATTGGCATAATGAGGTCTGAGAATAAGGAAAACGAGTGATTGGTGACAACCCCTCCTTCAAATCATGGTGATTCGGGTGGTGTTGCCCCCTTGCATGCCGGACAGTCTTCGTCCTCAGTATCCTCTTGCCAGTCGTGCACGTCTTCGCGCTGGTGAGGTGGACAAGTCACTCCGTTTTGGATGGCGGGAGGACATCTCGCAATATAAACCGTGGCTTCGTGTCCACACCGACCAAATATCCCTCGCACGTTATCACACATTTCGACTGTGCCGAGGTTGGAAAGTTCGAGCTTTGGATTGCGAGTATTAGCAGATCCGACGGTCTATGCTCGGTCTCAAGGACGTACATTAGACTTGGAGATATCTTGGGGATATGCTGGGCTCTATACGGAGTAATCCTGGTTTCAACCAATGTCTGGGGATGTGACATGTAAAACGTTCTCCCTGGACGAGATCATGCACTGCTGCCGGTTGATCGACATGGCCTATCAGGGTGCAGCGAATCTAGATTATGATACCTATACTCCGTGTCCTCAAGGCAGTGTCGCATGTATTGAAAATATTTACTGGCCCGTACTTCATTGGAAGCGGACATATGTATGTCCATGGCAGATTCATAGAGCGAATTCACTTATGTATATGGCTCAAACTTGGTGTCACTAGTATATGCTTCAGGCCTCAACCTCCACCCCATCCAACCGTGCCTGGATAGTCTTCTCGTCAAACCGACCACTATCCCCAACATAATTCCGAAGGACTTCATAAGTCATCAATCGCCTGGGCGCTTTACGCCCAGTCATCAACTCGAACTGCGCAATGCCTTGTTCAGTGACATTCTCCAACCCATCAGACAACACCCAAGGACGACCAGTTACACTACGGACACGACGCATCTGACGAAGCAGCGGCGTGTCAAGTGGTTTATACGCTAACTGTTTCCCCTGTCAGCAAAATAAACAAGTACGAAAGTGTCAATCACTCACCTCAAGAATAACACCACCTGTCGCACTGCCCAGCCAGTGATCCGGCATTTCAAAATTAGCCGGTGGTTCATCTCGATCCGGATCCGCAGGAACACAACTGGCGACTAAACTAGGCTGGACATCATCCGGCCAATCCTGCTTCAGCGAATCCAGCACAATAACCACATCCCCATCCTCCGCCGCCCAACTATTGAAATGGCGCGCGACCTCTTCAGCCCTGGCCCGCGTGCGATTATACATGAAGATCTTCCGACATCCCAGCCGGAGCATAGCATAGATAGCTGCACGCGCCATACCACCCGCCCCAATGACGAGGGCCGTAGTTCTGGCGCTGATCGCATTACGCGGGGACAGGTGCCGCGTGATACAAGTCATGATGCCGACCCAGTCTGTGTTTTCGCCATACCAGCCCAAGACGCGACCGGCCTGGTTGCGACGGGATGCTTGTTCAGTGAGTGGGAAGATGGTGCCGTCGTTGCCGCGGAGGGGCATGATCGTGTTGATAGCACCGATTGCTTCGGCGTGGCGGCTTTTCGAGGCGAGTTTTTGATACACTGCCACGCGCCAGGGCTGGACGACGCTTGAGCCGCCGAAGTGCGGGTCTCGGCCTATTTGGTCGAGGACGGCGAGGGAGGGAGCTGGGGGGATACTGTATGTGTGGCCCATGCCGCAGTGTTGGTAGGCTGCGTTGTGCATGGCTGGGGAAAGGGAGTAGGCGACGCTTTCGCCTGAGATGTAGAATTTGAGAGGGTCGAGGATGTAGCTTTGGAAGAGGGCGCGGACGGCGTCCCGGGAGGTGATGGTAGGGTCGTTTTCATGTTTCGATGTTGGGATGGCGGGATGGCTGACGGAGGTGAGGGTGGAATTGAAGACTTGGGAGGTGCGTCCTAATGCGCCGATATTGTAGGCTATAAGGGGTGGGTGGGTGCCAGGGAGAGATCGGATCTTGTTAGAGAACTCAATGACCGCAGTGTTGTCTTCACGGGTTGTGGCCACGCGAAGCAGGCGTACGAGCTGGCAGCCGAGCTTTTCGGCGTCGTGGTAGGTGACCACACTGTCTGGGCCCCAGGGTGAGGAGGTGGGCGCGAAGACCTGTTGACCGATGATCTTTGTATTCCCACGTCCTGCAATAATGCCCGCAAGCTTGGATCGATCTTGAGTGAGGTCTACAACGAGATATTCCACTCCTAAGCGCAGACCATGTTCCAGAATCTCGAAATAAGGAGCCTTCGTCCCGACTCCGGTGGAGGATGTGTCGATGGAGAGAATGATTGGAGTCCGCGCATTTCGTCGGAGCACCGAGACTTGTTTGCTGATCGTTGCTGGCATCTCCGCACTCCAGCGATCCACGCATAACTCAATGGCGTCTCCGCCGGACTCCAGCTCCGCCAATTTCACATTATCCGCGATCAGATCAGTGGACCGCACGAAGATCGCGTGCGTATATGATCTGAGCTCTGGAGGCGTCTCCAGCAGCACAAACGGCGAGTTGTAACTGGAATAGTTCACATCCAGCCCGGTGATAAACTGAACGAATCGCGTGAAGTCTTCCTTGACTTCCTGCAGCTTGAACGAATAATCCGCCGATCGACGATCCGGGCTCCCATCATCCGATGCCCGTGTCCGGTCTTCCACATTATAGAATTCGAAGTTCGAGCACATCCGATGCAGAGGGTCTCCCTCTTTGAACAACCGCATAGCCTGGTCCTCCAGGCCAAGCAATTGCTGAATGCGAGCGATATCCCGCACCAAATGGACGACCGGGTTCCCCCGCGCATAGCGGCGCAAATGATCCTGCACCGGACGCGTCATACTTCCGAGCCCGCACTCCATGACGCAGCCCGTGCGGTGGTTGTCCAGCATCATTTTGAGGACTTCGATGTCCCGCCGTTGGAACTCCTGGCTGCCATGTTGCTTGAGGTATTCCTGTCGCGTGCACCCGGTGACTTCTTTAAAGTAGTGGTCTTCGGTAATAAATCGACGTTTGAGGGCGGTTGCCGCTACAAAGCCCAGCGAGCGTTTGCCGCAGCCGCGAATGCCGACTAGCACGAGGGAGGCATCTGGAGGGAATGTTCGGGTCGGCTTGGGAGCACTGGCAGGCTCCGGGCTCTGGACCTTGTTTAGCATTTCAATTGGTTTCATCTCATAGTGAAGTGTGAAGTGTGAAGTGTAAGTTCTGGAGTGGCAGTATAATTTCCCCAGACGAACTGCCGACCGCTCGGATGAAGGCTTTGCCGGGGATCTATAGACTTGAGAATTGATCTTTATACTGGACTCCGACTCTTTTTTCGCTGTTTCTTTCACATGTACTACTATGTACTACTGTGTACTCTGTAATTGCTAGGTTTGATATTTTCTATGGCAGGTAAGTAATTCTCCCGCATCCCTATACAACAAGTAACTACGTGCTCTGTACTCCGCACAGTGACATCTCCACTTCGATGTTAGCGCTCGGAGCTCGGGATGCCGTCGATCTAGGAGGTGGACAGAACTCGGCAGTGGCTGGCAGTGGCTCCCTTGGAAATACCCCAGTTTTTCCATATATACCGTAGTCCTTCGACTCCCATTTATATCAAGTACTTTGCCGATGATATCGGCAGTTGAGAAGTGGGCAGGTCCGAGGCGGAAAGGGGGCTCGGCATATGTGGGGAATATATTGTGCAATTGATGAAAGTGATGGATCTATTTTGAGAGAGAGAACACAGCCTGTTCTAAGCATAGAACAAGAGACACTAGTGAGCAAAAAATAGAAGCAAAGAAAAGAAGAAAAGAAGCAAAGACAATCGTGGAGACGTGGGGAACCCGAGTACTTCCCGAGTTCTCGGCCCTGTGCGGGTTAGTCCTCCGTACTTCGGAACTTCTATTGCATTCCCCTTCACGTTTCGCGACATTCTCTCTCTTTCAGAGAACTTACTCTTTACATGGCTTCGTGAACCCCCGCCATGGAGGCCCCCGACAAAGCGCCTCGTAAGAGAGTCTCTCGCGCCTGCGACCGCTGTCGCAGCAAAAAGGTGATCCCCTCACGACTCCAACGGAGACCCTCCGGGCTAACAATACCAGGATAAATGCGATGGGATACGTCCGACCTGTTCCGCCTGTCAAGCCTCCGGTAAATCCTGCTCATACGATCCTCACGCGAAGAAACGCGGTCTGCCAGAAGGATACGTGCGTGGTCTGGAAAAGCTCTGGGCAATCTCAATATGCAACATCGATGGGTTCGAGGACACAATGCTAGCGATGCTGGGTAGCACGGCAGAATCGGCGGGCCGACGCGAGACCCTGATGTCTGCGTGGTCGGACGACAGTGCCGCCGAGAGTCTGCACGAGTCATGGAAAACGAGTCGCTTATACGGCGCGTTGGAGAAAATGCTCTCCAACTCCGAGGCTCCGGCGACGGGGAAGCGGGCGCGCCCACTGGATTTTCCGCTGAGAGTCTCGCGCACCGCCACCCCGCTGGGTCCCGATGCGCCGCGCGTGGTTGAGCCGACGACTTCGGCGAAGAGGGCGCGGGTGGAAGATCGGGGGTCCGATAGATCCAGTCTACAACTACCCCCGCAGACATCCCAGCTGCTAGATGTCTACTTCGCTGTGACCCATTCATGGTTCCCGATCATCGCGAAACATAATATCTTGCGCGCTTCTTACCTATATGCGAACGCGCCCATGACCATTACCGCAGTGTCCCCCGGATCGGGGGATCATGCTGCATTGTGGGCCATTCTCAGCTACACCGTCACGCAACCGCGATTGAACCAACCGGCCGGCCCCGGGGCTGTCAACTTAGCCAAGGAATATTACGCGATCTCACGAAATCTCATCCCTGCAGAGAAAGAGCGCTATGAACTGGGCCATATTCAGGCATTGCTTTTACTGACTTTTGTGAACACGGGCCTGCAGGATTGGACTGCGGCCTGGTTGCTGAGTGGACAAGCAGTGCGGATGGCTATCTCCATGGGACTAGGTACACACTTGAGCTCCAACTCCCGACGGTCCGACGAGCTCCGACAGGGGAAAGCAGTGTTTCTGGGATGCTTTGTCGTGGACTCGCTGCTTTCTTTCAATCTTGGGCGGAGCCCAGCTATTCCTCCCAACGACATTGCCACGGTGGGTCTGTTGGAGGAGGATGGATTGGAGGAATGGAACTCTTGGGTGGATGTGCTACCACCAACAGCAGCTTCACAAAGTAGCAAGAATTCGCCGCGCCGTGGTCCACTCATGGCGCTGAGCTGTTTCAACCGCTTGGTGGAGTTGGCCAGTGTGTTGAACAAAATCTCTCGTCACATCTCATCTGGTTATAATATGGCTACATTTGCACAGCAGTTGGTCATGGATCTGAAGCAATGGGATGACTGCTTGCCTCTTGGGTGTCGTCTCATTGGACCTGAGAGCATTTATCCTGAGCGTCATTCGGCCTTGCTTCCCCATCAAAGCTATCTGGGCTTGACATATGTGGCCACGCTGTTGTGGCTGTACATCCAGCTGATCCCTGAAGAACAGGGATTTGATCGGTCCCAACGACCTGCAACAGAGGGGGCTAAGAAGCTGCTCTATCGAGGCCTGACCATGTTGACCCAGCGGTTGGACAACTTCCCCATGTGCGGTCTGCCGCCGCTCTTCGAATTGAGTCTTCGCACAATCTCAGAGCAGGCGCATGCGCTACAGAGATCTGAACCTGCCTCGTTCCCCTTTGCCCGCTGGGCAGATGAATTCAGTCATAAAACAGCCGGCTTGACTTCAACTTGGCCTTCCATCATGGAGTGCTGGCAATCCAAAGACGCCTCATGCTTCCCAGCCAACCCACCCCCTATTCCCTCGATGCAGCCACCAGCTCGCTCAAATGATGATTATACCTCTTCCATCCTCGGCATCAGCATGCCAGTAGATGGACAATCCCTCACACCAAAAGACACCGTGATGGAGAATACAGATCTCATGATGGACCTCCCAGTTGATTCACCCCTTGACAAAATCCCCCGCAGCGATCCGGATCAAACGTTGTATTCAGGCCAACCACTTCTTCCTCAACACCCACAACCCCAAACCCCCGACTCAACCTCCTCAATGACCGGCACCTCAAATGTTGGTGACATAGATGCCATCTTCAAAGACCTCGCATACCTTGACACTACAGAGTGGGCCACGAACCGCGAGGCCGGACTTAAGGACTTTGGCTTCATGGATGATTCTACTTTCCAGGCCTTTTGCCATGATCCTGATCGCTTGGGCAGGTCACAGCCCCTTGTGCATCCCCCTTCCATTGCTGATATTTGGCCTCCGCCGGGTTTCTTCCCCGAGACTTTCCAGGAGGAGTCAATGGGCCATACTTGAGATTTACCATGCCCAGCAGCGATTCGACTCCTTCAAGCGCATTCATTTTTGATTATATACTATGTACATATACCCACGCTGGAGGATTCAGCGCATCAAAATAGTGTCAACTTCAAGACAAAATTAGACGACCTTTTTTTCCCACGACGTTGAACTTCTGCCTGCAGGAGACCGAAAGCTCGACTGCATCAACCTCGTGATCCCCTCATTTTATATTCCCGAGAGCTTACCACACATTACCAGCAGTCTGCTCTTTGAACAGCTTCTTCACATTAATCGACCTCCAGAACCACGTGCAAGCAATACACAGCGGAACAAAACAAACACCCACGATGACCATCTTCCGCTGCACACTCGAGTAAGCACCCACAATTGCCTCCCTCTCTGCAGTCCCATCTGCATATTCCATCTGTGCTATGATAGTGCCGAAAATAGTCGCTGCAAGGTGCTTGCTCCCTTCTGGGAGTCGGGCATACATCTCCTTCTGGGCGAGATTATTCCACATAGCACCCGCGATGGCCGAGCCCACAGCTGCACCGATCGAGCCGAACAGCCCCCAAATCGCGATCACGACCGCAACCTCTTGGTGAGTCACCATGGCCATGATGGCCAATTGTCCACAGACCGTGAAGAGACAAGTGCCGAGTCCAACCAGGATCTGTGTCATTGTGAGAATACCAACATGGGTGGATGGTTCGCGGAAGGGAATGAGGAGCGCAGAGCCGAGGAGGAAAATTGGAATACCGGCCATCACAGTCCATTTGTATTCACCGGTGATGCGAATGAGACTATTCTGTGTCAGTGGTAGTCGTTGCTGAAGCAAAGGCGGACTTACACGCCAAAGATCGGACTGAAGATGAATGAGGTGAGTGAGAAAGTGTTGAGGACATAGTTGGCTGTCACGATATCGAGTCGGTGTACGACCTGCAGGTACGAACTGAAGTAGCTGTTCCAGCAGCTGAATATCATGTTAGCTGAATATCCAGGAGAATGATTTGGGATACTGACAAGGTGGACATGAACATCACGCCGTATAGCATGCAAGAACCGATCATGGTTGGCTGCTTGAGATATTTCCAAGGGAGGAACTGAACAGGCGAATAGTATCGCTCCCAGAGGTAAAAGGCCGGTATGCAGAACACACCCAACACTTCCATGGCGATGATGTATCCAGATGCCCAACCCTTTGGTGCGTACGAAGCGATATTGAACGGGATCAAGATGAGGGCAAATGCTGCTGTGACGAGGATGATTCCAATGACTGATGAGAAGTTAGTATTCATCTTTTCCAGTCCTGGAGGGTGAACACGCACCGTCAAATTCCATGAAGTAGTGGGCAATGCTCTGCCACCACGATCTTCCTGATCTCTCTTTGCTGATGGCCCCGTTCCTCTCGGCTTTGCGCTCCATGAAGAGCATCACCACACAAACCGGGATAGACACACCCACCAGCATGATGGCAAAAGCTCCGAATGCCCATCGGAAGTCCAGGTTTGCCTCGAACAAGGAGGCGATTTTAGGTCCAGCGAACGTGCTGCAAATTCCAGGGGTGCCATTGATTCCGATCATAATCATTCGGTTCTTGAGCGAAGTCATATCCGCCAACATGATCTCAATCACGTACCCCAGTCCAATATGACCAACCCAGTACAACGTGTGAGCTGCCGTGTACATCTCAATACCATTGCATGTTGCCTTCATGATCAAGCCAATGACCATGATCAGCAGCATGAAGAGAAACCCCTCAATTCGTCCCCAGATGTCGATGATTTTCGCAAGGGTCAGTTTCGAGGAACCGCCGAGGATGGTGGAGACCACGCTCACGACAGTGAGAAGCCCGTGCTTTCCGAATTCTGAGGTAATGTATGGATTCAGGGAGCCTTGCACCGAGACCAGGAGAGCGTCTACAAAAGACACCAGGTATAGCCTGTTTCATTAGGGTGGTCGGTTGATGTGGAATCAGGGAACTCACAGAATGAACATCAAAACCAGTGTCTTCTTAGACCATGACGAAGTGACGGCTCGAACCCGCTGGACACCTCCTTGAAAGTCGGCGGAGTCTTTATCAGAAATGCTAGCCTGATCCTGTTCAACGCCACGTTCAACAACCTGTCGAGCACCCGCCTTCTCAGCATCACCAATCTCAGCGGGGGAGATTCGGTCGGAAGCCATGATCTTTTCCATTATTCAATCACCTCGTAGGCAGATCCAATCGATACTGATGGCCTCGAAAAAAATGAGTCGACAGACCACGGAGTTGGGACGTCCTTGTTTTATACGAAACGGAAACAAGAAAAACCAACCTGCATATTCTGCATGTCCCACCAGTCCAGAGCGTCTCTGCCCTCCTATCAGATGATCTGATAATGTTCCCTGCACCCAGAAAGATCAAACAAACCAATCATCATTGAGCCAAGTGCATCTAGCGGGCTGTTAAGTTTCGCCTCCACCGGCAATGGCTCAATGGAGAATCAAATGCGATGATCAGACTACATTGAAAGTTTCATTTCTTATCAGATTTGCCGCGATTCCCTCTAAATCGCTTGCCACTGTGGCCAGTAAAATACCCATCTTCCGAGATGTTCGGCAGACTAGCCGTTGCGTCGGAAATTGCGCGAATAAATTACACATCGCTAAACAATGGTCAGTTCTCGACGGAGTCTCCGAAGAGCAGCTATGGTTACAGGCGGACATCCCTGGTTTTGGTATAGACAGGCTTGGCTTTTGTCAACCAGCCCATCTATACATGCTCTACTCTGTTTGTACATTGCATTCCAGTGAAGACTGACCAAATCATGCCCCTGTGGTATGACCCGACATGCTTGGCAGGCTTCGGCTAGGAAGCCAAGACAGACGCCAAGCAGCTATGTTGGCTTCGAGCGGAGATCTTCGGCGCTGGTTACACTTGTGCTGGCTCGGGTCAAACGAGATCCGAAGATTCTGCTTGGCTTACTCGGCATTCATCATGTTTTGTATGACAATCGTCGGGCGGTTCCTGCGGCAGTTGGCACTGGCCGGCACTTCGAACATCTCGTTGTGTATACCAACCCTGTGGCGTGAGAAATTTGAATTCTCATCACAGGGCCGGGCTCATTTGGGGATCCTGGGCTTGAGTCATGTTGGTGTTTCGAGTTTCTCAATCTTGAATTTTTTTTCTTGCTCGAGAAAGGATCTGATTTTGGCAGATCGACTGATTTGATATATAGATGGTGCTCAAATCTGGAGTCCTAGGCGACCATAACCGAGACGTTCAAAGACACAGAGAGAATCAACTTCAGCTGTGAGGGCCACAGAAAGGAAACAGGATAATGTGTATGTTTATTTCTGTGGGATGCCTGGGGTCCAAAAGCTGTATAGAGCAATGATCAACATCGCCAAGACGCTGGAGGCCTGAACGACTGCGGTTTACTCCGTTGAACGAAGTGCGTTGACCGAGAAACAAAACAATACATATCACAAGTATTAGGCCTTATTCTGTTCCAGAGGCTGAGGGCCAGTGGCTATGCGTCAAGCGGACCGCAGTGCAATGCTTTCGACGACGCTGGTCCTCGAATGGATATTCCGACAGGACCATTCTGACTTCAATCCAGCTGCAGTGTCTCAGCCAGGTTGGAGGCCTCAATGACTATATTTATAACACGAAAGATCAAGGGTGTCTATAAGAGCAAGCTCCCTGTGGTGCCTTTGACCATCAACATCCTCATCCAAGCTCAATTTCAAACATCTTCGGAGACAAATCAATTCAACCAGCGAAAATGAAGTTCACAATTGCCTCTATCCTGCTTGCTACATCGGCTCTTGCCGCTCCAGCCAATGTCGAGCGAAGCAACACTATTCAGATCAGCGGCTTCAGCGCCATTGCCAGCAAGATCAATTCAGCCAGCATGCACTTCGTCGTAACCGACGCAAACTACCCTGATGATACCCCCACCGACTGCCAGCTCCTCTGGTAGGTCTTTTCCCTGTCCTTTTATATAATGATTTCTAGCGAACACCTACTGATCTCATTTAGGACCTACGGATCCTCTCCCAAACAAAACGCACGCTGCAACAACAGCCAGTACTACATCCGGTTCCCCGATGGCCCCGTGGACTTCAATCTCTTCACACTTGAGTTGGAACGAGTATCTGGTCCGATTCCCGAGAAAGGACAAGCCAAACTCAGCTCCAAGACCTTCCCGTGGAAATGTGTGAAAAACCCCAAGGATGGGATCAACCTTCAATGTAACTATGAGGGCGTCCTCAACATGGATGTTTAGATGTGATAGCTTGATGTTGGTCTGAAGGTGACACCTATATACTTGAAGTTTCTCTAGTCCTTAGCTCTCCATGAGTTTAATATTATTGATTAAGTCGACATATTTAAGTTACACCAAGACCTCCGAAACAAAAACAGTCGCCAAATCATCACTTTTTAGGGCAATTGAACATCCTCACGCACATATCTCTCTCGCACTGGGTCGCCCTCATGTGAGTAGATTCCCCATTTTCCAATTCCCGAGTCTCCCTCCGACAAACCATATGTCAAATTGGAAGGTCGGTAAGAAGCATCACAGCGCATGCGCTGAATAGCAGAGATATGGACCTGCGCATCGGTGGGAATGTCTCGAGATTGACCTAGAGGCGGCGGCCAGCGCACAGCCTTCCACTTGCCATCAGATTGCAACTCCATTCTCCGCAGAGGCAGCCACTCCATGAACCGCCAGGATAAAACCGAGCGAATCGAAAGACCCTGCCCACAAGCGAGGAGATCGTGAATCCGCCCTTTCATACCACCGATCTGGAGCGCATTCATAAAGTCCTTTTGAGAATTGGACATGAAGTTGGAGCTCTCATGGGCTTTTTCCGCTTGATCGTCTGAAGTGTCATCTTCATTGCATTCTGGAATGCACGCCAGGTGCTTCATCTTCCACGGGTCAAGTCGAAGGCCGGCATTGCGGGCTTCTCCGACCATCCAGACCAGCGGTGCATGACTCAATGGCCATGCCTCGCCGGCTTCGAGATTCCAGCCACCGCCGATATCGGTATGTCCTCCCGGGAACCACATTTCTTCAACGTCTCGCTGGTCTTCGACCATTCTGACATCGTGGCTGCGGTTGTGGGTGGTTACGTGTGGGATCTCTGGTAGAACAGGGGGCCCGGAAGGAGTACTGGCTTCATCGTCCTGGAAGTTGCGCTCGGAACTTTGGCGTCTTGATTTGGGAGCTGGTGGGGGTTGCTCCTCTCGAATGCCGAGGAGAACTGGTCTGAATTTGATTCGACGTTCGTCGATGCTCACGGCGTGTCGAATGGTCTTTGTCGAAGGGACTTCATCCATATTGACATCGAAGTCGGCAACGCTATTAACTGCATCAAACATTCCGAGGAAGTGAACACGGGGCACAGGCTGAGCCAGCGTCTCTCGGCTACACTTCATCAGAGTGTATGCCCGTTTCTTCGCTTCCTGCTTGTTGTTCGTCCGACCCAGTTTCCACGCTGCAAAGGCATCCCAAATGACTGGAAGTACCTCTTCGTTGTCTGGGCCGAGGAGACCCACAAAATCGACCATCTCGTTCAAGAAGCGTGCTGCATAGGCGCCTCGTGAGAATCCAAAGATGTAAATCCGGGTTCCTTCGCGGTAGTGTCGCATCAGGAAGCGATATCCACCTAGAACATGACGATCGAATGATTTGCCAAGCGCCAAGTTGAGCGCTTTGCTATTACCGAGGTTGGTGTGTTTTCGCAAAGTTGCGTTGGCCAGAGATCCTGGGGTAATGTCGGTTCCAGTCCCGGCTATACGGTCAGTATTGGGCTGTGTCTGCGAGGCGGAATCTCATACGTTGGTAGTAGCATACTGAAAGTGATTCGATTAGTTCCACTCCTTCCTGGGAACTCAGAAGACTTACATTGCTCATCAGTTCGTTCAAGCATGCGACATATTTTCAAAACATTGGTCTCGGGTCCATTAGTGGTGAATGTATTCTCTGTGCCATCGAAGCACAGAACGATTTGCCGGGATCCTGCCATGGCTGCGTTCGAAAAACCTCGAGACCGAGGGGAAAAAAATCAGTCTTTATATGATGCATCCCATAGAAAACAAGAGAGAGGAGCGTTTTTCCTCCGCCTTGATTGTCTCCACTCACCGCGATAGTGCAGCGACGATCGCAATGATCTTCCTTAGGGCACCAATCACCGACTTTACAAAACTGCCAAGCAGGGCATGGAGTTCACTAGTCTATTAGATTCAGGGCCGTGCATTTGATCTTCTGCAGTAGGCTTCACTTCTGGTGAGCTTGTGGGCTTCCGACTCAGTCGGTGAAGAAAACCCAGTATGCGGGCTGTGATCAATCACACTTTTTGTCTCGAATGCAATATTGGCTCAATATTTGACATCACCCATCATACGCATATGGTGAAATATTAGCCCCTGGACATGCGAAAAAAAGCAAAGTGCTCAATATTGAAGGTTCAAGCTTGGAACCTCCAATGCCCATGGATGTTTCCCACTGTCAAGGGATGTGTTTTTGAACCTTGTGAATTTGTTTCCACTTGGTGTGACCTTGAGTGAAGTCATTTTATCCGCACAAAGCAGTTCCAAAACATACGGGGTCCATCCCTGGGAGATGTACAGCTTAAATACGTTCCCGGGTCATCAACGTAGGTCACTCCTGTCTACCCAGGTGGCGCAGCAAATTCCAATATGCATAACTGCCCATCACATATGGCAGCTCCCGACCCATATCAAGCTCACCGAACTCTCAACGGTGTGTCTGCGCCATATTTCAGAATTGCATCTTGCATATGCCTCATTGTCTGGGTCCCTATTCGAACTGACTACCAATCGATCTCGAACAGGGAACAGTTTCCACATCCTGTTTGTTTCAGGGGAAAGGTTAAATCTGGGTCGAGGTATCGATTCTGAGATTGCGCATCGAGATGCAAAAGTCAAGTCGACCGAGCTCAGGTGAGAAAAATAGTTCGTCTAGGCATCTCTGCTTCCTCGCTTGCGAGCTTTCTTGACGGTGAGCCTTGGAACGAGAATACTCAATACAACATCCTTCTAGTAGCCCTTCGTGGCCTATATCTGTCGTCTCTCACCGTCTCCTATGGAATCCAGGCTAGATCCGCGACACGGGTATGATTGGAGCTGGACGATATCTCCTTTCAAATTTGCATAGCTCCTATTGGTCTTCTAAGCACTCTAGTGGAGCAGGTGAAATCCGTCGCTCGTGAGATAGCTAGTAATCCTGAAGTCGAACATCGATGAGCTTCGGGTAGATGAAGCTGGACAACAAGCAACGTACCGCACTGGAAAAGAAAAAGCAGAAAGAAAAAGCAGAAAGAAAAAGCAGAAAGAAAAAGCAAAAAGGAAACCCTGGGGTTCGACCCCAGAACTTCCTTTGGGGGAAAACCGTGACCCGGCGGGTGCGTTCCCCAGAATGGGGCTATCCCCGGGAGGATATCCTCCCAGAGGTGCTACTCATTCTGGGGTCCTAACCCCTAGACCACAGTGAAAAACTCCCAGACGAAATTTGCCTTTATCCTTCCCTTATGGGAACATTTACAGTACTTGCCCTAATGTTTACAATGTATATAGATCCACATATCGTCCGGACCGGACCATGGTTCGGACCCAGGCTATCCATTGGTCCGCCGGGAGAGCCTCATGCTATTGACCAATCAGCGGTAATTCCGCGAGCCCCACATAGTGGAGTAAAAGGGCTCTCGTCGCCCGGGTTGCTTAATATTATCCAAGTGGTATTAGTCTGGTTGGGCGATAGTCCTGTCTTTCAATTGGACTAGATTGATTAAGCCAGATCCCGATGGAAATAAGAGAGGCAATGATTGGCTGTCCTTGGAAGCTTGCCACAGCGAAATCAGCCTGGGAAGATCATGCTGATATTCTGATGTTTCAGTCTGGATTTCTAATCCAAAGGCTTGACGGATCGAGACAGAAAGAAACCGGGAGCTGGGAAGGTACTTAAGCCGCGAAGAGCCTGCTGATATCCTCGAGATCAACCCTCTTCCTCTTTTCATCTCCGGTTCCCGTCCACAAGAAACCACATCCCACACCCTGAACATGTCTGAAGTGTCAAAGAAGACTCTGTCTTCGTTGGTCGAAGCTCGCTATCGAGATGGCCAATTAAGCCAACGTCCTCTTCCCGACTATCTACCACCAACTCTCGAGACCATCCTGAGCCACAAGTCTTTCCGGTCATTTTTGCCAACCGCTTTGCCAACCGGCACATTGGAAGCACTAGTAGCGGCAGCTCAGAGCGGCTCGACATCCTCAATGATGCAGACCTGGGACGTCATCGCCATCCAAGACTCCAGCCACAAGAGCGCAGTAGCAAAACTTGCCGGGGACCAAGAGTTCATCCGCGAGGCTCCACTGTTCCTAGTATTCTGCGCAAACCTGAACCGACTAGCGAACATTTCTCAAAAGTGCAACCAGCCTGCTGAGGCCCTTTCCAGCATGGATCTTTTCCTGATGGCTTGTATCGATGCCTCGATCGCAGGTCAAAGTGCAGCCATTGCAGCCGAGTCTCTGGGTCTGGGCATCTGCTATGTTGGTGCTGTACGAAACAATGCCCAGAAAATGTGTGAGCTTCTCAAGCTTCCGCCCAATACATTTGGACTTTTTGGTATGGCGGTGGGTTTCGGAATCGAGGCAGCCTATTCTGAGCTGAAGCCCCGACTCCCGATGGCAGAAATCTGCCATAGTGAAACCTGGAGTGAAGATGACCAGGAGGCACATGTTGAGTCGTATGATCAATCGCTTGGTTCGTTCTATTTTGAGCAAATGCGACTCGATCGCAAGTGCTGGAGTGCATTCATGGCTGCGAACGTCGCTTCCAAGCAACAAGATGGCCGTGAGAATGTCAAGAAAGTCTTGGAAAACCAAGGATTCAAGCTCCAGTAGAAGAAGGCAATGTTTTTGGAAGTGTTGACAATATATGTGCTTCAAGCGGAGTTCATAATCTGTTTCATTTCGAGCAATTTGTGAAATCCCACTTTTCTCGCCACTCATTCTCCAGTTCCAGCAAGATGCCATGCGCTGGTCCATAGCCTGCTCTCTCGGAAATGCGAATCATGGTATCACGTATAGAAAATGCCTGCTTTGGAGAACCGACAGCTAGCCCAAAGATAAACGTCGGCCATGTAGCTAAGTATGACTGGGTCCAGAGCTCGGAAAATTCCGGTTGCATTAGTATTATCAGCGCACTTTGGATTTGCCATGGTGAAGTGCCCACTGTTGGTGGTCCGTTTCCGGGGGGGTTAGGAAGATTCGAAAATTGCGTGGTTAGTGGCAGAGGAATCGTACCAAGCACCCAATTGTAAACGATGGATACTGCGAGAGCGTATAAGCTCTGCAAACAGTCATAGTAATGATCTTTTGGTTGTGATGCGGGAACCTCGATATCTTGGTGCACTGCGAAAGTTTCCCAGCGTTCGAGCTCCGATGCTATGTGAACCATCGTGCCATGATCTCTCGTAGGACTGTTATAGAGTCCAATAATATTCCGAATAAGATGGTATAGTGGAGGCGGGAACATCAAAATCGGGCTTGAGCTAGGCGATGCGGTGGCGGCAAGCAGCCTTTCAGCCCGTGATATAAACCTTCCACTGTCAAAGAAGCACGGAGCAAAAGGTTTTCTCATAGACAACGAGATGGCCTGGTACATCACGCTTTCCAAAGCTACTCGGTCTATGGCCCGAGATGTAGACATGGAAGTGGAATCTCGATCGAGCCTGAGATTGATCAAAGCCATTGCCCCAGCGATGTGTGTGGCCGGATCTGCCAGCGAGTCTCTTCCATTGAGCTTTGGATACTTGTTAGGACGACTGAGTACTAGAAGAGAGTGCACTTACATCGTGGAGGTATAGATAGATCACTGTCACTAATAGCGCATCGCTTGGTGTCAGTTCTTTTGAACACATCTCATCCAGTGCCACGTTCGCGTCTGTCACGGCGCGCGAATAAAACGAAAGGGAAAGATGATGATATTGCAAGTCACCGACGAGCGTGAATTTGTTTGCCGCGCAGCTAGCCAGTACAGCGTATCTCACGCTCTGGGAGTTCATGATCAAGTCCGTAATTTGGCCCTGGTATTCAACAAAGTGGCTTTTGTTCCAGGTTGAGCTCAGGAGCTTAGGGAGGAAGTAGTTGAGGTAGTGATGAAGTAGCTCATATTGCACACCGGGAAAGGTGACGGTATGCGTGGCTGGAGAGAAAAGGAAGGGGCTCTTTCTCAGACCCACGGCCGTGGTTGAGTCAATGGGTGCATCTTGAAATGGTTCCCTCGGACCTGAAGTGTCTGCCCTTGGGATCTTTCTATAAGAGCGATGTCGTCTATCGACCAGATCGCCGTCAGATGGCCAAGTGCATGGATATTTGCTGAAGCTGCAGTGCTGACAAATGGGTCGTTCTTCTCCGCATTTCTTTTTTCGTCTCCTGCCTTTGGAGTTTCATGAGATGCTGAAGATAATGATAATCATATCACTTACAGGTCAAGCACCCAGACTTCGCTCTTTGCTTTGCTCTGATCATGGTTGAGTCGAAGATGAAGAGGCGTCTCTCCACTCCCGGGTATCCCGTCCCGAAGAGGCATAGCGGCTCAATTCGATGCCTGAAGTTTTGGCCTGAATAATTGTTTCTGCCTTAAGGATATGGCAATAATTTGGTTTCATTGATGCCTCACTTTGAAGATACCAACCTCCCTCTCCCTAGCTTTTTCGCACAAGGCAACTGGTGCCATTTCCGACGATGCCTTGTCGTAGCCAGTATGCAGCCAGCCTTCACCATGTATTGTTCTGTGTTGTCCGCAGGAAAGGACTCGTATTCGCATCAAGCCCCACAATTGATGATGTGCCTTGGGCTAAGGGATATGTGTAACCAGAAAAAGACCTATGGATGTGGATCGGAGCTCATTTCAGCGAGTCTGTAGGCATACACTTTTTAGAGAACGTCTGTACGAGCCGTAGTTTGTACGCCACAATCCCAATCCAGACCTATTCGGGACCTATTTACGAGTACGAGAGCTTCCGTTTCAGATGTCTCCAGATCAGTCGACAGTATGTTTCCCTCTCTCCTGAGTGGGCCATTTCTGTGTAATTACTTATTTCTGATTGAGTCCTTGGATATCTACCAAGGCAGTGCCCCGGAGGATCTGCATACACATGCCCGAGCATCTGGTCCTGGTTTCCTCACGCTCGAGCCTTGGGGTCTTTCATCCGGTTCCAAGGTCGTTACTTCCGGTAGCTAATCAAACATATATTAAACAAGGCCATAATACATCTTTCTTCTTAGATTAGATATCCATATTTTGTTTTCCAACTGATATTTTTCACCCTTAATCCCAAGGTTGTCTCTGACCAAAAGCTTTTCTCTTGCACCAACATATTGTTTCTCAATGAAGATCACATACTTCCTTACTTTCCTGCCATGGGGATCTGCCAGTGCCTACCCCGGCGCGAAGGCAGCTGCTTCGCATTGGAAGCCAGCTGGTAGCAATGATTGTAAGGATGAGGTCCGCTACAATATCGATGCATACTAATACAGATAGTTCGCGGCCCATGCCCTATGATGAACACACTCGCAAACCACGGATTCCTCCCACAAGACGGCAGAAACATCACAAGAGATACGCTCGTTGAGGGTCTACGTGATGCTCTGAACTTCAATTCTTCGCTTTCTAGCCTGATGTTCGATATGGGTGTCGTCGCCAACCCAGAACCCAACGCGACATACTTCACACTGTGCGTGAATTGCTCCCATCTTAAAAGAAAATAACATATCCCCACAAGATCACTTCTGACCTCGAACAACCCAGGGACCATCTCAACCGCCACAATGTTCTTGAGCATGATGCCAGTCTGAGGTAATGCTTCTGATTTCTTCTTCTATCGCCATATGTTGACCTGTCACCAGTCGAGCGGATGCGTACTTTGGGAGCAACCACATCTTCAACGAAACGATTTTCAACGAAACAAAGGCATACTGGACCTCTGAAACTCTCACACCCGCCATGCTGGCCAACAGCAAGATCGCCCGCCAGATCAACTCAAAGGCTTACAATCCAAACTACAAATTCACCTCACAGACCGAACAGTTCAGTCTTGGTGAAGTGGCTGCTCCAGTTATTGCATTTGGAAACACCCAATCAGGGGAGGTCAATCGCACTTTGGTTGAATATTTCTTTGGTTTGTGCCAACGAGACTCCATTCTTATTGAAATTCGCGCTAATTTGTCACTCTTTTGTGTTTTCAGAAAACGAGCGCCTTCCGATCGATCTGGGCTGGAAGAAATCCTCCAAGGCTATCACCCTTAGCGACATCCTGCGAGTCACCCAAATGATCAGCAATGCCACGAACCTGATCACTTCCTCCTCTTCCAAAAACCGTGTCAGAAATGAACTTTGAAACGACTCTCGTGGTAAGGGCCGCGATGCTCACGGAAGGGATATGAATGGCGCTTTGGGTTGTTCACAGGCCCAATAACCCCGTCAACTACATCCTTGGATAGATGGGAGTCGATGTGCAATGCAATCAATTAGAATGTTTATAGGAATATAGCTTTTTTCGTTTTCAAATTCACCATCCAAGATGAGGCTTTTCCTATTCTTGGATGCGGGTCTTTTTGGCTTTAGTTACAGATGTTGATGATTCCTGTGCCTCCCAAGCCCAGGGCGCAACACACCTGGGCGGCATTGAAGGCAACTTCAATTTTCATGCTGGAGCCTGAAAACTATCCTCACCACTGCAGCATGTTGAGCTAAAAAAAATGTTTTTCTTCCTCTTGTGATGGCTCTGGCGAGTGGGCCGCAGTCGGCTGTGGGTCCAGCTCGTTCTCGTAACTTTTGCCTAATACGAGTGCTCTTAGTTTAGGATCAGCATTGTACGAGGATATTTGGAAACATTGAAAATCTTCGCTTCAGCCTTTGACTATAGGCCTAAAAATAGTTGGTTCCAAGGTTTTATCTATGGAAAGTCTTGCAGACCAGACAGTGTTTCCAGAAGTGCGTGGCTAGTAGTTGTGGTTAAGCTTGCGCTATAAGCCACAATATTCCCAATCCAGCAAAACGTACGAATACGAACCATTGAAGAGATCATCAAACAGGTCCAATTCTTATCCAGCCTAGTTTCTTGGTCCCTTGGGTTGGCAACTGATTGAAACTTCTAGAGCCTGCGGGGTGGCAACCTGAGCAGGGCGTTTATAAATTCGATGCCATCTGACAGATTCCTTCTTTTTCAATACTGTTGTGTAGCGAGTTCGCCCAACCCCAAATAAGTACATCCCTCGATCTACTCAACAAATCGCATCAACCACAGACCGATATGAAAATCCCCGAACCAACCCAGAGAAATAAGTTCCGCCTCGATATAGCCATAGGCTCACTTCTACTGGTGACCTTCATTCTCACTATTGCCCGAGTAGCCAATAAAGGTACTCCGTCATCAAGAGCAAACACATGGGGTATTGCTGTGGTAGGTCTGAGCCTCTCACTCTTTGAGATCTAATGTTGACCTCTTACTCTTCAAAGTGCCTCAAATCAGCCATATTCCTAGCCTACCAGCTATCCACAGCCCATGTGGAGCGTTTGAAGAGATGGGCTAGTACTAAAGCGAGCAAGATTCTCACCATCGTTGATACAGTGTTTTGGTTTGCATTGTTCATCATCACGATCATGGGAACATCTGGGTCGCACAGTACTAGCAGTCGGGCGTTGGGGGTGATTATCGCCATACTTGTGATTGTGTTATGGTAGGCTCATCTCTATGACTGAACGGTTCATGTCCTGTACTGACCTCCTATTTAGTGCATTGAGTGCCTTTGATGTCTACATCTGTTTTCGTATTCGGAGTTACTTCAAAAGACATGGTGTCCTCCCCAATGAAGGAGCACCCAAGCCTCTGGGATCTGTCTGAGAGATTCGGGAGTTAAGACGATCTATGGCGTCAGGAGATCATCCATCACCGGCGATTTCACAAACGCAAGTCACTCAGAGTCATTAAAGCTTAGGAAAGCTTCTCTGTGGTCGCTCACTTCATTCGCAGATTTAGTTCACTGTAGCGGCCGAGCAAAGCCACTTTCAAATAACTTTGTTTACTTCGGAGTAAGCAAAAGTTCGAATAGGGCAATTCTAATGGAGATGTATGAAATGAAAATACGAAAAACTCCTTGAAACATCGATATTATTGAGATATCCTGGAATAGTCACGTCAATCGTCCCTTCTTTTTACGGTGAAAGATCCTTGACTCCTTCATTTTACTTCTCTTTCCTCCTTTTCTCTATTGTCTCTCTCTCTTCTGACTCTTCTTACTCTTCTATCTCTTCTATCTATTTTATCTCCTCTATCTCTTTTGACTCTGCTTTTTCATCACAATCATCTCTTTCATCAAAACAAACTATTTCAACCACCAATCAACAATCAACAATCAAACATCGTCAATCAAGCACCAGTCCAATCTTTGTGGTTCCAAAGTCCCATGCACGTTACGTGGGAGCTTGCTGGATGCTTCAAGCTCTGACAGCGACGTCGATTGTGTGATACATCCCCGACAATGAATCTTCGCTGCCGTGTCCAAGGCAGGAGCCATCGTCGAAGTCAATGTTCGACCCTGTCGTGCTGCAGAGGCAGTCTATTCACTGCACGAATATCCTCCTAGATAAGAACCCGTCATCCGCCAGTCTATCCTGATACCCCCATCCCCAGGAGGATATCACTTGGAGCCGATCAGATATCCTGGGCCGTTCAGGACATCTGAGCGTCTTTTCAGAATCTGTTATCTTTGACGAGAACAGGAAAACGACTAGCGTTACCATGAGAACCAGTCACCGACAACTGTGTTACGAACCAGACCTCCAAGGTCCTCCGATAATCGTTAGGTCTATCACAGGGGAAACATATTTGGCGCGGCTCACGCTTGAAACAGAAAATCCCAACAGTGAAGCCAAACCCATTCAAAATCGGGGTGGTGGTGCGTGGTGACTCCCCAACTCATTCCCTGCCCCAGTTACGCTAGCGACCCAACGATCTGTTGGTGGCTGCTCAACCAGCTGGAAATGACAGACATGCCGCAAGTGCCTGAGTAATACGGCTGGAATGTCACATTGGCGCCTCTGGCGGTTATCATGCGTTTCGACTCCTTGTCTGTTGATTGGGCCCGCTTAATCTCGGTCAGGATATCTTCTCTGGATAGGGCGCTCAGGGCCTCAAATGGTATATGCCGCCAGCACACAACCTGTTCTTCTCGGTACGGAGGAGGGCATTCAGTTTTGGTATGGAGCAGTTGGGAATTTTCAGGACACCATCTCAGAACTGGTGAATCGGGCATTAGGCGAATCACCGTTTTCCAACTCTCCGATCCCTCCGTCTCCAACACTCATTCGCGAGCTAGCCAGGCGACTCTGGCAGCTACAGCTATCAGAGCAGGAACGTGGTGTGGCTTTAAATACTTTTCGGGAGAGATGCTCGTCCAAACCTCGTGTGGGATTCGAGGGGCTCTGGGAAGGCGGCCAGTCAGCGTGAGCTCCTCCTTCGGTATGTTGACTACGCTGGAGTGATGTGGAATTGCCTCCGGATGATAGGGTGACTCTCCTGCCAGACTCAGTCGCCCAATTCGATGACGGTTTTTTTGATGGTTCAGGCAAGTCTTACCTGGATGAAACATCTCTGGGTGAGAGGGCGCGGGGTAATCTGAAGGAAGCCGAAGCTGGATTGTGCCTGGAGGACGGGATTAGGATCGATGTTGAGATGGCACGGGAGGCAATAACCTTGGAAAGGTGTATGCGAACCATCTGAGCGTCCTCGAATTCATGCTGGGTATCGGGGCCTTAGTCCAAACGATTGCACATCTTCGAGATCTTCACTATAACCTCGTTCTACTCGTAGGATTTCGTAAAAGATCTAATTAATCGAGAACACAGTAGCAATTTGTTGGATTCCTAGTGCTAGCCTGTGAGTGTGATCTATGGGCAATTCTCACTACTCAGAATCGTCGTCGACCAGTTTAATTGCCCTTAGGACCGCGTAGTAGTAGTCCGGGAGGAATTTGCATGGACCGAGGCGACGATCCCCGTCGACGCTGTCTCGAGGCGGATGTGTTTTGTAGCGTGAAGCGTGCCGCGGGAATTGGTCTTCGAACCAGCTGGACATGACAAAAATTCCCCAAGGGCCTGAGTTATATGGGTGGAATGTCATATCTGCGCCTCGTGGTGTGGCTTTCAATGCTTCGTTGATTGTTTGGATGACTTCCCAGAGTCGTAATATCCGGCTTTTGTCTGTGTGGTTGAGTTTGAGGTCGTCAAATGAAATCCAAGGCCCGGATTCTTCAAACCTCCAGGATGGGAAGGACTGAATGAGACGAACAGCAGCGTCAAGGCCGCTCAAGTTGATCTTTTTCAAGATCCTCATGTTTTCCTCCTTCGTCTCATTGACACTGAGCGAGATCTCAGCGGAGTATTGGATTTTATCGGTTGGCAAATACTCGACGCGGAGGTCGAGACCGAGGGCTCGGTGTCGATAAAGAGTTTCGACCGCTTCCTTCTGTAGGCGGCGACTGGAGGAGAGAATTGACAGTTGAGATGCGGTCGACACTTTGTCGAAAAATTCAGTGAAAAGGTATTTGTAGATTTGGATGCGAAGCTCAGCAGGAAGCTTCGACAATTCGCCGAGTTGGGCATAAATCGGAGACTTTGGTCTCTCCATGGTGGGAATCGTCAATGTAGGAAGATTGAGTGAGTAAGAGAAAGTGAGACGAAAAGAGAAAGAGAAGAGAGAGAAGAAATAATGCACTTTAGAGTTAACTAACGCGACAAACAAAAATGTACGTCTCTCTCTCTCTCTCTCTCTCTCTCTCTCTCTCTTTCTCTCTTTCTCTCTTTCTCTCTTTCTCTCTTTTATCCGAGTAGATGATCATTATCAGCCTTAAACAACAATAAAGTCAATATTACTCAATGGGGCAATCAATTTGTCTACTAAACTTGGTGAGCTTACTTGATAGATTATATAGTGAAGAGAGGATAGCGCGATGGCATCCGTCATAGTAATTTATTTGCGAAAACACTGCCACCATTCAGTCCTCGCTTAGATATCCGCTGCATCAAAATTGCGGATGAAATCATAATAGAACTTGACAACATTCAGGTGGTCAACAATACTCACTCGTTCATCCACAGTATGGATGTTGTCAAGTCCGCGGCCGACAGCCGGTGTCCATCTATAGACGTTGCGGGTAAGATCTAAGATGGTTAGTATCACTGTATGGAGGTAAGCGAAGCCACGACTTACTCAGATAATGTCTAGTATCCGTGTTGCCAGTCATGATATCTCCCACTGGTACGACATTTTTGCCCTCCAACCCGAAGGTGTGTCGAATTGTGCCAGAGAAAACATCCCAGACCGACCCACTGGCAGGGGACAGGGGCGCTGCGTCTGCCTTTGTAGCGCGCACGACAAGAGTTCCATTATAGTCGACTTCGGTCTGCTGCTGGGGAAGGGTAACTATGTCACCCCCAGAGCTCGCATGGCCCGGGAAAAGCTCGGCTACGTGGTCCTGATATTCTTTGTCGCCGTCGAATGCATTGAGCTGAAGACCATACTTCTCAACCACTTCGGCAATCACCTGGATCGCCCTTTGTTGGACCTGCACTGGCTTTTGGTGATGAGCAACGCGATAGTTCACAGCAAGGGTAACAAGCTCTGGCATGGCGTTGATCTTCACTCCCCCGCCTATGATGTCGACAGCTTGCGAGGTCTGCACAACGAACCGGTTCAGCGGGGAGGTCTTAGCAAATTCGACGGCAAGTTGATCGAAGTCATTGTTTTTCAATAGCGCCTCAATTTCGGGCTGCGTGTTAGGCGAGTAGCGCGCCTGGCAGACGAGTCGCTTATGAATGGGGCTGTTTTTCGTGATCACCGGATCATAGGGGTTATTCTCGAGAGCGACGACTATCTCCGAGATAATACCAATGCTCGTGTGTGGCAGGGGAACAGAACTGTGGCCTCCCTTGGCATGAAGCTCAAAGAAGAGATTGATGTGGCCCTTCTCGGTGATTGCAGGATGCACATAAACCGTCTCGTCGTCGAGATGTTGCGAGCCGAAACCACCCTCGTCGAGAATGATGGCGGCACTATCGTCACCGTATCTTTCAAGGACAACCTCGGCGATCCGCGCAGCGCCTTGCTTGAGGCCGACTTCCTCGTCGAATCCGAAGGCGAAGATCACAGTTCGTCGGGGTTTCCAGTCAGACTGGGAGAGGAGACCTTCGGCAGCGGAAAGGAGTCCTGTAAGACTGTTCTTGTCATCTGATGCACCCCGACCCCAGATATACTCGCCGTCAAATTGTGCCTCGAAAGGCGGGTAAGTCCAAGTGGATGCATCGGCGACAGGGACCACATCTTGGTGAGCGAGCAGAACAGTTGGCTTGAGTGAAGGGTCTGAGCCCTCTAGCGTGTAAAGCAAGCCAAATGTGTTGATCTTTTCCAACTTCACCCGCTTATGGCTTTCGCTGGTCAGCATAGATCCCCAGTGAAATGGGGGAAGCCGACTTACAAGATAGGATAAAACTTCTGAAGAACGGGAAGGAGCTCGTGAAATGGATTCCACCTCTCATCCTCACCTATTGCGCCTAGATCGTCGTAGGAGACGGACGGAACTCGCACAATCGCCTGGTGGCGCTTCACTTGTCTATCCCGTGCCTCATCGGATGAGAATAGACTTGCCGCTGAGAGCAGACCGTCTCCGACAGGATCTAGAGCAGGCGGTAGATCACATTTAAATTCAGGACTTGAGTCACCGCCTGTCAAAGGTGTTTGGTCCCAAAAAGGTAGCACAAATGCTGAAGCATAAGTGATTTTGACCAGGAGCAGTAATCGAGAGGCTTTCATGTTCTTATAAGAGTCTCAGAGCCTGGCTTTTTCGAATCTAGTGCGAACTAAGGACACACTGAGGGTGTGCCGACAAGAGCAATGATGGTTGGTATTCCTAAAGGTGACTGAAGAAATAGTTCGAAATGGGAACTCGGCAGTTGGACAAAAAGCACCGGCTTAATTAGTACTTCGAAGCGATGATGACATATCACTAGCGGTGAATCATCATCTTTGACCATTTAAATATGACAACGGAATGATCACCGATGTGCGCAGGCATACTTTACTTGCAGCGCCCCGGGCAAGTTACCGAGACCCTAATAGCTCATTCTGAGCCTGCATGGCGCCATCACCGAAGGCCTTTAGACCCTGAGTATAAATTCTACTCGGTATTCGCCAACTTACACATTACTGAAACTCTCTATTGAAATTGGTACTCGTTTTCGAGCTAATTCAATCAACATCCCTGCTTTATACACCGACACCCTTTCCCGCCATCCGAACAGAAGCAAAATCAGAAATAAAACCGATTGTCAATATGAGGCACAATTTAGCTTGGTGACTAGCGCGATCATTTCGAACGCTCGCCCCCTCAATGCACCTTTAAGCCCATTTATACGCCATATCTGGGCAGGGAAATCGGGACCTAGGCGATCAAAGACGACTGGTAAGCGAAAGCGCTTGAGAACATCGGATAGTTTTCTATCTCTTTCGGAGACTTTTCTCTGCCCGGAGTATTAATGCTATCTTCCAATTACAAGTATGTCTTAATGATTGCGCAATGCGCTACCTTTCCCGGCCAGAAGCTGTCTCGCGAAATCAACTTCTCTCATTGCGAATAGGCTGCAAGTGTCTGGAGCCACACACCTTCCTTGATTTGAATGCTGACCGTGAGCGAAACGGATGGGGACTTTGTTGTATTAACTCTTTGTTCTAAATTATGTTGGGCTTTTCCTTATCTTAGACTGTCAGGCAGTACCATATGCGCCAAGTATTGCACAATTTCTAGTTTTGCCGACGGGGAGATCAAAGGCTTGATGCTTGCTTTGATATAGTATAAGAACGAGCTATCAGTATAGAAGGGAGTTTTAGACTATATGCTTATTGCTGGCAATTTCAACCACCATGACTGAAAGGCCAGCCCAGGTAGAGCCTGCGACCGAGAAGCTGCAGTCAACAGATGCGAAGGAACTAGGTTCAATTGAAAGTAAGGAAGTCGACTCGTCGAGTGAGTCGAACTATGACTTCGAGTCCGCCGAGTTCAAGAACATCCCGGAATTGGTCCGGACTGTTGTTGGCTTTGAGGACGACCCCTCGCTTCCTGTCATAACATTCCGCTCGATTGTCCTGTCAGCGATATTCTGCGCAATCGGGAGTGTTATCTCACAATTATCCTAGTAGGTCTCAGCGCAGCGACTTGGAAATGTGGTTTTAAAGCTCACATCTTACCAGCTTTCGTACAACCTATGCGCCTTTCCCGGTATTCTTTGTGATCTTGGCATCGGATCCCCTTGGTCGCTTTCTCGCACGAGTTCTACCAAATTACAAGGTCCCATTGGGTAGATATTCATTCTCTTTGAACCCAGGGCCATGGTCAACGAAGGAGCATGCAATCGTTGGCCTTGCCGCCAATGCTGGGAGTCAGGGTCAATGGGCTAGTAAGAAACTCACTTTGTTATGAGAGCAAAACTAATTTTCATAAGCGTTTCTTCCGACGAACGCTGCTCTGTACTATGATCTTACGATGAACCCGGCAGTCGCGTTATTTTTTGGATGGGTAAGTTTTACCATTTCCATCACCGAAATCTTCTATTGACTCAAAGTAGGGTGCATCCTTGTTAGGATTCGCTTTCGCTGCAATGGGTATGTGCTCCATCATCCTATAGAGGGAGTTCCTTGATCTGATATATTTCAGTGCGCCCGCTCCTGATCGATGACCCCGAATTCATATTTCCCCTGTCGTTGCAGCAGGTGGCTCTCTACAGAAGCATGGACGGGAGGACCAAAGGCGACCATCAAAGAGCTCGCGATCAGATGAAGGTATGTCACTCATCTGGCGAGGATCACCATACCTGAACTCATTCTGATCGAATTTCTTCCCCAGATGTTTTGGATTGTAGTTCTGGGCACTTTCATCTGGCAGTTCTTACCGGAATTTCTCTTCCCATTTGTGGCTTCACTGGCTCCGTTATGCTGGTTCGCTAGCCGGAATCACAATGTCAACTTTATCGGAGCTGGCCGTGGTGGCATGGGCTTGCTCAACATTACCCTCGATTGGTCGAATATCACCTCGACAGTCATCACATATCCATATAGCGTGCAGGTGATTATCTTCGTCACTTTTGTCATGACTGTGAGTGGATCTCAAATCTTGGTCTGCAGACAGTTTTCTAACATCCTCCAGTGTTGGATTCTAATTCCTATTGCCTACTTCGGCAAGCTTTGGGGGTCACCCACTTACGATATCATGTCAAACCAAGTATTCCAGAAGAACGGGTCGGTTTACCCCCTGAATGACCTGAGTATCTGACCCTTTCCCCATATATAAAGAGAGATTTATGCTAACCACTTCAAGTCTATGTCGATTCAAGCGGCATGCAACATGTGAACGGGACCAAATATGACGAAGTAGGCCTTGCTTACTCGGGGGCCCAGTATACGTGGCAGATCTTCATGGTATAGTCCACAGCCAAAGGGGCACCTTGTTTGTCCATTTTTCTGACGTCTCTACAGTGGGTGGCATCGTACATGTCATCATACGTATGGTGCGCTCTATTCTTTGGTCCTAAAATCCACAAAATGTGGAAAGCCAGAAAGCAATCTGCAGCTTACCATCAGGACAAACTGAGGTATTCATGCGGCGTTTGGTAGTATGAAGACATCACGGCTAATTGATTCTAGTAAAATTATCCAACAATATCCAGGGCTCACAAAATGGTGAGATTAGCCCATTAGCCATTTCGATTTCTCAGCTAACCTGTATGACAGGGAGTGGACTGTGCTTATTCTGGTCCCATTCTTCATGCTTCTCGGGATAGTTGTCTCCAAGGCAATTTACATGCCTATTTGGACATATTTCATTGCGCTGGGCTTTGGCGCCGCGGCAATGCTACCAATGAGCTTTGTGTACGCTTTGTCGGGCTTTTCGGTCAAGGTCGGCTTCTTCAATGAGCTTGTTTATGGATGTGAGCAATGTGCTGCTACGATTTTTCATTCATGCCAAGCTGACACTCTAACTCTATCAGACATGATTGATGCCAAGGGCTCTTCGCGACACCCTTTGGGTCAACTTGCCTACCGAATCATCTCTGGCAATGTATGGTATGACGCGAGAATCGTGTTAGAAGATCAGAAGGTACGCATACCATCCTGTCAAATTCTTTGTACCTAGACTAATTGATTCTAGATTGGACATTACCTTCACCTACCTCCCCGCCAGGTTATTGGCATTCAAATCCTTGCCAACCTCTTCGCCTTACCCATCAACTACGGCGTCATGCGCTGGGTCATCGCCAGCAAATTCGACTATGTGAGCGGAAAAGTCAAAGACCCTCTGGGGCAGTGGACAGGTCAAGAATTCAAATCATACAACACAGCCGGGATTCAATTCGCTCTCGTCGGTCCACGCAAGCTCTTCGCATCATCCTTCTTCAAACCCATCCTTTGGGGCTTCCTTGCCGGCGCACTTGCACCCTGTGCGATATGGCTACTACACAAGAAATTCCCCCGCGCACGATTTGATCTCTGGAATACCACTATCTTCTTTGCATCGGCTGCAGTCTTCTATGGAAACTTGAGTACCGGGCCTTTCACGACTTTCCTGGTCGGGACCTTCACCAACTTCTTTCTATACCGGTATCGAAGGGTGTTCTGGAACAAATGGGCCTACATCAGTGGAGCGGCGCTGGATACTGGATTCAATGCTAATCTGCTGTTCATTTTCATATTCTTGGGGACAACGGGTGTCAAGATGGTGCATTGGTGGGGGAACAATGCGGATAGTATTGAAAGGTGCTTTGCGCTGTAATTATAGCTCTTGTCAAATAGTTCCCTTGTGGAAAAATTATTACAGCTTCACTCGAAGACTACTTTGGTGCTTGAAGATGTTTGATCAGGGCATTGCTTTGTACCTATTTTACTCTCCATTTCAAGATCTCTGGAGCTCTTTCTCTAAACCTCTCTTCAAACCTCTTTTTAAACCTCTGTTAGATTTCCCATAAATCAGGCATCCACAAGAATCTTCAGGCAGAAAGATGGGTCCTTCCAAAGCTCTTTGTCTCCATTCGTACTTGCCCTCTGGTTTATCACTCCAACCATGAAGTTTACCAATTCCCAGGAAGAACTGTCCTGCACTGCCGCGCTTTTTGACTGAAATTACCATATTAATGCCCGAGAAGATAGGTTCGTTAAACCCACACAAAATACAACGCAAAAACTGACCGACGAAGCTGAAATCGCCCAGTACACCCAAAAATGTTCCGTTTCCACCACTCACTTCACCTGGGCCCGCAAAGTCGGCCTGCTCCGGTAAAAGCATGACATACAAAGATGCCAGCTTTGCGACGGAGCACTCCGCCATTCACGGCGCAAAAAGCATCCCTGGCGTCCACCCATACTTTTTACAACGGCTATTGAGGATTTGTGTGATTGTGAATATGAGAGCAAATGGAGAGCCTCTGAATCTCTGGATTTAGGGAAAGATGACCCGGGAATGATTATTTCGGTCAAATTCTTGAGCAGCAAGATGCCGGGGAGGTTCACGCAAGTGTTCGCTATCATGAGTGGACAGTAAGGATACATGATGCGTTAGTCCTGAAAAGCCCCCCTTTCCAGACGCACGAGGTCATCACTGTTCGGGCTCTTAGCAATGAAGCATCCAACCAGGATTCATCCCACGGTTCCCCTATTGCCGCAAAACATACACCTACCCCGGATTGCCTTCAGAAGCAAGCCTCTGCTATTGGTGAAGAGTCCCACAGATGACCTAGTCCTTCTGCAAGAAGATCGACTGCTCTCGCGAAAAGGCAATATCATCCTCGATTATGACTTTGAATATAAGTCACGTCCCGTTCGCGCTTCCTCCATGTCCGTCAACCCTTCTGGTGCTGCCTCTATACGTCGAGACAGAGATCTGGATGTCATGACTCTAGCGCGGGCGTACTATCAAGTGCGTGACCTTGTGATGCCTCTATGTGAGACCCGTCCTTTGCGTGGAGAATTGGAGATCAAAGTCTACGACCGGAAGGGGCTAGTCGACACTCTCCACAACCCAAAGTGCATATCCCTTCCATACCAGCTGTGTTCAGATGGGCTTGGCCTGTATAGGAATACGTACCGTACGTCGATGCGTGTGTATCTGGAGATTCATGGGGTGATCAACCAGGAATCGAGCGGCGAGACAACTGGGACGAAGTGACAAAGATACTCGAAATGCAAACAACAGATCCCCCATCTTTGAACAAGGCGGCCAATGCCTCGCCATTCTGGGAGATGAGCCTACCAACTAAGCTGTTGGTGTGGGCATTCTGGGTGACATCAACCAGATATTTCAGTCTCGCCGTACGTATGCAGCACTTCGAGGCCAATTCACTCCTGGACAAACCCTGCCCACTTTCTGGCGCCGACGAATCGGCAGCAAAACTCGCTTCTCCATGGCCAGACCTTGACATCGGCCTCCGACGCGCCAAATTCGCAGACTTTGTGGTAGCCCTGATCGAGCATGTCGATGCCGTCCAAGGGATTCGTCTTCTGAAGCCGGACTTTGCCCTGGCAGTGAAAGTGAAGTGCTCTTATCTACGCCAGGATGACGTTGAGGGGATCGAGAAGCAAGCGTCAGATCTAAGGGATGCTATTTTCTGGGCTGGGAAGCTCGAGGAGGCTGGACTAACAATTTCCGACTCGTGCGCAAAACTCTAGAAACAAGTTCAATATATCATAACAGCCTCAGACAGCCATAATATAATATCATTGACTCACATTACAACTCACAAAATTCTCTGGTGTTTACCACTTGAGCAATTCTACCAAGTGACAGCCATTGGGACTTTCAATGTTGATGCTAACTCTTCTATTGTGCCTTGCCTAAACAGGTCTCATGTTGAGATGAAGAGAATGGAAATTTTGTTGCTTTAATAGCAGAGCTAGACTCTTATATCTATCTCACCGCAGCAATTGGGCGGTGTGAGCAACCTGGGAAGTACCTTGGAAGTACCTTGAAAGTGTATAAATGTGACTTCCAATCATAATACGTCATGTGATTGATGTTTGGAAGAGAATTTATGTACATGGAAGGTGAACTCGAGTGTCACTGTACCTTTGACTAAACTGGGCAGCAATGTCCTGGGCTTTGGGCTTTCCGCTGTCTCGGCAATGGTGCGTCGCCGGCAATACAAGAAGATAAACAATTGGTAGCGTAGGAGGAGTGTTGACGCCAACATCTAGCCCGAGGCATCAACAATACACTTGCAAAAATATTGACTGGTTAAGATTCTAGGCAGGAAAGCCTTTTTTTTTAACCATCCATTGCCAAAAAAAGAGAGGAAAAAAAGAACAAAAAACATACAACAGTGAGGATTCGCTGGTGGTCACCCACCCAACTACTAACTCACCGGCGTGTGGCTTAAGTACGGCTGAGCGGACGGGAAGCCCTGTTCTCCACACCCTGTGGTCGTATGTGCTTGGAATACTCGTCAAACGAAAATATATTCTTCATTCATCTGTGTTGAATATCCCGACTAGACAAAAAGCCTAACAAGTCAGGAGTCTAGGCAAGTCAGGAGTCTAGGAATCTTTATGAATATTCAACAATCTGGGCAATTTCATACTATTAGCCGAAAAGGCATTACTGTTTACGAGACTCAAATCGCTCAATTAAGGTCAGACAAGAGCAATGAGACCCTAAAAAACCAACCCTCCGATTCTCACATCTTTTGGGCTTTTTCAGGAAGTTACAATAAGAATGTGTGGTTCGTCTGATTCTACTACCATGGGACCAAGCTATGCTACATTGATATATTGGGTTTCTGGAGTAGGTACCTGGTGGACGTTTCATCACACAGGGCATTTTATGTCACCGGAATGGGGGTACCAAAGAATTTTTATATCTTCCAATCTTCGCGACTTAAGACCACCTAGTTATTCAGCAAAATGAATTTCATTGTAACCTTTCAAAAAGACACCCAATCGTGCGTTCTTTTTTTGACATGCTCTGCATATTTCTTTCCAATGGTATTTCCAGTACATACGACCACAGGGTGTGGAGAACAGGGCTTCCCGTCCGCTCAGCCGTACTTAAGCCACACGCCGGTGAGTTAGTAGTTGGGTGGGTGACCACCAGCGAATCCTCACTGTTGTATGTTTTTTCAAATCTTTTTGATTGTTGTCTTAAAAAAATAAGTTCTTAATAGCACTTTCATTTTTGCTATTTGTTTGGCTTTTTAATGGCTGTACACACACAAAGATTGACGTAGGAAAATCCCTGTCGCGGATATGCCTGAACACCTGGCACCCTATTGGTTTGCGCCTCCTACTTCCAACCACTTAGATAGGACTCCAAACGGCCCTGGGCTATTCTCCCCTCTAGGCTGGATAAGCCCTCCATCAGGGGTTGGAGTTTCCTGTCGGAAACTGTTCGGCAACAACCCGGTGGAAAACATCCGCCAATGATCCCACAGAAATATACCACACCGTCGATAACGCAAAATATCTTCCATCCCTAACCTGTTAACCCCTTTGCGTTGGACATGATTACGCAGGAACCTAAACACCATTGCCTGACCTGAGACACCAATGGTCCCTTGTGGGTACAAAAACCAAACACTCGTGGCTGGATTTTTCTCAGGCGGTGGCGGTGGACTCCAGACAGGATATTCTGTCTTGACAGAACGAGGGATTTCAATAGACGAGAACAACGGGATGGGTGTGTCTGGGGGTAAGTCCCTCGATAGTGTTGACCTGTATTCTGGCTGTAGTTTTTCTTCGGGAAAGATTTTGAATGAACAAGCTCCTAAATCCTCCAGCGCAACAGCAACCGTCCAAATTTCTTCGGATCTGAGTGAATGGGAACCGGTCAATGTAAAATATGAATCGAGTGCTTGCATTGATTCATCTGACCATTGCCATTTCCGATCAATCAAATGGCTTCTAGCATCATGTGGGTTTCATGCTCGCCAGCCTGTGATTTTTCGGAGGTCGGAATAACACCGAAGGTGCCACAGCGCCCAATAAACTCGGTATTCTTCCATCCAAGAAAATGACATGTTTGCATTTTTTGCATGAACTGGTAAGCCACCGACAGCAATGACAAATTCTCTTCTCAGCTTTGAAAGGCAGATGCAGGCCAATCGTTGGATTTGGGCAGCAATGTGGAGCATACGGCATGCAACATCTGGAGTCTGCAGTTGGTGTGGAGAGTCAAGTGTTTCATTACTTGCAGCGACCCCCATGTATTCATCCAGGCTGGCGCAGAAGATCGAGGGACTATAAATCACGGCGATGTTGGAGAGTAGCCTTTTGATTTCGAGTTGCGATGTGATAGGGTTTGAGGATAGCAAAACTCGTGTTATGGTATAAATGTCTAGTTTGAAGACTGATCTAGCATGCCGGGATACCGATATCAAGCTTTCTGTGCCCACGAAGTCAGCGATATCTCCGATGATTTGCCGGATGAGCTCGGCGGGAAGTTGTTGAAAGGGATCCATGAGTGAGCCAGGAGAGCAATTAAAGGGATGGAGAGGCGAGTGAAGAGAAAATTGAAAAAGGGAAGATAGTGGGAATGGGAAGTTCTTGTACCGGGAGCAAAGTGGACTGAAATCAGGAGTCCTCACGCCCCACGGTCACAACCCCAAGGGCCTGTGCCCAACGGAAAACACCCTATAGCCGAAATATACTTGTACTTTAGCGCATATCCCTTCAACTTTGAAATATCATATGTGCTTCATCGATTTAAATTTTCCCTTCCAGCTATGTGTCCAGCATCGAAAGAAGATGCTACCCCGATATGATCGTATTTTTATTATGTTACATCAC